TCTGGACTTGATTTCGTGACCACCTTTTACACTTTTTGAAACATCCAAGAGATGACGGATGAATAATAAATATGCTATTCGTGAGTTAATATTCCATCAACGTAACTGGTTTCAAAATAAGCCTCCTAATCCAAAGTCACGACTTAGTATGAAGATTGTTAACAATTCATTGAGCTAAATTTCGTCAAAATTAACTAAAATGCAAACGAGGTATAACTGAATATCGACCTGGAATCAACCTTATTCCAAATGATTCTTATGATAACTAAACTCAGAATATTTCACTTATTATAATGACAGTGAACTAAATCTGGTTATTCTACCCTTAAGGTTACTGTTCATGATCACAAAACTGTGAAATATCAGTGCACCATCCCAAGTAGGGGAAAAAAATAACCTTTTGGATGTAATGGGCTGGTAGTAGAAGAATCATTATGAAAGACATTAGGTGAGAGGAATTTTTATGTTAGAAAAGATGGTTTAGCATGATTTGGTTGTCTGTGAACAAAACGATTCAAAGTAAAAGAGAAAAACTTGTGTAATGCGGTAGATCCTAAGTTGATTTATTAGAGGTATCACGCATTGGAACAGTAAGTTATATTTACTACATTACATCTCGAACACAATTTAGTGATATGATGATGGAAAATAAATTTGTTTCCAAAACGTAGTCCAGTGAATAATACTGTTTTACTGTGTAATACATTTAATAAATCGACTAAAAGTGAATATTCAAGGTATCTTTGAAAATCAGGGATGGAATTACATTTATACTTCTTCAGTGAACATTATATAAGGGAGAAAATAGATAAATGTTAACTGTTTGAATTTTCGGAAAAGTCCTTATATCTTCAAACAATGCAAAGCTTGATAGGCTGGTATGATTTTGAAATGTCGAAGAATATTTATAGCTCAGGTGGATGGTCTTGTTTATTTTTTGTTCTCTGAACTGGATGATTTAATCATAGAGCTTACATTGAAGTTACTGCTGATGATGTTGTCTACAATGACAATAATAGCCCTACGATTAAATTACCTAACTCAGAGAACACAACATAACCAATAGTGTGTGAATTTTATCGGAAAATAAACAAACTATGAAAAGCTATCATGAATAAATTCAACAATTAATGATTTTGAGTAATTTTAATTTGAACAAATGCGTTCATTCAACTTACTTCCAACCAGTGAATATTTTACCACGATAGTGAACATCCTAGATTTGGTGACCATACTGCAAACTGATCGACAACATTTTATTAGCACGTATAACTATACAACATGAAGTTGGTTACTCTCAAATAATCAACCAATGAATGATAGAGCTAAATAATGCAAGTTATCCGATTAAAATTTGTAGTAGATTTGAAGAGTATACTCTGGGAAGCATGTTATCAAGTAGTACCACACCACCATTAATAGTTTCAACTCTTTCTTCTCACCTAAATTTATGTTGACGTAGGTCTAGATCTTGAAACCATTCAGTTTTGCAAGAAACTTTCTTGAGATGTTTTCCACTGCTGGAATCCCCCTCTTTAAGTCAATCCCTAATCAATATCTAATGTTTTATTCATTTAAATACTGTAGTGTGAATAGACTGACTATAAGACAGTTTTCATCTTGAAGTGACATCAGATATATATATATATATACTTTGAAGTGGTGTCAATAACACCATCGGGAAAATGGGGGAACAAGCAAGTACACTAGCAAACTCAATATATTTTAGTCATTGTTAAAGTTTTTAAAACTTATGATCATTATCACTATCACAATCATACACTGCATGAAAATCCTCTCTTTGAAAACATTTTTTATCGAACCACAAATTTAATTTTCTTTTTAGAAAATATTTTTGTTCAGTATTCCTACTGTTTTAGTTGACACTTAATTAGTCTAGTCCTGTTTTATTTATATTCAATTTTTTTTATTATTCATGGGAATAATTTGAGTTTAGTCGTTTTATCTTCGGTTTTTGTTGTTACCTTTATAATTTTGTGTAAAACCAAATTTTAGTTGTTTACTTTTAGTTGACATTTAATTTTAATAAGACGCATTTTTAAAAAAAACTTTGGTTTAGTTGGTGTTTTTTATTAAAATCACGAAAATTTGATTCTGCATGCCTATTCTTTACATTACTACCAGTAATTATGGTAGTCACGTTTTATCTGAGTATATATACATATGTCTAAACCAAGCTGAAACTTCATGATAATAGAGGTGAGGTCTCTGAGTCAGTGCTATTCATGATTATCATATGGCTGGCTGTAAGCCACACTATCCTCACCAGTTCTGGTTGGAAGAGCAATCTTCAGGTAAATTAATAGTGACTAAAGTCTGGAAGTGGATATGGATTGGGCATAAACTGAGAAGGCTAACTAAGGACATCACGCACCAGGTCAGGTACTCGAGTGGAATCTAAAGGGGAAATGACGAGTTGGGAGTCTGAGACCAGGGTGACGTGGAGGAGATGGTATGAGGAAGAAATGAGAGCTTCTGGGTAGTTATGGAGCCAGGTTCAAAAGACTGCAGAGAACAGAGTGAAATGGCGACGTGCTACTAAAACTCCATGTCCCATTAAGAACACAAAGGACAAATAATAATAAATAATGAAGTCTGGAAGAATCTGAGATGTTAAAGATGTGCTCACGATGGAGTACAGGTTGCCAACTAAGTATCCTACTAACTGTCAGCTGAAGGATAAAACTTCTGAATCTCAAAATTACTTAGCAGCAGGAAGAATAATTATTGTTTCTTCCTATCCGCTAGGTAAATAAACATACCTTCAATGCAGTCTCATATCCGCTTTTTAGTTTAGGTTTTTTCTCGATAGCTAATTGAGCTACGGTAAATTGTAGTAATAATGTGTGTTGAATTCCTATTTCTGGTGTATTTACTCTGAAACCAGCGCTAAACTGGACGACACACAAATTATATCTTTAATAAATTTCCAACACTGATCAATTAGCTAGAAAATCGAAGAGAACATCAAAAAGTGAGTGGCATCAAGAAGAGAAGAAAATAAACAAGCCCGACTAAGTTACTTGTACTTAGAGTAGAGAAAAGTATTAGAAAAGTTAAGGTTAGTAAGTTGCAGCTTATTGGAAAAATATACAATCAATTTACTGTGTACACATCAATAGGTTTATCATAATCAACTTTATAACTTGTACAGTTGTAAGCAATCATACAGTGATAAGCTTGTAAGTTTAGACAATCACTGTACAATTGTTACAATAGGTTAGTTCAAATTAAATTGACATTCAACCTTGAGTATGTTTTAGTCGTCAGAGATCCTTCTGAAAGACTGCTTTTCTCATTCATAGAACTTCTCAAATGTTGATTTTTATTAATGGTTGATAGCGTTTTCACTTACTTATGAACCGAAAGGAATACTGTACATTATGTCGTACTCATCGAAAAAAATAAATTCACCTGAACTGACGTAGCATTTCAGCATATTTTTCCTCAAATCATTGTTGCAGTAATCTGTATATATCAACAGTATATAATTTCAATATAAATGGCCTATAAAACAGTTCAGAAGAGAATCCTCCAAACCGGCGGATATCAGTAAGTTAAAATGGCAAAACATTTTTACTAGAAAAAAGCTGTCATTCAAACTACCTTACATTTGTGAATATTACCGAGAACTATGCTTACTTTGACTATTTGAAAAAGGATATTTGAGTAAGCAAAGAATAATCTTTTCGATAACTTCTTCTTCAGATCCTATAGTTGGATGTACACATGGAGGAAATAGGCATCAACAGCGTTGAAACTTTGCTTACCTGTTGATAACATTATGCTGTTGAGAAAGTAACTTAAGAAAAGTCTTATGTGAGTATTTATGATCGAATCAATTGTTACTAGGATTCAGTTCAAAATAATTTGTATCTAAATAATTATACTGAGTAGGTAATGCTATAAAGTGATAGTTTATTAAAACAATAGGAAGCTATTTATGAGAGCTGAATGAAATAAACTAAGAAGGATGATATAAAGAATAATAGCTTGATAGAATATTACTCATGTTTAGTGATAAAGTAAGCCAGGAGAATGTGTAAAATCTATTTCAGATTATATGGGTGAACAGATATCCACAGTATGGAATTAAGTTATCCAGAGCAGGAAACCAAAGAATTTGTGTGTCCCGAATCGAGCCCCGGTAGTTATCTCGGGAACACTTGCTTCTTTTTTAGAACACGACTCAGATTGTTTGATCCTGATTGTTACTGAGCCTTCAGCTTCAAGGTTGCTGAGCTGGGTACCTTAAGGCAAGTTGATGGGGGCGAGTTATAAGATGGGGAACGACTCATCCAAATCCTTTTTATGGTTGGTTTCAACCAGGTAAGCTAATACGAAGCTGTTAATAGTCTTAACCACATCTTTACTTGACCAAGCTTGGAGAAATTCTTGAGGAGGAAGAATTAAATTCCTAGGGCAGCTGCCAATGCAACTGGCTCCACAGGCTGATCTCAAACTGCAATAATCGTTACCGAAACAAAATGAGACCATGATCATAGTGTTATTTAGATCAAAACCCTTCAGCTTACTATCCTAGTATTTTCAAACCTGAGATTGACCTACTAATTGGATTCTGATCTAACTTTGTTTACGCTGATTCTTGATCAACTCTGAAGAAAAATTAAGATTTGGTCTGCAAGTTGATCTAGTACTGAAGATAGAGGTATGCTACAGTAGGAAACAGTAAGTTCCTGGTTTAATTTATGTCTCATCAACCACAGCCATTATTTTTTGGTAGGTCGACCTTATCAATGGAATACTGTGTAAAGTTTGAAGTTTACTGTGATTTATTCTGCTAGTGAGAACAATAAATCCTGTTTTCAATAAAATGCTACAGTTTTAATTGTGTATTACTTGTTTTTTCTCATCTATCTTGCACAAACGTTTCTGATTTCTGGTTCGATTTGTACCCATAATGTTCCAAATGCTTTATTTTTCCAATTTCGATTCAATTTCTACCAAAATGGTTTTAGTCAACTGGTGGTGGAATAGATCAAAAGCGTAACCGAGCTTACTTTCAAAAATCATGGAATTATTTTGATGCCATTATGCTGTTGTGTATATGGGCTTCGTTAGCTCTACAATGTGTCGAATTTTATGTGACATTCCATTGTCCAGTTAGTAATGGTGATAACGATGACGATATTGATTATACTTGTCCAAGTAATGAAAAATTCCGACGCAATTATGGCTTCCTAAGCATGATACGATGTCCAAGACCTCTGATACTAATACGTGTTTTTCGTGCAGTATTACGACTTCAATTACCTCAAGCACGTGTGAAGGCTATATTCCAGTAAGTGCTTTTATTCTGGAGGTTTACTATTAATTAAATCATAAATAAATTTATTTTCAAGTTGAAAGTTTTTAAAGTTTCATAAAAGTAGATTATTATCAGGTTTTTACAGAAATGACGGATAAAAAAGGATTCTGGATATCTCAAATATACGTCATTATGATTATTAAAAGTTTATGAAGAGGAAATAATAATCTAAAATATATTAAAATCCTCAAAATGAATACTGGCGGACAGTGCCTCAAGTATCCACTTTTCCAGTCTTCTAAAAGATGAATGAAAAATATATCAGCATTATGGTGGTAAATTTCAATTACTTCTTCTAATGCTCGCAGAAATTGTCTCTTTACATTTAAAGGACTCTGGATAATAAGTTTGAATTTTTCCATACAGTTCAGACCTATATTCAGAGACCTGATGGATTCGAATTAACATACAAAAACGGTTGCTTGCTGGTTTTCTATCTTCTTAATATTTTGTTGTCTGCCCAACAGTGAAGTAAACGAAAGTAGACTATTTCGATGTTCTACTATACGCTGCACAAACTGCAACTTCTGGATACATATTAGTCTTTTGGCTAGAAATCCTACATTAATGCCTCATAATTGCTGGCATTTATCAGTTTGGTGTATGTGCAGTCGTAAAGAAACAGAAATTTTCTTTTCAGCTGTTTCATTCTGCTCCAGTGAATAATGTGAAAACATCCATTTATTTTAGAAAAACTGTAGAATAAAATTAATTGAATAATATATCAAGAATTACAGTGAACCATAGGGTATTAAGATCGCTTTTAACACAGTAAATTTCACAACCAATTGATTTGAATTTGGGTGCCTAAAAAGGTATTGGTAATATCAGTTTAGGCCTTTGATAGAAGACTAAGAGATTTACGAAAATTTCTGTTTGTATCATGATATTTCATAACTGAATGAAAAAAGCAATTCTCACCAACAAAATTGACGATATTTACTTCCAACTTGAAGGTTTTTAATGGATCTATTTATTGATCTTAGGCTGGTATTCATCATAACCTGACATTGCTTGGAGAACCCTTGAGGATCTGAAAGCACTGAACGGATGCTTCGTAGTGGTATGCGACTATTCAGCAGTGCGCACGCATGACCCCGCGGGAAATTGAACCCGGTCAGCACCTTCAAGTCCCGTGGTGAGTACGCTACCACTAAGCCATTGAGTCAGAATCCAATAATTTACATTATTCTACTTTAGAATAATACCATAATAAAATTCATAGGTAAGCCGAAATGTCTGAGTAATATCCTAAATCATTTTTGAAATTTAACAAAAAAAATTTTATTAATCAGTTTTAATTGGAATCCAGAAACACTGTGGAGTAAGTGGTTTCACTGTTTGAACACTGGACACTGGGTTAATAATTTATTTTAGTTTATGTATTATTTAGTATTCTGTATCATCTATAAAAAATTGGATTGCCTTCGATGAAAATTCATGCCAATTTCAATGAGAGCTCTTGACAAAACTTATTATTTATCCTTTGGTTTTTCATACGGGTTCCACTGTAAGGCCTGGCAAATGATGTCCTTGAATAGTTTTCTCAGTGTATACCCAATCCATCTGAACCTTATTCTGCATATTTGTTGGGTGATAGGTTCTTGGTTGGTTCGTCGCCAGCCAGAGTTCCTTGTTGCTAATTCTTATTATTCTGGCCATCTGATCTTCAGCATCGAGTGAGCGTAGGCAACTGTTGATGATGAATGTATGTAGTCTGTTGAAAATATCATTTGTAATGCGCCAGGTCTCTGAACCATATTGAAGCACTGACTGGACATTGGTGTTGAAAATCCGGATCCTGTTGACGCTTTATGCAGAGTGCAGTAGATCTCAACATTGATTTCAGATTAAGGAAGACTTGTATTACTTTCCTGATCCTGGCTTTGACGTCCCCATCTGTGCCTGTGCCGCCTGTAGTTGAAACGATACTGCCAAGGTATAGAGTGATAGGTGAAAGAGGCCACTTCCTTTAGGTTCCTCCTGTTGATGGTGATTAGAGCTTGTTGTTGTTGGTTGAGTTGGGTTGGGTATCTTCATCACCTCTGTCTTCTCTACGTTCACCTGAAGTCCCATCTTCGCTGCCTCTTCTATCAACTGCCAGAGTTGCCTGTAGATCTTCGAGTTTGTGCGACACTAGACATAAATCATCATTGGCGAAATCCAAATCTTGTAGGGTCTTTTCATCGGTCCAGCCAGCGTATGCCCATCTTCTCGCTCCTCAAATTTTGTTGCATAATCCAGCCCACTACAATCAGGAAGATCATGCGTGACCTCATAGTTGAGTTGTAGATCATTGTGTTACTTTCAAATCAGACAGTGAATATTAGAAATACTTGAGCCAAGTAAGACGGAGATCAGCTTAATCCCCACAGTCAGTGTGGTCTGTTTAAAATAAACAGAACAGTTAAACTTATAGATGACAGCTAAATTCATTCTGATTGATGACCGCCAAAAGAAAACCCTATAACCTCAAAATTGGCGAAATCATGAAAGTAATTTCTCCAAACATTTTCTAAGTCAACATCACTGTCGTTTACCTTATTCTACGATAATCAATATGCGTTTGCTACTTACGGCACTATGGAGCCATATTTTTCAGTTATGTTAGTCCATTTGTGAGATTTTTTGAAATGTACAAACCGTTGAACTACCAATCTCCATCAACTACAGATAGCACTTACATAATGTATTTACTGAAATTTTCATATATGAACGGCTTCTGTATAAAGTCAAATTGTTATCTGTATTTCTTTTTTCATCTTATAGGCGATCCACTCATCAAATGTACAATGTAACAGTATTTCTACTTTTCTTTATGTCTTTGTATGGCTTTCTGGGTGTACAGTTTTTCGGTGATGAGTTAAACTATCATTGTGTTTTGCAGACAGCCAATGAAACGTAAGAGATTGTTTATTTGTTAATACCAGTTGAATATGATAACACTGTTTACTCCTATTATTTCATTAACTATAAATACTTGGAATTAAACTTCTTACTTGGTTTTTCACTTTATTTAGTTGCCACTACCGTACCGCATTACTTGCAGAGGTTTTTCCATTTGGTTCTGAAAATCTTGAAATGTATAATCCAGTTATTCCATCCGTGGAAAAATGCTTTCAAAGTAGACAGTGGAATACAGGACACACGTTTCGTTTTATTTGGGACTCGTTAGCTGGATGTAGCTTCCCCCAGTGAATGCTTGTATCTAATAGGACTCAAACATAGTACTGATCTCTGTAAACGTCACCAGGTAGATGGTTGAGTAAACTGAGCAACTGAATTACAATAGCCACTACCTGTGCAACGAATTTTAGTGTTACTTCTTGTAATTTCCTAAAAATAACAACTCATTTTGTTCATCGCTATTCACGAAAAATATGTAACTATTTCTACAATATGGAGGTCATATATGGTTTTTAAAAGGAGATACATCGGAAGACCAATGTGATGGCATCAAATGGAATTCTGGATTAAAAAGATTTTAGTATTCACCGGAAACAGAGACAAATTGACAATTCAGATATTCATCACTGATGAATGTCTTTACTAATTATCTTCTAAACATATCCCAGATACTTATCGGCAAGTGCTAAACTAGAGCTAGCAAACCTACCGGGTAAAACCAATCCAGCCGGTACAGAAATTGCAAAGCACAAACAAAATGTAAAAAATAAAAACAAAATTATTCCTCTCTGGAATCGGAGAGGTGAAATGACGCCGGTTGATAAAAGCCTTCGCGAAGCCAATTAACCCATGTGTCTTCTCTCGATGAAAGCGAAAGTAAACGTGGGGACATGGAATGTCCGTACGATGTTCGAACCCAGCAGGGAAGCCCAGATTGCGAAAGAGATTAGAAGGTATCACATTGAAGTGCTTGGGATTTGTTAAAGCGGATGGAATGAGAGTGGACTCTCCAAACTGTCGACTGGACAGTCAATAATCTACTCCGATATTGCCACCCAGACGACAACCACGAGCACACTGAGGGAGTGGCTATCATGATGTCCCCAACACCATTGAAGGCTGTCTCTCATGCAGTGAGAACCAATCTCCTCCTGCAGGATCATGACAGCGAGGTTCAACTCAAAAGGACGGAAGGAAGGTCACAATCATATAATGCACCTACAAATAATGCAGATGAAGAGAAGAAGGAGGAATTCTACAGACAACTGCAATCAGTACTGGATAAGACCGTAGTTGGTGGCATCAAAACTCTGATGGGCGACATGAATGTCAAACTGGGAGCAGGCAACACAGCAAGAAAACCAGTCATGGGCCAAGAGGCACTCGGCGAAGTAATGAACGAGAATGGAGAATTGTTTGCGGAATTCTGTGTATTCAACGATTTGGTGATTGGAGGCAAAGCACTGTGTTCAAGCACAAGGATATCTACAAAGCGACATGGATTTCACCAGACACCAGGACACACTAAAAATCAGATCAACTTCATTTAAATCTCATGAAAGTGGAGACACAGCCTACTTGACACAAGGTCAAGAAGAGGAGCAGATGTGGGTTCACACCACTCACTGCCTAGTGCAAGGAACCTCCCAAATCAAGTTAAAAGCCTTCAAGGAAGCTGGTGATAGACCACAGTCCAAGTCCAACATCCAGAACAGAAAGTGAACTGAAGGACGAAACAACAAAGGATATCTTCATGTCAGCCAGCCTTCAGAACAAAATGGGAGACATTGAGCAACATCCCTTAAGGATCGGGCGTGGAAGAACACTGGAACTCTTTGAAAGATATGTGGAAATAAACCTCCATAACCGTGTTAGGAAGGAGAAGGAAACAAGACAAGGGATGGATTTCGACGGACACGTGGAAGCTGATAGAGTAGGGGGAGGAAGATGGTGATGGTGAGTTAGAAGATGCACCAGTGCAAGGATGCACAACGAAAGGAAGAACTGAGTATAACGTATAAAACACTGCACTAGACAAAAAAGTGAAGAGTGCACGCAAAGACAAAAGACACTTCTACGACGCACTGGCAAGTGAAGCAGACCACCAAGCTGACTGTGATTCGAATTCCCGCTTATTTTTGTTTTGATCTCTTGTTGCGAAATCCCCTTGTCTGGTAAGCGCTGTCCATAGTGTCTTCCGTTTTTCAAATGGACTCTATTTGCGCATCCGTCACTCCTGAAATTAGGAAAATTTACTAACATGATGACGATTAGTTAAGTCTCTCGAAGTTGAATGTAAGGGACTACCATACCTACTGTATTCCGCAACCCTTCTTCTTTGACTTCATAAAAGTTTACCATCACCAATTTACAAACTTATGAGCAATAACAATTATCTACTTATTAGTAAGCTGGCTATGACTCTAAAATTAGTCATCACACTCTAGGCAAAAACCTTTTTCTGCCAAGAAAAAAACATTGAACATTATTAAAATTAACGCGCTGACAACTAGTATCTCCAAGAGTATACAGTGATAAAAAATTACGCCGAAACCATAAAACTGATGAAAATGAATTTAAATTCCTACCAAAAGTAATAAAATGAACACAAATGAAAATATTATGGAACAATACGGCATAATAAATTAATTACTTTCAATTTGGGTCAAAAATAGTCATATATATTCACCTATATGCAACTTTACATCCAGTTGCATTTAAAGCAGTTAGCCAAGACTCGGGTGTTGTTGAAATTCTTAATACTATTCAACGTGTATTGATCATTTTTACTTAAAAGGGTAAATAAACTTGCTTACCTTCATTGGTATGATTCGATATTCGGTAACTTTTTCGACTTCTAAGGCAAAATTTATGGCAGTAGACAAATATAACTCCTTGGGCTACTTATACTTGTATTCTAAGAGACAGTATGATGAACAAAGAATATCCTCCTCGATAACTTGTTCCTCAGGCTGTTCCGTTAGAAAATATGTTCAGACTAACAACATTCAGAATTTATTTTACAGTCAATCGTTAAAGTGAGCTTCAGAATAATCAATAATGTCGGTAATGAAATTATACTGAATCTTCAAAATTCATCTTACCGGAGAGTTACCGATTCCAAAGCTAGCAACTGCTGCTTTTGTACATATAGTTCAGACAGTCTTAGCTGAATGGCTGCAGTATTAGTATCTCGTATGGCGCTTCCCTTCTGAATTATATATTCATGTAAAGTTGATATGCATGTCTTCCCTACTTTCATCTTCATCTGCGTTTTGATGAAATTATTTGGATAGCCGTTTTCACTGATTGTTTTGTGAAAGATTTTCAACTCTTCATCAATTGTATACTCTGAACATATAGCTCTTACTATGTAACTGAAGGTATTTACCAGATTTAGTTTCCATTGGTAGGGAACACGTACATGTACTTTACTCATATAGGTTTCTCAACGGCCGTTTTGAACATTTTTCATTCGAGATCAACTCCCGAAGTGAAAAGTTTGTCGGCAGACTAATATTTTAGCTTTCAAATGATGTATAACTATTCATCTTACTGGTTGTTTGCGACTGCAGTTGGTTTGCTTCGAATACCACACTAACTGAACTCTTGTTTCGTGTAGATTGTTCTTATAGTAATATTCATCTACAAAGTATGCATCCCTTTATGCCAAGAAAGGTTGTTGATGTACGGTTGGTACTTCTACATACTTTGAGAGGGTGGAGTCATATTTTTACTTGTCTGTATTTTGTTGGTTGAAAAAATGTAGCTAAACAACAACCATGTTTCACTGAAAATCAGATTAAATATCCAGTTGATAGTAATTTGACACTTGTAGATTGTGTTTAAACTTCGGATCGAATGAATTCTTGAATTCGATTATCTCCTATTGACTTGTGTTTAAGAGGTTTGGCAGTGGAATTTATTTCCCTCTAGAGTTTACTAAATTCGTTTAATCAGTGATTGCAAAATATTTGATGTAATTTCCCAGTGAGTTTACCATACTGAAACTGGGTACTCACCACTATCAATTACATGTCCCTGAGAATACAAAGGTATGTAGAGTTTATAGTCTAATCAATAAATGGAATTGTGGATTGTCCGTAACCTTATGGTAGTCTAGTGAAATTTAATTATGACCTGTTATAAATTAGATTAGATTTATGATGGAAGATATTTTTATCCATAGCAACAGCAACAACAATAATAATCACTTTATTCCAGACAAAAGTTTTTAATACAGTATGGAATACGCAGTGTGATATCTGAAAATCCATGATACCTAAATGTCGATATACGGCAATATTTACCATCTTTTGGAAGAACAAATTAATATATAATTACCTGCTTCCTCATGACTCTAAAAAGCTTCATGATGGCAGTTGTTAGGGTTACGATTTTCAAAAAGAATCCAGGACTCGCGTCTCGTCCTACTTGGGATTCGTCAACTAGGTGTATCTGCACCCCAGTGAATGGTGTTGTTCTGGCTCAAATTCGAATTCATCACTCTAAACGCCAAAGCGTTGTTCACCAAATCATTTGGGCACGATAGCCACCTCTTTTTCAACAGGTATGAGTTGTTATGATACTTGTAGTTTTCCGTTGTTATACATGGCCAAACTGCCCAATCCTTGTAGATGACGCTCTGGCGTTTGGAGACCTGCGTACTGGGTTCGACCCTCAGTGGTAACAACACTCACTAAAGTGCAGGTACATCCATCTGGCGGTTCCCAAATAGAACGAAAAGCATGACTTGGATTCATCTGCTAGGCATCAAGATCAGTGTAATATCACGAATATTCAGCAGTATAGAGGCATCCGCATAGGGTCCCATCTGCCAACAGTGGTCGAACAATTGAGTCCTCTATAGTGACGGGAAATTACAAGTATCATAACAACCATACTAGTGCAAGTTTACTGGCTTTACCAGCAAATTTGCAAGCTAAGGGATCCAGTATAACTGTATGCCATTACAATTGCCTTGGTAATTCTATTCCCCTTCCTCTTTGGCTGGTAAGCTGAGCAGGTTGAACCAGTGCAATATTATCTGAAATTCCCTGCTGCTTAGATAATCAACTTAGTGGGGTTGTTAAAAATCAACCACTACTTAAATTCGCTATAGTTCAATCGAAGATAGAGCAAATTTACAGCTCTTACCAGTTTCCGCCACTCTCACCTATCTCAGCTAGTTTTCTCATACATTTTCTTATTTTAAGCTCATTAACAATGTACATTTAGGAAGCGATAGGTACTCATCAATATTCAACAATTCATGCACTTTAGAGGGCCCGCGAAATCAGAATGTAGTTTGATTCTTATTATTCACTACTGAAACTTCAGGAGAAAAATTTCGGTTAGCTTTAGGCAATTTACTTTTCAAGCGGGCCAAATAACACAGTGGTAACCTACTTGACTGCAATGGTGATTAACACAGCTTTTATTCTCAGAGGAGACACTAGTCTCGGGGTTCCAGATTAGCCTAGCTGTTAGGGGGCAGCAAACGCTAATCCAAGATCGAGCAGAACTTCCCCTCAGTTGCCGCCAACCAAATAACACACATCGAAGCACCTGGAAACTTTGAGCCTTCTATCCGTGTCCAAACTGCAAAAATTGATAGGTGAAAATCACTTATAATTGGGATTAGACAATATGAAACTGGTTGCTCTTAACTGACTAATAAATTCTTTCTAGCATGTCCCACAATGTGAATAAACCAACAAGAAGAAAAAGTTCGGTATACCTCAGTAGTGTCTGGCCTTATGTTCCAACCCACAAAAGCAGCAAATATTAAAAGAGTCCTAGTACTTAAGTGGGCTTTCAGTAGGTCTTATGTAGTCAATAACAGTTAGGCTGCTTTTTTCTATCTTCTAACCATTTAGCAAACAACAGTGTGTGGGTAACCAACCTTGAGGACCTCATTTTGCCACAAAAATATACACCAACCCTCATCAACTACCAAAGTACCTAAACCACAGAAGCTCTATGGTCGTTCAAAATTCGATGGAACATTCGTTTTGTAAAACTACTTCATACCCATATGATATGCTTTCGAGATAGAACGCTTTTATTCACTTTTTATATGCCCTTCATATATACATGACTAATTTAAGGTGCTTTTTTGAACTAGCAACTAAGTCTTCTTTGAAACTCATAGGTTCAGAAAGCATCCACGCCATTTAACCAGGTAAAGGTGTACCGTACATAAATAGGTTAACGATGGTTATGAAGTTTCACCTCTAAAAACTCACTCTCTAGCTTACTTTGGGCTATCCTAGCTCAGAAATATGTGAGAAAACTTTGGGAAAATGATTTCATGAAATTAGAAAGACAACTGTGTAAATTTACTCTTTCCTGTGGCATTACAAAGATGCTCCGTTGTGATGCGTCCAATTCTTCCAAAGCTAGCGTTTTATATGAGATATTTATACGTTAAAGCTTGCGTTAACAGTTCATATTTGATCGTTAAATGTAACAACAAACTAAGCAGAGGAAGACGTGGAATTCAGTCGTGTATATTCTGGTTGGTTTTGATACTCATGTTACGTAAATCCACTTCAAGATTTTTCTCATGATACCACTCAATCAGTATCCTCACAGGACCTGACTATACTGTTTAAAGTTCCATTCACGTTAGTAAATGAAGGTACGAGGCAACAGGATGAAACACAAAGATATGAGTAAGATAGTAATCAAAAGTAATACAAAGTTGTGGCAAGATAGAAGGGATAAAACAATAACGAAATTGAGTATAGCTAGTTAGATGATATGTACATAGATTTGTATCACAGACTGATTCTGAGCCATATTATTTACAGCCTCAGTACACCGATTTCGGTTGTCACTCAGCCTTCAACTAGTAGGTCTGGATTTTCTCACAAGGTTCAGACTAACTGTTAGAAAATTTCCGGGCTAATCCTGCTTTTTGAACTGGCTGCCATTAGCCTCTTCCCAGTCTAAATCTATGTCAGGCAACATCTGGTCACGGAGTAGATTGCGAATATACATGCATAACACATGTCGAGGTTATATGAGCCGACGAGGGTTCACTACCTCATCAACTAACTAATCTCTTTTATCCCAAAGCTGTACACCCGACATCTGCATTACTGAAGAAGTAGCTCAGATGTATTGTTTCACCGATAGTGACAATTTTTTCTTAACCTCCTTGTTAAAGTTACTTCACTTCAGTTTCAAAATCGGTTGTTAATTAACACCCAGTTTCTCCTCAGTTTTCAGTCTCAGTAAAGTTCATAAGTATTTGTCATTAATTTTTCCTAACTTTTATCAAATACATGAATTTTAGGTCTGAAGAACTGTTGACAAGATAATGGAGACGTAACGTCTTGTAAATAATTTAGCTGACCACTCACTAGTGTAGAGGAGAACGTTGAGTACAGCAGAAATGTCGGTGAAGTTTAGTTAGGAGGATATTCACGTAAATGAGTGAAAGATATAACTGCAATTATAAGCCTAATCATATGATTAGGCCACTTTAAAGCTTTACATAAAAGATGTATTGACTGGTCTCTGGAGGCAACTGATTCCATTTTGCTCCGAATGCTATTAATCATTTTACAATGTAACCGGAAAGCTAGGAGCCTCATTATATCAGTGAAGTTTCATGGATGAAATGCGGTCCACACTCAAGACCATACAGCATGAAATTGGTTGGGTTTCCAGTGAACAGTCACTGTATCTAGTTCCGTCTTAAATAAGGCCAGTCACCGGCCAAATAGCTCAGCGTTTTCGTCTCTGAATTCAACACTCGGTGACGCTGGTTCTAATCCAGGAAGGGAAGTCAGTTCCCTCAAAGTTGCAGGTCTGCTTTGCCGATGAATGAAAACAAGCCCGAAATCAAGGTCAAACAGACCTTTCTGCCGATTGTCTCCAGCCAACGTATATGCATAAGGGATGAATTTGTGAATTCGTATATACACAGTATTTAGTGTGATCCTATTCTTAGCGTTTTACGGGGACCTAATGTATCCTTTGACAAGTGGAAAACTTACAAGGCTCTCGTTACAAACCAGCAACAGCCAGAAGAAAATAAATACTATTTGCTTGCACTACAGCTCAACACTTTAGGAATTTTTATCTAGTTAAATTTATTCGCATTTCCCAACGATGTTTACACACACATTCTTGATCTGTTTAGTTGTTGTGATTATAGTCTAGTAATTCTGTTTTCTCTGTTCCAGTCACATAACAAAGCAAGATTTAGCCATACCAGATTCATATTGTAATCCAGCAAAAAATCCAGAAGAGCAGTGTCCAAGCAATATGAAATGCATACGCATTGCTAGTTCCATACAAGATGATGGAGGTTACGCTGGATTTGAAAGTTTTCGTAAGTAAATTTATTCCATTGTTGTTTTGATCAGTGATTGTACAATTGTGAATGATAGACGTACTTGTCTATGTAGGCGTGATAAGTGAATCTGTAGGAAAACTTGATTTAGAGTAGAGTTTCCCCTGGTATTTTCTCCACTTGATCTGTTAGCTACATTACGCAGTTCACCGAAGTGAGAAACATATCAGCCAGCTAGTCTTTATTGATTGAACGAAGCCAATCAGAAGTACATCATTACTATGTTGTATAAGTAAGCTATTTCAATTTATTCCTATGTCAAATATTTCCTAAATACTATAATGTTATTAGTATTACTGATTGCTTGGTTACTGCTTAGAAGTAGTCTTAAGGTAAACATCTTATAAATGATATGGGCCTTTCCTTGTTTAATACACTACTGTGTAGACAAATACTTAACAAAGATCATTCGAATACTATTTACCATGAGATGCTTCCTTGTTTCCAGCGACTTCTGCACTAAGACCAGTTTGCACTTTCACCTGTTCAGAGATGAATTAGTCTGTTGGAGTATATAGTCATCTTTTTAGATAAACAGTCAAGCTTTTGAAATAATTGAAATAATTCGTCACACTTTATTTTTCTCCGTATCATACTGCATATCATACCATTCTGTATGCATATTGTGTGTACACTAAATAATCGTCCTGTTTTGTCATTTCGATCTCTGAATTATGGGTATTATTTACAAAAAAGTGTAAACATATTCTTAAATACAAAGAGCTGATGTAACAGGTGTAATGAACTACTAAAAAATAACATTGACGCATGTAAACCTCCTTCATTGAGCGTTCCGTGCTCTGAAGAATGATTTTGGACTCTTTAGTTCTTTATTGTATGATACTTCAGAATATCTGATTTTGATTACATTACGTAAAGCAAATAATTGAGATATCTGTTAACTACTCATCCATACAATAGTGAGTTTTTTAACTCTCACTTTACTTTCTAAAACTTTAGACGTCAGTATATTCACCGTTTATCAAGCTGCTTCTCAAGAAGGTTGGGTTTTTATAATGTACCGTGCAATGGACTGTCTTGCTTCATGGAAAGGAGTTATCTATTTTATGTCCATGATATTTTTAGTGGCATGGTTGGTCAAGGTAAGCTTTAAAGCAGTTATTTTGTTGCAGTGTGCATTTAGTGCGATAATTAGACAATTGTTATATTATAATATATAATATAGTACGTTGTAACTGAATCTATTCCTGAAAGTTTAGGAAGCTTTAGTTTACAGTTGACGAGTATAAATCTAGTAAATAGACGGGAAAGCCAAAGATGAATAAAAATATGACTTGCTATAAAACTTTGACTCACTACCTATCTTGTCTTTTTGATATCTTATTCATAGAACTGTATGCTGGTCATAGGTCTCAGTTCTATACAAATCTCATGAAAAATACTGGTTTGAATCCTTTGATAGTCCACTTATTTCTGTAGCTGTGTTTATCATTGTTTTAGGCAGAAACTAATCTACTAATTATGGCTATCTCAGGTAATCGAAATAACACTGAAATCCATTTATATTGGTTTACATCAGTCTTCACACACAAATTAATATTTTCATTTTAAGCAAATATCAAAATATTTTGGGCTTAATCCATCCCTTTTTTTACTCCATTCTGAGATATAACAACCATATAGTATTATACAAATACAATCAGTCCCAGACAATAATATTTCTGAAACCGGTTAGATTTTGCTTGTCACCCCCACTGTTTTGGCAGCACATTTACACTTACACAAGTATTTTATATGATTTAGTAGTAACTTGTATAATTCTGTGGTAAAATAAGGTGAAATAATTTAAAATTTTAAAGCGTGTAGGAAATACAACAGATTTCAGTGGAGTTTTCGTCAGTTATGCGTATCCTTCATAGAAGAATAAAGTATCTAATACTCTGTCATTATGATTTTCAACTGAGTTTTACCAATCAGGTTAGCAGTGTGATTGTTTAGTTCAGCGATATTTCATTGCTATGCGTTTTACTCAATGTTAAGTGATAATTTAAGAAAGCATTGGTTTTCGGTTTTCTGCTTTTACTGCTAACCAGAAACCATATCCATACCTTAGGAGGAAACATCGCTTTTTAGATATTCGAAATTCGCCTTACTTATTCTAATAACCAGAAGTAGAATCACTAAAACAATACAACCCAAAAAGTAGGTTTAAGATTTCATGGTGTTCACCCGTAATAGTACAATGTTAAAAAAATTATCTAATAATGAGAAGAAAAAAAGATGATAAATATTTCGTTTAAATTAAAACGAAAGTGACATAGTTGTCAGTTCATAGATATTCTTTGGAAAATTACTTTTCTTTGTTTTCATTTTAAGACAGATATTTTCCATAATAAAATTATGCGCTTTCAATAATACATCGATTAACAGATCACTTAGAATGAAACTGAAGTGAAGTGAAGCGTAGTTTCCGAGTTCATTAGCGACTTCAATAAGCGCTACAAATCAAAGTTATAGTTTCTAAAACAGAACTTTAAAGAAAAGTATGCTTTTTAGCTGAGTCTTATGTTTTTTTTTCCATTTGAGGTACCTACATTAATTTGTCATACATAGCATCGAGTTCGTAAACGTGTATTAGATTACTCTCTAACCTAGTTATTCAGAGAACATAGGAGGAATATCAACAGCTTCATTCGCGAACACATTGTCGTCTTCAAATACCTTACCGTTTCCAGAAGTTCATTCATATTAATTGACAAAGGATTTCCCTACAACTCCAAAAGATTTTGACAACCCTATAGAAACATACGTAAAAATCATTGTAATTCACAACCTTAAACCTGGTCTTTTTGTGTTCGGTAGTATTGCTTGTATCCATTGGCGGAAATAATAATTTTTGTCATGAAAATATTTTCTGCCCCTCTATTATATATCTCTAATATATTTTTATCATATCACCTCTTCCATACTTTTTTTGTTCAATGGGAGATTTTTATACTTATTATCTAATCCATTTATCTGATTTCAACTTCGACACTTTCATTCCTCTTCAAGAATACTCTTCTAAATGCTTAATAATTTTCTGGAATAATGTATCATGATTTAATCGGCTTTTATCAATGTTAATAAATTTAAATACACTTGTACAGCATTTTAAAATGAAACCTCTGAAAAGAAAACTTATTCTATCGTTACACATTTATTTTATGACTCAAACTATTATTTATAATTATAGCCAACTTTATTACAGAATGCGATTTTATGCAAATTAGGTATTCAGAATTGTAGGGCGAATTTGTCACAACTTGTAATGAATGAAATGGCATATATATATATATATATATATATATATATATATATATATATATATACGTTGATATAGTGATTTTTCAAGCAAATGTTAAAATAATATGATATGAATTTTATTTTGTATTGTTTCTTATTACTAGAATGTATTCATTGCTGTACTAATTGAAACATTCGCTGAAATAAGAGTTCAATTTCAACAAATGTGGACACCACGACATACTGCAGATGCAGATTCTTCAAAGGTAGGCTACATTCCTGTAATACACAATTTACACTGAATCAGTTTACTTTCATTATTCATTATTTATCCCTACTGTGAATTATACAAATATTACTTTAGTTTAAAATCTTTGTTTGTCTTCTATCACTAATTGTGATTGGTTCAATTTCCTGACCCTCGCTAGGATAACAAACAAATGATAGATAGTCGGATGATAGTCGACAAGGTTTTATTTTTTATCACTCGTATCTATTTGTTGAAACTATTACTTGCCTCAAGCTCAAAGAGAAATAAGGTCTTTTAGTTTTGAAATTTGTAGAGCTTTATTGACTTCAAGTTATTATTCATGACAAAGTGACATCAGCGGGAGAAACATTGGAAACCTGGGAGTACGAGACAGTTGTTCTGTTCCATTTCCTCAGCACTGCTCACCTATGACCTTGTTGGGTATTGACTCCAGGATCTTCAGACTTCGCGTTGAATAGGTTACCATTGAACAATTTGGTCGGAACCTGGCGGTTTACATTTTCTTGATTCTGTAAACTCGCGATGTAATGTGACCTTCATCGAATACCACCACTTAGTATTTATCCTCACATCCGAGTTGATTTGCTCCACTGATCATGACGTTTTGTTAAAACCTAGGGAAGTCTCATCTCGAAACATGTCATTGGCTATAACTGGACAGTAAGTTAGTTTGAGGGTCTATGAAGTCACGAGTGTGCACTTCTGAGACGTCCCATATTAAGATGAAACAAATATCTAGTACTCTCTAGTTTTAAGTGGTTCTCCAGCTGGTGTCATTCCGTGATGAAAACCAACTGGAAATAGTAAAGTCAACTAACATGTTACAGAAACATGCCAATTAATCATACACGGGATGATAAGAAATTAATTGTATCTATGGCATTAGTGGAATAATCTTTACAAATATATGTCGATGGCGACATATCACATCGTTTGACTGCATATTACCGGTTATAAATTCTTTGGCTTATCCCACTACTTGATTCGCTAATATAAATATGTTGAAAGTCTCAGAAACTAATTTTGTAAACAATAATTTTCTTGTCTTTCTTGATTGATGGGTGCTTTGGATAGCATAATATGTCCTGCTAAAGTTGAATTGGTTTGTGTACCATAGTGATATACAGTGGGTGTAGGAATCGGTTGACGATTTCTGAGACATCTCTCTTGCATAATAGAGTAGTTCATTTTGTAGACTGAAGCAGTTAACCTGATGTGTATCATGTTAAATAGCATTTTTTTTATTCAGTTATTTAGATAGTCATTCGCTCTGAAAACTTTGTGAAGCTGATTTCCTTATAACTTCTGCAGTCGTTGAGTACTACGGTGAATATTGGCAAGTGCGAATAGTGCTTCTATATAGCTTATCGTATTGCACATCGGGTTGTTATTACTGTAGTGGAGAAATAAACGTCTGTCGGCTTCCTCTACAACTGAGTCTTTTGACGAATACACCTTCTTCTTTTGTGAATTAGTTACCCTCAAAGGTTTGGTTGATTAGATTCTACTTGTTTTCCAATTCACTTGTTTTGAGAGTCAGAAAACTGTCGTTGACACAATGAATTGAAATTTCCTGTTTAGTTATTTGGATTACTGCTGGTTCTGATATCTGTCTCACCGCTTCAGTGATTAATTCGGATATCTGTGAGCCTATAACATTTCCATTATTCTGTTTGTAAATCTTTCCACTGAACTGAAAATATTTTGTGATAAAGTTTGAAGCGGTAACTTTCGTATATTTTTAAAGACTGTAGTCACAAGTGAGAAGAATACTCATATTTCGTTTGGCAATGTATGGGTTGATTGACATGAAAAGAGCAGTTACATCTTAGAATAGTATTTTTTTTTCACCATGGTCAGTCTTGAGCTGTTGAATCCCACCGACAATATTTTGCCACTTATTGTATAACCTATTGTATAAATTATATGATTGTGTTCCTGGTGGTGGCACTACTAGTTGCAACAGAATATCTAAGTAAATAATTTTGGTTGACTGCAGAGTCGAAGTGGAAATTCAATAGCTTTTTAATGGTTGTATCCAAATGCAACATCTTTTGATTTAAAATGTTTTAAGATATGTTCTTTGGAATAATATTGAACAAGGTTGTTGTATTAGTTGTATATTGCTTTTTTAGTTTTTTTGTTGGTTCAACTGTAATGACTATTTTTGTAAAAGCCTATTGAAAAAAGAATAAATTACCACATCTCACCCACGGATTTAAGCAAGCTACTTCATTTAAAAGCCTGAAGTATCATAAATCTGATATTTCATTCTAGTATTCAATAATCAGCTACACAAATATTTTTTTATTGAGAATATTTTTATGCTTTTTATCAATCAACAAACGATAAATCATAATTGAAATTCAAATGTTTCTATTAACCTATATTAAAGATCTTTCAATTTGATGGTTTAACATGGAAGTTGGTTCCTGTACACGAAAGCAAAGCACGTGGTTTAGCACCAAAATTTTTTCAAGAGGTAAGTACTAATAGCAGTAGAATATGCTCGTATTTCAAACAGTTACTAATGGATTTGTTGATTGAATTTTGTTTAGTTATTTATTGAAAGTAAAAATAAATGTCATATTCTAGTTCAATAATACTTTATAACCGAATTATTTTCTGTCCTCCAACCTGATTCAGAAGGCAGTTGCATATAAAGTAACCGTGATCGCATAACACTTCCCTTTTGGGATCAACCCACACTAAGTAATGTCTGTCAGTTAAGTTTTGAATAATATCAAGAAATGCTTGTCATTGGATGACTGGATGTTTAGTTAGTCTTAAAATCCATCAATACATGTAAAAGATTCATTGGAACTATTTGATAAAATTAATAGCCAATAAAACGAGCTGACTGTGATGATTTCTTGGATAACTAATAGGAGAAACCTAAACTATACTTAAAGTATGCTTGAGCATTGCTCCAGGAAAGCCATCTCCCCTGAAACTTTGTATGCATCTTGAATCTGTTAAACCGAGAGGTGAAATTCTGGAGATAGAAATTTGGGTACTATCCGTAGTACGTTTAAGACCTACAAGTTGCTAAGGGTCACTTGTGCTAAAATCTCTTTTTGAGCACTCACCACAATCTTTATATCAATATCGGTAAGTGGGGCATTTATGCCTTATTCATGCTTGTTAAATGGTGAGAAACTTAGGTTATAAATGGCATCTTGTAAGCCTAGTTCAGAGATCTATGGAAACTTTGGGACTTCTAGAGTCACCATGTTTACACGTTTTAGATCCACTATCTACACCGCCTTTACAAAAAGCGAATCTTTAATACTCTAAGGTTATGAATAGAATGTTGATCATCATGAAATATACGTCATTTTATTTCAGCCCAGTAGGTATATCTTACTATCTGACACTGAGGCATTATAAAATGGAATCCAATAATCCACTCAATAGTATACAGTTCGCATAATTATTTGGACTTCTTTACGGGCATTCTTTTATAGTTACTGTGCTCAATTTTTCGCCTACCCCTCATATCACTAGACACCGTTGGTTATATTCATATAGCTAGTAGACGGGATTTCTGAATTGTCAAAGATATGAAATACATTACTATATGAAAGGAGAAATCACATACATTGTGGGGATGAAAGGCGACAAACAGCTGTTACTTTCTCAAGATGTCCATTAGGAAGCGTATTAAAGGCAATCGTTTTGAATACATTTCTTATAGGCAAACGAGCATAAGTTACTGAATATCTCCTATTGTAGTAAGTGTTGGAATATTGTTCTTTTTCAGAACTTAGTGGAAAAGTAAGCTCCGATTAATTTAGTCTGATGAGTCATTTATATGAAAACTGTAAACTGGTTTTATTCACAAGTTTGAAGTTTACATTTCTTCCTATCCTGCCACGCATTAAAACAAAATCAAATCTGCACCAGAATACATATTATAGTCTCCAAATAGTGAACGTTGAAGTATAACAATTCTGGAGTCTAGAAATGACCTCTGGTGAACTCTTTATGCATCTTTGGGAATAATTAATACAGGTTGATTATTGAAGGTGAAATGAAAATTCGGACTGTGGCTGGATTCAAACCAGCGACCTCTGGGTTTCCGGTCCGTTGCTCTACTAACTGAGCTACTCAAGTGACAAGGCATGTCGTATCCAAAGTTAATTGCTCATCCGGTGAAATACTGACTGTGGATCACTAACCAGTTACCTAAAATTACTTGTATTTCTTATCCTTTAAAGACAACAGTTGATTGAAAGAACTAAGCATATAGTCAAATGAATAACTTTCACATGAAGCTCGTTTATGGCTACTATATAAAATAGCAGTTATTCACTCTTAAAAAAATTCAGAAAAAACATGCTTTCATTAGATAAATTGGGATGATCACTTGACAAACTTTCAATTTTTATGATTAAGGAAATTATTTTTTCCTTTTTGATAAGGTATACTCTAATAAGGCGTTCAAAATACAAGCAAGTATCAGTAGACGTATAGTTATGCAGGGAAGCCTAAGTGTCTAGTGAGCAAGGTGAAAGTGGAAATGCGCAAAATGTATATGTGTTTGATTATTATTATTTTTTTTTTCTCTTCGGTTCCTAATAGAACATAGGGTTTCAATAGCACGCCTCCATGCCACTCTCTTCTCCGCAGTCTTTTGAACCTGGCTCCATGACTGCCCATAAGCTTTCATTTCTTCATCACACCATCTCCTCCTCTATGTCACCCTCAACTCAGACGCCCAGCTCGTCGTTTCCTCTTTGGATTCCACTTGACGGCCTGGCCTGGAGCGTGATATCCACAGTCGTCCTTCTCAGTGTATGCCCAATCCATCTCCACTTTCTTCTACATATTTGTTGTTGGTTGTGTCATTCCCAGATATGTGTTTGACAGCCAATGGAAATTAAGCGATTTTAATAAATATTTAGATAAAATGTATGCCACTGACACTATGGAAGCAATTTTATGCTGTTGTAGAAAGCTTATCAAGCAGCGCTGAAAACATTGGAAGGATGAATATTTTCAGTAGGACAGCGTAGGTCTAAGTTTCTTATTTCTCAGCAAACACCAGACTGATGACCACCTTACAAGTTTGGTCAGTGAAAGTCAGTCAGAACCTTAGATGGTATTTTGTTGATTACTCTTCAATAATCTTTCAGTATATCGCACTAAACCTTTGTTCATATTAACTTCTGAAAGAGGAATAAGTGACTTTTTTATATTTCTCTATGGAAACTCTCCAACTGCCTTTGTTTTCTACTCTGGAAAACTTAATAAACGGATCCATCACTATATCGCTGAGAAGACAAATTATTTAAGATATAAGACTATACTAGCAAATTAGATATAGTTTATTGAAAGGAATATATAAAAAATCTCATGACTGACATTTATGTGTACGCCCATCCCCTTTTAGTATCGAATAAAGTAAAAGTTTACGTCTGAAGATTTTTGTAATCTACAGTTGAAGCGACTGAAATGTATCCAAAATCATGGATTAAAGTTAACAAAAAAAACTAGTTAGTCTGGTGAGATCAAAGCAAGCCGTTTTAATTCGTAAAGATTGAATTAAGTGTAAAACAATTTACGTACTCGGAATAAAAATAAGTACACATTTACAAGGTGGTCTTGAGAATGAATTAGTTGTACTCTATCTTTGTTGAATGTCACGTAAGAATCAGATAAGGTAATTACTTTTCTGTATGTATAGGCCTGGCTTCACAATTTTTTATGAGATAAATCCAGAGGTATGTGGAATTCCTATAGCTTTTTACAGGCGGTTTGGGATTTTGTGAGTAATAGAATCATTGTCTACCATGAAATGAAACTGATTGAGATTCATGTTCTTATTTACTGTTTTACTAAGCAGAATGGCAAATATGCTCCCACTTATTTCGAAACAGTTTCTATTCTTTTCACCAGATAAAAGCATTCAACACATACAGTAATTATTCGCAACAAAAAATTTAACTCCGTAACCTTCACATGTTGTTCAGATAATTCTATTTCTTCTGCTTTCTTTGTGCTAAAAGTAATAGAATTCCGTCGATTTTCGAGTCATCCCAGTGTGAACGCTTTGTGTCGACTCAGTAAACAAAAGTTTCAGGTATCAGTTGCTCTCCATGCTGCTAACTAAGACTATCATCGTGTTCCATTATTCAATGTGATAATCTACGATTGTGCATATTGTTATCGCTGAGACTTTCCCTATATTCTTATATGTATCACCGATATGTAATGCCGTAAATTTTGTTAAGCTTATGTGCTTACTTGGTCTAATTGACTGCAGCTGAGTGCCGCAATCTATTTGTTTGACTATATAGTGGTAACATAAAATCTTGAAGGTGAAAAACTTAGCTGATACTCTTTTATCACCCTCTAAGCCACTAAACATTGATGCATCTACGATTGACTTTACCGGAGCAATGAGTCGGTCAGTATATTTCGAATGCGATACCGTGAATATGTTGCTTACATAACCCCAAATTATTTTAAAGCAAGGGTGTTTCCCAAGAGCTCTCTTTCCAGTCTGTCTACACATGTGTCTATAGCGACTAAGGATAATTTTAACCTCCTTTTATTTGTTTGTAGCTTATTTCTTGAAACTAGATTGCAAATGTCCAATAGAGCTGTACCGCTTGCATTATATTTTCAGCACTATATTGATTGTTACATCTGTATAGAGTCTATTAACATCGAAATTAATCACTTATCTACCATCTTCTAATTACAAGTCGCGTATTCTCTATGTTAGTTCTTACGAACGAGTTGGACTAGACTTTAAGTGATGTTTTATTAGAATTGGTACACTTGTGACTTACTTATACAGCTCATATGTTGGAATGTTTCTCAAGTTCAGCATGTGTTAGAGAGGGTAACCTGAATTATTGGCTTTAACAATATTTTTAGACACTAGTAATAAGCTGTTTAACCTGACCCAAAAATGAGATCATACAATGTAGTGGGTCCAGTTTTGGATCAATGAACTTTATATTTCGCCATGTGGCTTTGTAGCTCTTTTGAGGAAAAATACTTACTTATTATTCCTCTGCAAACTCAAGTGATGATGTAATATATTATATGGTGATTTGGTGTGTGATACTGTGTCCAAACACGCTGAGCGAAAAGGTCATGACAGTGATGAGGAAGAAAGTAGACAGAAACAAGAAAATTTCAAAATATATATGAAGGATATAAGATGAAATATTAGTCGTACCATTTCGTAAGCTGGCATAATTGATGTTATTTACAGTTTGAGAGCTATTACCAATATCGTCTATTGTTTGGCCGTTTTTAATTTTACTTGTCTCTTAGCTAATATTTTTAGATATTGGCTTTCTTCTGATGTTTATTATTTCTAAGTACACCGCTGATCAGCTTGGCTACAAATCAGCGAACTGGCTGTCCGGTGTTTAGATCACAGTGATCTGGCTAGCTGCCTAGCAAAATCTACAAATCACTCGGACTGCTTTCGAACTACTCAAGTTGTTCACTAGCATATCTTGCATGTTTTTATACTCTTTAAGACTCTATTATGTTAAAAGGTGAGAATCGAAAAATACTATACCTCTTGTAACCATCAGTCATTCATGTCAGTGATTTCATAGTTGGGCTTACTGCTCGTCATGTTATGGTAAACTGTTAATTTTTTTCAACATCCATAATGAAGACCGCCGCACATAACGAGTATTTAAAAACGGAAGATTTATTAAGCTGAATTATCTCTTCATATGAAATTAGGTAGTCACTAATTTTTGAGTAACGTATGAAAATTACCAACAGGGAGTATTTACGACCATTCTAGTATATTTACTGATACATTTATCTAGATGTAACTGAATAGAATGTGACAATGTTGAGTATGAGTTTAGAATAGTGCATTTCGCAGGCTGATCGCCCTGTAACGTGAATCGACATATGTAGGATAAGGTGAACCGTTTTAGTTCTACCCAGTGGCTGAACAGTAGCATGCTCGTAACGAAACCTTAAGATCCTAGGCTCGGTTTCTCGTTAAGTCTCGGTTGCGCACTACTAAGGATGCTTAGTGTCTATCCGGTGATCAAAAGTGTTTTGAAATCAGTTAAACACTAAAAAATACCCAGTGAATTACATTTTGGTGTGATCAACTACTAGAAACTCCACTGCATCAATAAAGTAATCGTTAGTAACAATGTAAATCAGCAATCTCGTGAACACTTACGTAACAGTTTGTAAGACAGATCTTATATGACACCTAATGATGAAGAGTGAAGTTTATAAAATTGGTCTGAAACTGTGACCCGATAATCGAATAAAGGTGAATGCTTATATCATCGACCTACAACCTGCTGTTACGTGATGTAAACAAAGGCAAGAAACTGGAAAACTGAATGTCTGTCAATTTTTACTCCTATAGTATACATTGTACTATGAATATTTTTTTAATGTATAGATACCTTATTTGTTTTACCTGCGCAAAATATCTTTTCCCACTAAAATTGATATGGGTATATAGTGGAAGGTTGATTTATGATATCATCAGTTAGGCATAGTACTTTTTTTCTCGTACGAATTCCCCTTTTGATAAATAAACTCTCTGCTTTGCTTGTATGTGTTTATGTGAGACTACTAAACATTCCTGCTGAAACTTTCTTTGCCTTTCTATTGTAGCATTCTAGAAGAAAAAGATGCATAAAATTTCTAGTAAAATGGTGCCACATGCACATATAGACGTATTTTATGCATGCAATATTTGTTATGTTACACTCGAATTACTGATCTCTCTTCCTTCACTCTCTTGCTCCCCTTACCACTCTCTCTCTCTCTACCTCTTTCTCTTAACTGTTTGATTCACTTGAAGCTAATATCTCTATGCAAAATTTCTGCGTAACCGAAAAATATGAACAAATACAGATTTTTCTGTTTTTGAGGTATGATGAAAATAGGAAAAGGTTTTCTTATCTAGCTAAATATTTTGTCGTTAAAATGCATACAACGTATATATACAGGGTAAGAGATAAAAGGCAGTATGTTGGTTAAGTAAATAGATCAGACAATAGTTGACGGTAATCAATACAAAATGTCTGTAATAGATCGCAAACAATATTACTGTACTCCATAGTATTTTGTTGAATAAAGGAATATGTTGAAATTCAGTTCATTTAGTGTATCTGCCAGCTGGAAGTGAAACATTTTAAAACTTGTTAGATTTATCGAACCTGCAAGTGGTTTTCATAATGTGTTAATATGATGTGAACAACAAATTAGCCTTTGAATTCTTATTTGTAGAGTTTTTGGCAGTCAGCATCTAGACTTTTAATGTATTTCAAGTACTTCTACATTCTTGAGTAAAATTTAAGGCTATTAAAACTGAAATTATACTCTAAAAATCATGTGTATCTAAAACGTACTTAAAAATATGCAGGGGCGGAACTCTAGAAGTTTAGTAGTATACACTCAACTTACGAAAGGGTCAAATTGTACAGAGCAACTGAATGTAGCTGTTTGATTTAAGGAGATAAGTAAACTGTCAAAATGTATCATTGATTTTCAGACGGCTTTCAAATCGCCGAGTCAAGGTTAACTTACCTCAGATATATGTAAATTTTCAGCTGCTAAAATGTAATGCCAACAGATGGTCCCATTTCAAACCAACTAGATCACAAAATAGTCTATATACCACTGGTTGGCAGTTAAAAAACTACTTAGTCGTGACATACAGTAACGTGGATCGAGCAGTTAGCAAGCAGTTTGCGAATGGACCTTATATTTTGCAAACATTTAGACCAGATTCCAGGATGTTCAAGGTCAAGCTTTGATCATTTCGTGAAGGAATGTTTCACTCAGCGGTTCTCAGAAATGTAGAATTAAGTTGACTGAAAGGTGACTATTGGATAAAATTCTTCTGTAGTCTATGCAGCGCCTGACTATCTGGTAAAGTTTAGACTTTCTGGCTGATATTTTTGTCAGAGATTCGATGTGACAGTGGAGCAGTTGTATCATTCTTTATCTTCCGAATACTGTTGAACAAACTAACGTTATAGGTTGTTTGTTTCCTATTTACCAAAGAGCTTTTATCTTATTTTATTTTCTTTCACCCCAATTTGTCTCAATCTACTGCCGTACAGTTTCATGGCTTGAACCAGTTCACACTTTGTAAAAGTTTCAGCTCATCCTTTTTTGTTGAAGTAACCTAAAGTAAAGTAGCAACCAATTAAATAGCCTATTAGGCTTTTTTATTCAGACTTTTCATTAAATGAGAACACCTATTTGGTTATTTCAGTAGTCGCCAGAGTGGTCTTTAGAGTCACTTAAATAGGAAGTAGAACAACATAGACAACAATCTAGCATAGACATTTTTTCAACGAACCATTTTTAGTTGGTGTACAGACAAATATTTAATCTTGTTATTGACTAGTAGGTCAACATTAGGTCATCAAAATGATATGTCCTATGTATACCGGGTCATAACTGAAGGTGAGATGAAAGTCTGGAGCGTGGCCGGTGGTCACTGGTTGGAATCTGGCCGTGGTCCAGATTTGCATCTCACCTTCAACTATCACCCAGTATAAATACTAGTCTGCCAAACAACGGTTATCTCAGATAGTCAGATGATAATTGATATGCTCTAAGATGGAACAGTGAGTTGTTTCCATAGTTAGGAGGTTGCATAATCTCATGGTATATAAGGAGAAGATGCAGTCGATCACTAATGCAAATGCGATTATGCAATCTCTTTCTAGCGCTAAGAACGGCTAACCATCCCATCCTGAAGCACATCGATTTGGTGACGTAATGACTCGTGGAAAATAAAATTTTATTCACTGGATTAATTTATATTTCCCAGTGTTTCATTTCCGATCCAAAGAGAAACTAGAATCTATGTTAGGCCGGAAGCCGGTTATCAGCTGATACCAGGTTCAAATGAGGGACCTATAAAGGCCATCAAACTATTTCAAACAATATATTCTCTTCGCCAGTTCCAATTTTACGCTCTGGTGCGTCCTCAACATTCTCTAATAAATGACAGTATTTCATATTTTCAACTGGTATGTAGCTGTTAAGATTGTATAGACATGCAAAGTAATAATTTCATTCTACAACATCCCTTCTGCTTCGATCAAACATTCGTTAACTGTATCTCTTCCACATTTACGTCTCATCATCATTATTCACCGTATTTTTCCATTTCAAACTCTTCATTTAACAGACCATACTGAAATCCACGGGCTTCAATGTGGTCATTATGGTTTTAGTTTTGGCTAATGCAATTACAGCTGCTGCTCTGCATTTCAATCATCAAAGTCTTAGAGGGGATGACCATCTGGAAGATCAATTGGACGGTTTCTACTACGCTGAGGTAATGTGTCTACAGCATTCAGGTTGAATAATTATTATCCTTGTGTGTAGTAGTATAACTTTCTTTAATCTAATGATACTTCTCAATTTTCTTACCCACATGTTGATGTTTGATTGAATTATGACCAGACGACTAACAAAAATCTTTTAAATCGTGAATGAAACACAGATCTCTTTTTTTAGACTTTATCTGTTCTGCGGTTCAGATTCATGACACTTCTGATGGTATAAAGTGGTATAATCAGTTCAAAAATAGTAAAATGAGTGGAACAACATTCAGTAACCGGTGGTACAGCATTACGTGCCACTTTCAATCGTGAACTATAATACTGCAAACTAAATCGAAATCCACCTAGCAAGCGTGTGCACATTTGTACAGTAGGCAATGAGCCACACCTATTGCATGAGGGTTAATGATTCTACCCGAGTGTTCAAACCTCGATAAGTGAAGCGGTGCCAGAACCCTACGACCCATTGTTTGAAAGTCAGTTCCCTAAACCAGTGAACCACAAGTTCATAACTGTACTGAATTACGTGCACTGGATATTGAAAGTATATATATATGTATATAGCTGTAGTATTAATTGTCCCGTTCTTCAGTGAAATGGAAAAGTTATGCAGGGAGGATTACAATTGATGATAGGACGTAAGACTTTGTGAATCGGAATTTTTTTGAGAATGAATGTGTCACGCAGGCGAACTGACAGCAAATTACTGGACATCGACAGGCTTACCATGGAAAAATAATTGTCATAACCTTGGTTTTCAAATACCTTTGAGTTTTACAGTAGAATATCACGTATACTGCCCACCTTTTTTAATTCTTCAGCAACTGAGTGCTTCATAGGGTATTTCCGACCAGCAAGCACTGTAGCTGTATAAAAGCGATGCCACCCACCATAGAGTGTTCACTGATCCCATCAGAATTCTGCTTCACAAAAAAAACCTTAAGGAGATCAGATTAGCATATTTTATCCCATAAATCTCGTATGCAGCGTTCAATCACAAATAAATCGATAGAAAACAAGGATATTTTACACGAATTATTGTAAAATGTTCAGTTGACATTTAGGAAGAAAAGCGTTGATACTGGAATTAATGGGTAAGACAAATAGTGAAAAAAAACAGAAATTCGACTGTATCCATCACATGTTTTATACATAACGAAAAAGAATATCCTTCCACAGTTAATGGAACATTGAAATTATGATAAGTCGAAAAATGCTGGAAGTATTACGTAATTATGTGTTGTGTTATGTAGACTGATGCTTCACGTGAACTGATGCATAATTGGTATAGAAATGAATATACATGAAAATGCTGATAATGTGGTATTAGCATCGGAAGTCTCTGAAGTGTGGAAAATATGAAAATGAATTGTGACAGTTGCTTGTATTCTGCCACAGTAGTAGTGTGTAATGGAATTCCACAGTAACAGCTTAAATAAGTGTAGTGATGATTTACGTATTTTCAATCTGTTAAAAGTATTACGACATATTTTTGACAGCCTGGTTTTAAAATATCAGTCAACAAACAAGATATCGGGTTACAATACATTTCTAAGTTACATCTCCTTTTACTGTTAGTTATAAATTACTTATTTCTGAGGCTGTTTGAACTACTATGTCTTCAATCTAAATTTATTATTATATTATTATTATTTGTCCCTCGGGTTCCTAGTGGAACATATCGCTTCACTAGCACACCTCCATTGCACTCTATTCTCAATAGTCTTTTGAACCTGCCTTAAAGACTACCCACAAACTTTCATTTCTTCCTCACACCATCTCATCTCCTCCATGTCACCCTCGACTCACACACCCAACTCGTCGTTTCCCATCTCGCTGACACTCGACTGCCTGGTCTGACGCATGATGTCCCCGAATGGTATTCTCAGTGTATACCAAATCCAATCCATCTCAACTTCCTTCTGCATATTTGTTGGATGATGGGTTCCTGTTTGATGCATTGCCAGACAGAGTTCCTTGTCATTCATTCTTTCTGGCTATCTGATCTTCACTATCGAGTAAGCGTAGGCGGCAGCTATTGATGCTGTCTGTAGTTTGTTGGAAATGCTTTTCATAACACACCAAATTTTTGAACTAATATAGAAACACTGACTTGACTGACGTTGGTGTTGAAAATCCGAATGTTATTCACGCTTTATGCTGAGTGCAGTCGGTCTCCACAATGATTTCAGATTAATGAAGGCCTGTCTTGCTGTCTTTCCTATCCTCACCTGTGCCACCACCTGTAGTTGAAACGATGCTGCCTAGCTAGGTGGGTAGATGAAAGAGACAACTTCCTTTACATTTATTCCGTTCATGGTGATTGGTGCTTGTTGTTGTGGTTGTTATTGTTGGTTGGGTATCTCTATCACCTCTATCTTCTCTACGTTCACCTGAAGTCCTGCCTTCGCTGCCTCTTGTTAGTTTTTACCTGTAGATCTTGAAGTTTGTGAGACAAGACATTAGACATAAATCGTCATCGGTGAAATGCAAATCTTCTAATGTCTTTGCATTTGTCAAACAGCGTATGTCGATCTTCTCGCTCGTCACAGTTGTCTGTTGAATGATCCTGTCGACCACAATCAGGAAGATCATTGGTGATATTAGGCAACCTAGATCGATAAGTTAACATATTCTGACTATGATGAAACACGTGAAAATCATATGTAAAGCCTCCGTTTCCACAATTATTTACTTTATGTAAATTTGCTAGACGATCATGAAAACACTTTACCATCTTGAGGCAAGGGGTTTTACAAGTCACGTATCTGGACACTCAATTATTTATTTCTTCAGTGCCCCATAATAGTAATAATCGATGTTTCAGTAGTTGACCAGTATGCTGTTCAGATATGTATCAGTTTCACACAAACCCAGTCATTAATTCTACAGTACTGCCAACCTACCTGCTGAGGTGTAACACTTGAGAACTGTAGTATAATTTAACTCCATAGTGAATTGTTTCATTTGACATAGCAATCAATACTACAGTATTATTTACTTGTTACAGCATATAGTAACACTGTGTGCTTTGTGATGTAGTGTAATGTAGATATAATGCTGAAGTGCTACTTATCATTGATCCACGTTAACTGTAAGTTACAGAGAATTAGTGGATTTCCCCCTGTCCCCGAAGTGTCCAGCTACTACGTCAAAGTGATTGATCACTGCGCAGACAACGATGTGCGTTTCATTTCCTTTGGGACTGGTTATCCGGATATACCTGCTCTCCTGTGACCGGTGTTTCCAACAGGACTCGAACCCAGCATACATCGCATCAAACCCCGAAACGTTACCCACTAGGCCAATAGGGCACTATAGGCGCCTCTTGTGCATAGACTATCAGTTGTAGTTTTCCGTTGCTATACAGGGTTAAATTCCTAGACTTCTGTTGGCATATGGGCTTCTATGCAGGTACCTCGATACTGTTCGAATATTCATGATGTTGTATTCACTTTGGTAACTAGCACTGAAACTCAGGACTTGAGTTTCAGGAAATTACAAATATCAAATAACAAGGCTGACACAGTCCTAAATAATTACTTCTCTGACAAAAATTTTCTTATTTTCGTTACTAATAAATTTTTTCCTACTTTGCTGTTTTCGTCTCTTTATGATAAAGAATGGGAATGCAGGGCTGTCGTTGTTTCTAGTCTTCTTCATAGTGCTGAGTAAAAATTATTCCATTCTCTCATGACCTACCCATCACTCTTGATGGATGCCAACTCATTACTTAGTTTAGTTTGAAACGTTATCAGGATGCTATTTAAATACCAACTACATCTGACTAATTTTATGTTCAACGTTCCCAGACATTGCATCTTATAATACTCAAGCTTGCTAATATTAGAATGTAAGGAATTTTTTGTAACTGCAGATGAAAGAAAACTGGAATATCCTTGTCAATACTGGATCTTAACGTTTATTAAACACTTCATACCGTCAGGATACTAAGCTAATTCCCATTATAAGGTTAAGCGTAAAGGAGACAGTTGTCCACTTTGAATTGCTTTACACTGACACCCTTACTAAGGAGAAACTTCACTCCTAGTCTATTCTTTTTTTTCTTTCCTACTTATGGCAGATTTTATTCACAGCGTTATTCAACTTGGAGGCTGTTTTCAAAATTTGGTGTTTAGGCTGGTCGAATTATTGGCATAGATCATTATTTAAATTTGAATTATTCCTTTGTGTTGGCACAACACTCCATTGTTTACCATTACTTTATCGCACGGAATTCACTTATTTGGCGGTAAGTTATTTCTTCCATCGTTATCTTGAATAGTAATTTTTTAATGACCATCACATAGTATCTGCATAAATATATCTCTTTTAAACAGTTCGTTTAATTACAAAAAGCATGATGAAGGCTTCCTGCTGACTATGTTTGAGGATTTATGATAAACAGGATATCTAGACTCTTGTTTTTCTATCCTACACTAACAATGCTAACTTCAACTACATTGATGAACGACTAGGTTATGTACAAAGTTTCAAACTATTTGAGTTTACCAGTCATACCATTTTTGATCAACAGAATTTCACACACTCAAAGAAAAAGTCCATGGTAACATCCTTTTACTGACAGCTTTAATGGTTTATGTATTGTCAGTACTGCAGGGAGATTTATACACTGCCTTCCCACTGAATCGCAGTTAATGCTTGAAATTTTGCCACTTACTGTAGGTACCAGCGGCAAGAACTTTTAAGCTAGATCATCAGTCTAGGTAACCAACAAAAAAGTAACTGCTCTAGTTCATTTTGTTGAGTCTCACTTGTAATGAAGAACTGTATATTCACAAATGACCATAGTTATTGAAGGCTATTGTTGGTAATACCATACTGCGATGTTGTAGTAAAACTGCAAATGAACACATTGAGAATATCTCAAGTAGTCCAATAATTTTCGACTTTCGTACGCAATGAAAAGTTGTCCACGTTGACTGACATTTTGGAGGACTTCATTCTACATATTTTCCTTTGGTTCCTTTGAAGTGATGCAGTCACTTAAGTACTTCTGCATTAGGCAATAACAATGCTGAGAATCAAACAGTACCTTATGGTATCAAAAGTGTTACACTAGACTGTTACTTAATTATTGGTAAAGGACAACGCAACCAAGTTGATGGTTAATTCTATCACCAGAGATTTTAAATACCTGTGCCTTTCGGACAGTCAAGTATTTGCAACGTTTTGCCTAGAAGATTAATTTATGTCCGATGTTGAAGAAAATTAAATTTTGAGAATAAAATCTAATAATTTTATTTGATAGACACTCATTATAGAGGCTTGTGAGGAATTATTTACCTATTTCAGGTTGTTATTCATCACGGAATGACATCAGCTGCTGAACCATTGAAAACCTGGTAGCATCAGGCGGCTATTTCGTCCTGGTATCTCAGTCCATGATGAATGCTGACCAGAAGCAAATAACTGAATCCCATCAACCTCGAAACTGAATTATTCTAGTGTGCGCTAGTGACATGCTTCATGGTAAGATTCCTGAAGTTCCAATACGAAGTCATGTTTGGTGAGTCAAACTAAGTCGTACGTGAAGATAGTTACTCATTGAAGGCATTGGATGGAAGTCGTGCTTTATCGTGAACTGAAAGAAGTGTTAAATATGGATCACTCAGTTCCTGCGCCTTGACTCAGTAGTGACGTGCTAACCATGGCACCTGAAGGCCCTCAGTTTGATCCCTGGTGGGGCGGGGCCATGGGTGCGTACTGCTCAGGAAAACTATACCAGGACGAAACAGCTGTCTAGTGTTCCTACGTTTCCAATGGTTCTTCAACTGATGTCAGTCCTTGATGGACATTTACTAGGTAAAATTACATTGGTTACTAGAACGAAATTATATAACAACGTGATTTAACTGCTAACTGTGGAACCATAATTTACAAGGGGATCCAAAGTAAAATTTCAGAATAAATCCATCAAGTTACGTAATCTTAACCTCCCAGTGATTTGTCGAGAAAAATGGCAATTCTTCTCATCGCCAAATTATCTTTGTAATTAAACAAAATAGTTACTTTCCTGATGAACAATACGAAGATCATCGTTTAGAAATATGTATAAATCAAAATTCCGCTGCCAGTGAGATCCTGAGAACTGCGGGTACTACAGTCTTTCGAAATATAAACGAACCAACGGAAACCGTGTACAAAAGCAATACAAATGGTTGCAATATTTTAAGCTGCTTTCTGAATAGTTTCGGTGTTGCCGTTTGTCTCACATTGAGTGGTTATTGTAACTCACTGGTCTAGTGAACCACTCTGGCGTTTGAAGTGATTGGTATTTAGTTCGAGTCCTAGTGGGAACAACATCACTCACTGGAAGGTAGGTACATCCGGCCAATGAATCCCAAATGGGACGTCATAAGTATGTTTTCTGGATAGTTCCTAGTGGGGTGTATGAACTTTAAATGATGCTGTTGAGTCGCTGGCATTAAAAGGATGATACTAGATAATTATTTGGCAATTATTGGTTGGTAGATAAAAATATTTATCGTGAAGAAAAGTAGAAGGGTGATCAGCTTTGATAAAATGACTAAACTTTTTTGTGTTCTCATGTACCTTGTTCTTACTCTTTATACCAACAATCAATATTCTCGTCATCCCTCTATAATTTTCACCAGACAACATTTATCATTTCTTATATTTTCTATTGCTGCTAAATATGCTACTGATATGCAGTCATATAAGTAGCATTCATCACAACCTTTGGTTGATCATGATTCTAAAGAATCAGTTAATATCCCACCTTAATCTTCTTGGTAAATTTCACTTTTAGAGAAAGTACATGCTGCTTATAGGTCTGCATTTTACTTTGTATGAAGGTGGTGAAAAGAAAAATGATCGTTTCGATTCTCGCCTATTGTTCAGTAAAAACATCAGAATTCATCTTTGTGCTTCTTACAAATAATATTCCATTCTGACAACAATTTTTACAACATGATGAACTAATTAGATAACAGGTTTTGTTTTTTATGGTATCACTTTATTTTAATTAGCTTTACTTAACTTATACTAATGTTTCTTCATTACAGGTATTACGTATTGTTCGCTTAATCAAGGCATCTCCAATGCTTGAGGATTTTTGTTTCAAGGTATCATATTCACACTGTTTTAAGTAACTCCTTAATGACTATTATCTTATTGCTTATATGGTTAGCATGTATGCGTAATTTTTTTCAATAAAAAAGACAAAAATGTACAATGAATTATAAGTATTGGTTGTTAAATACTTTCATTCAGTTACAAAAAGAAAACGTCTAATTTTATCATAGTTAACTATAATAAAAATAAGTGTATGTTTTCCTAAACACAGCCTACTATAGATTGTAATTTTACAAAGCATGTTTACAATTTTTTTGCTCTAATTTGTGAATACTATTTGTATTTGAATAGAAGTGTACAGTTCATGAGAGAAGAAAGACAAAAATTTTAAATTTGTAGGCTGAACGATTCATTCATAAGACCCTCTTTGTCTTTCTAAATGGAATCACCAGGACTTCATGCAATATCATGTGAGCTGTGTGGATTTCTCCATGAGGGATTCAGTAACCTTTCCTGATGTTTTATCGACAGTTCCATTTGAGTATTCTGTCATCGGTTGCGAAGAACTTCCCATTACTCACTTTCCTGTCTGTCCACCGGCCTTATAGTTGTCGATCCACTTTTCAGTAGCTTTATAGATTGAATCTATATCTATACACTTGTTCATTGCTGATATACCTGAACGCCAATTTGCTCTAAGTTATCTATTTGCTCAGTTGAAGACCTTCATATTTTCAAAACTTAATTTATTCCCATAGTTTTCCATATCCACTGACATTAGGAATCAAGTGCTCTGACAGCAAATTACTTATTCATGTTCATGAAGATGAAGAGAGAGATAAGACTTTTTCCGATGTAGTGCTGGTCAAATATGATGCCGATAATCTCGTCTTCTTTCAACTTCACATCCTTTGGTTAACAAAACGTAGCCTGCAGACGATTTATGAGTCTATGGGCTACATCACTTTCAAATGGCCTCAGTAAATTTTTCATAATCTCTGAGATGTTCTTGATATATGATAAAACAATGTAATCACTGACTTCTTTGGACGGCTTGTTAGATGCTGATGAACCAAACGAATGTTTGATAAAGTTGCTTTGGTCATCAAATAATCTTCATTTCTTTATGTAATGGCTGTACTACAATGTTTTTTCTTTCTTGAGCGAAGTCTTTACGTAGCTAATTCCGTACACTGACACGTTTACGCCACCACAAATAAGTATTTGGTCAGTGTGTATCTACTTCCTATAAAAGTAAGTTTTGAATTCTCATGTTTTGATTCATAAGAGCGAAACATCTGGAAATGTCGGCCTGCTCAATTCGTCTTGTGAATTAGATGTTGTCAAAAATGTTTTTGATTAGTTTATGAGTACTTTCTAACACATTTTTTTTAACAGTAGCAAAAGTTTCACTCATATAGTAGATACAAATATACTGGAACACCACTGACAAAATAATGGGTTTAAGTCTGTGCATTATTGTTTCTGCCATTAGTCCAGATTGTAGTGATCCAATCTAAGCTTTCTGATTACTTGTGACATAGAATAATGATAATACGGTGTTATGTCTTGCTAGAACAGCAACCTAATAATTGCTAAAACTGATGATCACAGATTCAATTCCATATAGGACCTGAAATGGACGTTGCGCAATTGTCTTCCGACTTCAGTATTTCTGCAGCTAATGTCAACCAGTAATAAAAAGCCTCTTTGAAATTCATCACACCATTAAAAATCCATTTAAATAAGAATTAACAGTAAATTTGATACTTTACCATAGACCGTAACTTTAGTGTTCCAGTCACTTGTAAAATAAACTAGAAATATCATTGGAGATATTTCGGATGAACTACCTTTATACAAGAGCTTAGCAACAGTACACTTACTTTTGATTTATCTAAATAACCACCGCATAATATATCTAACTTTGAAAGGCAGGTTGCATGCCGAAACAATATATGTAATAGTGTAGGATAAAATAACAACAAACTACGAGGTATCTGCATAAATAATTCATTACTTCGTTAGAAATGCTAAGGGATGGATATAGCTTTTTCACAGTCGATTCACTTGAATATTTTGCTTAACACATAATTCACTAATATCTCCTATTTTTTATTGCTAATTTTTATATTGACATGCAGATATTTGGACCTGCTAAAAAATTGGGCAGTCTAATCTTATTTACCACATGTTTCTTAATGATCACTTCAACGTTCAGCTTACAGTTATTTTGTTTCTTTCGAGTATTTGAACCAACCTTTGACCGATTCTCTACATTTCCAAAAGTAAGTTGAACTGATTACGTCATTTTTTAACCATACCGTATTGAATTAGAATTTTTGACTTCCTAGTAGGTCTTAATCAGTGGGGAGCGAGAAGAGAGGGAATCCTTGGGCCGCTGAAAAGAACCTAGAAGATCTGGATTTCGCCGATGTCTTGTGTCTGATGTCACACAAACTTGAAGATCTACAGGCGAAAACCAACAAGTTGTCAGAAAAGGCAGGGAAGCGAAGACGAGACTTCAAGTGAATGTAGAGAAGACAGAGGTGATGAAGATACCCAACCCAACTCAACCAACAACAACAAGCTCCACTCACCATGAACGGGAGAAATCTGAAGGAAGTAGCCTCCTTCACCTATCTAGGCAACACTATTTCAACTACAGGTGGCACAGACGAGGATGTCAAAGTCAGAATCGGAAAAGCAATACAGGCATTCATTAGCCTCAAACCAGTGTGGAGATCTTCTGCACTGCACTCAGCATGTGGAACAAGATGCGGATTTTCAACACCAACGTCAAGTCAGTGCTCTTGTATAGTTCAGAGACTTGGTGCGTTACGAAACGCATTTCCAACAAACTACAGACATTCATCAACAACTGCTTACGCTCGCTACTGAAGATCAGATGACCAGAAAGAATAAGCAACAAGGAGCTCTGGCTGGCGACAAACCAACCAAGAACCTATCACCCAAAAAATATACAGAAGGAAGTGGAGATGGATTGAGCATACACCGAGAAAGCCGACTGGGGACATCACGCGTCAGGCCAGGCACTCGAGTGGAACTTCGACGGGAAGCGACAAGTTGGGCGTCCGAGGTGAAGGTGACATGGAGGAGATAGTGCAAGGTGGACACGAGAGCTTGTGGGCTGTGGTGAAGCCAGGTTGGAAAGATTTCAGAGAACAGAGTTCACTGAAGACGTGCTACTGAAACCCTATGTTCCATTAGGAACCCAAGGGACTAATAATATATAATATAATAGGTCTTAATGAGTTTTTTACTTCTTGGCAATAATGTGACTAGATGGTGGTCCGTAGTTATCTAGTAATATTATGCCGAAAGACCCTATGTCATTCACCATTAAGTAGTTTCAAACCGAGAAGATAAGGATTCTTTGCATCTGTCTATTTAAAAGATTTGATAAAACTGGCAAAAAAGCCTTATCGTCAATGAGAACACTACCAGACTTCAGGTTATCAGGTTAAACTTCTTAAATGTTAAGGTATTTTGTTCAGTTGACACTAAAAAGCATCAAAACCGTCCTCTTGAACAGCATACCTTTCTTATCATTTATGATTTCTCTGAATCATCTCTAATTATGTTCTGTCTATTTTGTGGCGTTATATTCTTGAATGGTGAATAAAATCCTTGAATAGTTAAGTCAGACAAATTTCTACACACAATGATATTAAACAATTAGAAACATTTTTTAGTAACAAATAGGAATAAGTACTTCGATGAAAAGTAATCGCTTCAAGCTAGAAGGGTATGATGGCTAGAAAGATTCCATAGATTTCTTGAGATTTGCCACCATATCAAATTACGCCTTCTATTATCAGAGAAATTCTTCCAAAAGAATGTAAACAAGCTGATACAGCATGATAAAATGTTAATCGAACTTGAGTATTTTCCAAGATTAGATGCTATTATGAAGGCATAAGATTGAACTGTTTACCTTTTTAGATGAAAACTCATCAGTACCGAGTAGATTTGACGACCTAGAAAACCATTTAGGTACGTTAATGCAAAGTGATGAAGTTTTTGAGAAGATAGAAAATATTTGAGGCTCAGGATGAAGATGGTAGTGACTTAGTATCCTCCGAGCTTTAGTATTTCGTCCACAAAAAAGTTTGTTGTTATCATTTTGAAAAATGTCAGGTATTTCCCCAGCGTCACACTGATGGGTGTATTAGGTACAACTTTAATGAAGACTGATGTTGTATATGAAGTTCTGACTTAAGTCAAGCCGTGATTTGGAAAGTTAATAAGCTGAACGTGAAGAGCATGCTAACTGAAAACTTTGATGGATAATCACACTATATCACGAATTAGCAGAAGCAGAAAACTGTGTATCATCGAACTCATATCCAGTAACTGAATAGTTAACGCAGTCACCAAGAGACCTGAGTTTGATCGTTGATGGGGTCGTTAATACGTACTGCTAAGGAGTCCCACAGTAGGACAGAACGACTGTGCAGTACTTCGAAGCTTTTAATGGTTGCCGAATAGACATCAGTTCATAAAAGATACTACCTTGAAATACAAAAGATCTAGTAAACCCTAAAGTAACCTAAGTTGTTAGTTTATGATGTTACAATGGCACATTTAGCTAACTTGTACCTAATGGTCAATTTTTCTTTCATACCGTTAGGTTAGTTACTTTAATATTTAGATTAACCGCTGAGTAACCATTAGAAAGTATGAGAGATCCGTAAAGTCCATCTAAGTGATGGTGGATGTCTAGCACCACAATTCATGAATTACTCTTAGACATCAAATTGTTTAACCTAGATATTGTGTCCTTATGAATATTGACTTCTAGAACATGTTTGATACTAGTTGTTGTTCTATGACTTATTTCCTCATATATTTGTGTATCGCACTCTTATTTTGCAATAAATTGGGATGCAAGTCGTATTATTACAGTCTCTATTAATAGAGACTATTTCATATATGATACACTCTGCCTTATTTATAGTATCCTCCACTATTTTCTTTCATATACTTCTCTATTTTGTTAAAACAAAATGTTAGGCATTCATGTCAATGTTTCAAATACTTACACAAAAAGGTTGGGTTGCCGTTATGCACGATACAATGGATGTTGTGGAGAATGAAGCTGTAACTACAGGAGTGGCAATATACTTTGTATTTTATCATCTCGTTGTGACTTTGGTAAATATCTGATAGTTTTCATACTTAAATATTTCTTACTATTACCATTAGTATTATGCACATGTAAATGTTTTTGTCATTGTACGTTTATTGCCATATTATTGTTCTTCATTGTTTACTGTATGTTTTGTATAGTCTTGTGTACAATGGATAATTATTTTCCTTTAAAAGACAGAAGACATACCAAAGGATTTAGTGAGATATATCCTGTTTCTAGATGAAATCACATTGACACCTGTCCTTATGATGATTTTATCTGTTAACTTTCTACATTTGCTTAATTCATTATCTTGTTAATAGTTCAGTCAATGTGTCTGTACGTAGATATGAATGAATGAGACCGTTATACTTGCTTTAGTCATAACCAAGGTAAAAGTCATATATTTTCTCTGCTTATGTTCATACAGATGACTTGTGTTTACCTAAAGATGATCTCTGTGGCATATTAATATCAACTGAATAGATTTACATCAAGGGTAGTGATAGTTAGTTGTTTCTTCTCGTTTTCAGACTCTTCAAAACATTCATATACTGCTAAATTTCACATTTATCGAGCCGTAGGTATTCATTCTTGACATAGTTTGCGTTAGTTTTCAAAGTAGTGATATCTGGTTTAATAATGTTGATATGTTTTGAGATAGTATTCATCACAGACTGACATCGGCTGGAAAAACATGGAAAACATGGAGCACCGGACATTCACCTTAAAATACACTACTGCACAGTGCTTATAAGTGACATGCTTTCAGATGGATATCCCGAAGTTCTAATTAGAAGCCGTAACCTGTGGGGTCAACCAGTTAGCGGGTAAGCGAACGTGCTCTATCACGAACCGACAGAAGTTAGAAACTGTGAGGCATTGAACTCCGGGTCAGTGGCTCGTTGGTAAACTTGTTCGCCGCGAAACTTGAATGTCCTGAGTTTAATCGTCAGTCAGATCGTGGGTGAGTACCTTTACGGAGTCCTGTACTAGAACGAAACGGCTTTTTAGTGCTCCCAAGTTTTTTAATGGTTCTCTAACTGATGTCAGTCCGTGACGAGTACTACCTCAAACTTAAAATCCTAATCCACTTCAAAATATATCAATATATATGAATCATTCGGAACCATACTTTTTTCTTAGCACGGAATTCTCAGCGTGTAACTTGTTCGCTAGACAACATTTTTGAAATAGATTAATTATCTTTGTGCCTTGTAATATATTATAAATGATGATAGAATTATTAAGAAATTTAATGACTTCAGGGTTGTGATAACTGTTTGGTATTCCAAAGTTGGTTAATAAGACTATGCTTCTTCACACAATACACAAGCTAAATAAAGTATGGTGCGATTTTTGCTATGGGTGGATAAAGTTTAATATATTTGCTCATTGTATTCCCTGAGGACAGAAATAAGGAGAGGTGCGGATGCAGAAGATGCTTGATTTCAGATAAAGTATTTTTAGTTAGCTATGTACAAGAGTCCAGATACCTGTCCGCTTTTAGGTCATCCTTATTTTTTAACAAAATTAGTTTTAGCAGCGGTATACAAGTCATGCAAAAAAAAGAGAGAAAGGCAAAGGAAAGCAAGCAGCATGTTAAGACACATTAACTCCACTAGGCAACAAAGTAGAACGTTTCCCTCTATATAAAGTGTACTGTCTTTTCATAGAAAAATAATAATGAAGCCAATTTGCAATCCTGAGATTCAATTTGAGTTCTGGCAAGCTTCTTCAACGAGAAGAGGTCTAAGGACCAAATGAAAGGCAGAAATATGGTCTAAAAAGGCAGTGTCGACTTACTTAGCACCTTTGTCCAGACTGGCAATAATATTATGACATAAGGAAGCTGAAGCAATATAAAATACTCCTGAGTCTGCAGGTACACTTGTTTGAACCATCGTAAGCCTCCAGTGGAGGTATAAACACATGAAATGACGGTTTTTCAATTGTTTTTTAAGAATGATGAGGTCATTATGAGCGGTCTCTAGAATACATAGACATAGGTACCGAAAGTATAATAATCTCATCCCAGATAGTTGGCGAAGAACTGATGAAAAATCTTTGTTAATGGATGACACAGAATATCAGCGTATTTGCTAAATAGAATACCTGGCATGACTTCTTGCTTTTTTTATGTATTTGAACACATCTGTTTCAGTGGTAGAACTACTTTTGTTATATTTGAAGAACTAGATAAGTAAACGTTGCTAGGCTTGCATGTGGATGTCAGCTTCACTGAACAGACGTTTTTTATGAATTAATTTACCGAGTTTCTTTCTACCAGTATAATTTTAAATGTCTTCACACTCCAAAAAGTTTTCTCAGTGACCTAACCCTTGGTACTAACTTTAGTATTTTATACACCTTCAATAAGCTCAGTGGAAGTTAAAATCGTATTAGTTTACTCATAATAATAAGCAGGAGTGCCACTTTTTGTTATCTTCTCGGGAGAATGAATAACAGAAGTTAAGGTGCTTACAGTGACGTATGACTTGTCTTTATCTAGTAAACTCCTAGAAGAGAATTTGAATTTCTCGTAAGATTGAAAGTGAGATTTGTTGGGTGCTAAAATGAATTGGTAAGTAAACCTATTCACCAGAACTTATGCAAATACATTTATACATTCTGACTAGGAGTTGTTGTTTATAAGTATAAGTACTTAATTTTTGACCAATAGGTTACAGATGTTTGTATCACTTGACTTGATAAGATTTAAATAATAGGGTAGTATTCACTGCTAGCCGTTTAAGAATAGCTAGAACTTTAAAATTCCTAGTAGCTGATAAACGACTTTATTTTTATTAATTTGTTCTTACATACTTTGTCGAAAATAAACCTGAATAACAGGCGGAAAATCAGTTCCTTCAAAGAATAATATATTGTAATGATTTGTCCGTTTTTCAATGTAGCCATCAGGCTAGTTGACTCACTATCTCTATGCACCTTGATAGATGTTAGTTAGATAGAGGCAATCGATAGGAAGGCCTATTCGATTGCGGTCTCGTGCTTATTGGCACACATCAGCAAGACATGTCTGCAACCTCGAAGGAACTGATATCCTATGTGAGATTCGAATCTACGTGAACCATTGCTGCATCCTAAGCTATTCGGGCCACGGGTGACCTCCTACGAGACTAAATTATATAAATCGACTGGTCACTTGAGAGCGAAAAATCTCTTCTTGTTTGTTCTAATCTTAGATGGGAACATTTTCGAAATCTGATAAACCTGTGCAATGGACAAAATATACTTTGTTAACATCACATTATATGGCGAATCCGGCACCTTTCGTTGATATTCAGCCAATAGCTAAGGGTGATGATTCCCCCGACGTATGAAAGCAATGTGAAAGATAGAAAACAATCCCATAAGTGGGACTTAAGTAAGCACATCAAGACATACACTTAAACAGCTCTTAAACTTGAGGGTGGCCCTTTTGCTCTAAAGGGCTATTTCATAATTTATCTCTGCGTACTGTTCTGCTTCTTTGTTAGTTGAATAACACCACCATCTGAATAGACCCTTCAAAAGAAGGATGTCCAATATGAATTGGAAGAAACTGCTTACCTTAGTTTTAAATTATTTTCTCTCTCCACTTTGATTTTACCTTTTTCTTATCGTGGAGGTGAATCTATGAAGTGCAGACCTCATAGTGTAACTTCATCTTTCAAAAAAATTACAATTACATTAGGGATAAATCTACACTACATATCTTACCTCTTTTTGTCATATCCCCACTTGTTACACAATAACAGACAACTAAAATTGTATAATGCTCAAGAAGAATAAAAACTTTTCTTTTAAGGTTGTATCCATTCCCAACTGACGTCAGCTGAAAAACTAGATTTTCAATGGTTCTCCACCTGATGTCAGTCCGTGATCAATACTTCGTTGAAATCAATCAATTCCTTCAAACCATCAAATGGAAAAGCTCTTCTGTTAAGAAAGCAACTCTAAGATGCTCCTTTTTTACATACCATAATAGTAAACTTTTCTGTAATCACGAAAGTATCAGTTAATCTCCTATTCTGATGTACTCATATTGGTGACTAGTGGTAGAATGGAGAACGTGAATTTTGTTCTACTCAGGACTTATCAGCTGGACAAACCGCCACCTCAGTGAGTGCTGTGCTTCCAGCTTAAAATCGAACCAAGTACCCATTGTTTCATATGCCAAAGCGTTATCCACTAGGCCACTGGGGCACGACAGTCAACACTTGTACAACGGGTACATTTGTTGTTGTTGCATAGGAGCCCATCTAACGACAGAGATCGAGAATTTCTATCCTCTATGGCAACAGGAAATAACAAGTTCCAATGAACAACAACAAATGACATTCGTTCAAAAATTGGTGGCTGCAGTTCCTCAGTGGTCTAGTGGATAACGCTTAGACGTTTGAAGCGATGGGTACTGGGTTCGAGTCTCAGTGGAAACAACATTAGTCACTGGGGTGTTGGCACATCCGGCTAGACAGTCCAAAATAGGACGAAGCGTATGTCTTCGATTCCACTGGGTTTCGTCATGAACAGCCGGCAGTATCGAGGCATTTGCATAGGACCCCATCTACCAGCAGAGGTCGAGCAACTCGGCGCTGTGTAGCAACAGAAAATTGCAAGTATCAAACAGAAATAATCTCCCTCATTCTTATCCCGGTTTTGAATAAAATACTAACTGTGCATTATTTCAAGGGCAGGTGTACAAATATATCAATATCACTAACTATTCTTGTTCTCTTTTTCTATTTCCAACAGATGTCAGAAGAGGTTTGGGAAAATATTTTAAAATTGTTTAGCCAATTGGTATAGACATTATTTTCTTTCTTAACTTCACAGTCATCCATTTCATGTTACTTTATGAGGTTTAAAAACGATGGCTAACTACACTATGCTTTACTTAATACTGACAGTGATCTATGCTCTATGTTTTCCTGACCTCATGACTACACGGATGATTCGGTAACAGTTTAAGTAATGCTCTGACATCAGTTGCAGAATTTGTCAGGTTTCACCAGTGTCCATCATCTATTATATTCAAGACAAAACTTCATGTTGGCATTCGTCATGAACTGACACCACTTGAAGAACCACTGAATACTGTGAAGCGCTGGTGTGAGACACCACAGTAGTGTTCATCCATGACCTCGTTGGGGATTGAACCTAGGCAGAGATTTTGGGTTTCACGATGAGCACATTGTCAGTGACCCAATGAGTCCGAATCCTCATGATTTTCATGATGAGAATGATGATTTTAAAAGTCATGAAAATGATATTCATATTTAAGGAAGAGACCTACCCAACATCAAGTTTTATTAACCAATAACTAAAAGATTCTGTCTGGATATTTTGTTTTTCGTATGTTTTTTAATATGAAATCCAGGTAATAGTTGATGTTAATTAGGTTGGTTGTGGTTATCAAAAGAATTCAGGAAACGCGTTTCGTACTACTTGGGACTCCTTAGCTGGATGTACCTGCACCCCCGTGAATGGTGATGTTCGACCTCCACTGGTGGAACAATTCGATCCAATAAAACAACGGAGAATAACATGTATGTCAATAAACAGTACTAACTACAATTTGTTGTACAAGAAGTGGCTGTTGTTCCTCCGTGACATAGTGGATAACGCCTTGGCGTTTGAAGCGATGGTTACGAGGTTCGAGTCTCAGGGGGAACAACGTCACTGAGATGCAGGTACATCCAGCTGACGAGTCCCAGATAGGGCGAAATGCGTATTCTGAGTTCTTCTGCTAGCCAAAACCAACCAAATTATCATAATTAACATTCAGACTATGTCGAGGCATCCGCATGGGAGCCTATATGCGAACAGAGGTAGAACAACTCGATCCAACAAAACGACGGAGAATGACAAGTATGTCAATAAATAGCAATAGTTGATGTAATTATTCTGAGAGGATTAATACATTAGCACTAATAAGGACTTGAAGTAAAAGAGAATATCTAAACATCTATCTCTCGTTCCCTTTTTAGTTATTATTGTACTCAACGTTATTTTAGAATATACTGTTTTACAATCTAAATAAGAATTTATTGAAATATGAAGCCAAGTTCCTGAGTTTCAATTCACTAAAAGACATTAAAACTTTTCATAAAATTTCCTAAACTATCCTATGAAATGTTAACAACTGTCATCAGGTTAACTGTTCCATCTTCTAGAATATATAATATTTTAACTTTTTATTCAGTAGATGGAGTTAAAAACATTTCTGAAGAAATTCTAGGAGCATAGAGTCTGTTTTCATATCATGTTATCACTGAGTAGTAGTCTGTAATGCCTAGTGGATGTTTATTATACATCTGAAATCACTAATCCTTATTATCTTTCTGTGTAATAATGACCTACTCAGGAAACCGGCTTCATAGTTACATTATGCCTTCTTGGAATATTTAAAAACCTTTTTCTTCCCTTTATGCTTTCTCCCATAGATTGTACTCAGTCTCTTTGTTGCTGTTATCTTAGATAACTTAGAATTGGATGAGGATATTAAAAAGCTGAAACAGGTGAGTCCATGCTTCAGATTATGTTGATTTGTATGCATATATATATATATATATATATATATATATATATATATATCACCTTTTTGAAAATAGATTAATTTCAGCATTCTTGAATTCCGCTGTAAAGTTTGTCAACTACATAGTTTTGTTGGATTTGTGTAACACTTTGAAATATGATGTCTGTAGAAGTGGTTTAAATACATTTTACACACCTATAAAAACAACTACCTTTAATGTATATATTCAGTATTTAGTAAACACAGAAGTAGATTATTATTATCATTATTTTTCCCTTGGGTTCGTACTGGGACATACTGCTTCAGTAGTATGCCTTAATTTCACTCTGTTCTCTACAGTCTTTTGAACCTGGCTCCACAACTTCCCACAAGCTTTCATTTCTTCCTCACATAATCTCTTCCATGTCACCCTCACCTCGGACGCCCAACTCATCTTTTCCCAATTCATTTCCACTCGAGCGTCTGGCCTGCTGCGTGATGTCCCCAGTCTGCCCTCTCAGTGTATTCCCAATCCATCTCCACTCTGCATGCACGTTGTCAATAGGTTCTTGGTTGGTTCGTTGCCAGCCAGTCAGCCAGAGTTCCTTGTTGCTTATTCTTTCTGGCCATCTGATCTTCAGTATCGATTGTAGTCAGCTGTCAATGAATGTTCAGAAGTAGATATGATGCTTAAATTAACCTGATCTAGTGTTTTTGTTTGCAAATTAAAAATAAATCAGGTGAAGCGTTAACACTTAATCCAACCTTATTAAATATCAAGTCTGTGAATCGATTAGCAACCTGAATCTACCATGTCTATGCATAAAAGTGAGTTTCTTTGATATGCACTGCGGAAAGGAATACTACACAAGATCATGTCAGTGACCTGCACAAGATTACGAGTACTAACTTTGTAGTACAGATTATGATTCTATCTATTAAACTTAAAGGATTTGTAAAGATTGAAAATACTTAACCATGATTTTGTTCGTAATACTGGGGTACTTAGCGTAATAGAAGTTAAAGCATTAAGCCTAGAGTATTTAATAAGAAAGATATAACTTGTTAGGGTTATGATATGCTCTTGACATACATCTTAAACAGATTATAAGCAGGGGAAATGTCTTAATTTGACCATGTTAAGATGTGATGCTACCCTCTAAAGCCATTGAAACCGATGATTGCAGATTAAAGTTGACATCTAGCAAAATCGATATCGGTGATACACATGCATTTATGCATGAATGCCGAAAATCCTATACATACATACAAGTCTACTTCTTCACTTTATAGTCCGTGTTTTTCTTTTTTGTTACTTTATTTACTATTTGTGATATTATAGTCTCCCTTCCTATGTTTTCTTTTGTATAAATTTCTCACTTCTGTGTATTAATAATAAATTATGATGAAATTGGCTAGTATGCAGTTTTAACAAATCTTGTATTATCTATAGCCATCTGTTAACTTCAGAAAACCGCATACTTCATAGATAGAATGTCTGATGTTTTTAGAAAGTACCCATTTCAATATGTGTAGAATAAATGTACTTATCGCTTTTAATGTAAACTGTTTATTTATTGACTAGTAATTATGATTAACTTCCTACACTTAGAAATTCAGGGAACAATTAATCCAATGATCTTTAACAGTTTTGTTTATTTAAGGTAATTTTATTTTCCAAGTTTACGATTCAGAATTTCGTAAATACGTTTTCTGCACTATGTATGCAGATTTATACTGCATTTCTTACAATTCATTCAGAACATGTGTGTATTGATAATCAAAAGAGTAATTGCTTAACTAAATACTGTTCCGGCAATAACTTAAAAGATATATACTGCATGGTGTAATACAAGATAGATGAATTTCTAAGTATAATCGGCATGAACAGTTGTGTTCAATGGTTCAAGGATGACCTTATTTTTCCTGGAACTGGAATGTTTTAAATCATGATAAAAATGAAGCTTATGCATAGTAGTGTATGGTTGTTTTGTCATAAATTGTGTTTGAGATATACTACACACAGAAACAGTTTTATATACTGAATAACGTTTCGGATACACATCATTATCTGTAATCATACCAAAATACTTCAACATGGTGCATATAATTCTGCTACCTTCTGCGCCTTTGTGACATTAGCAGTGGAAATGTCTAGCTGTATCTGGAACAGGTACTGAATCATTCTTATTGCATGCGGTTATTGTGAATTGCATAAATAAAAATTCATTTGTCAATCTCTCCATCTACTCAACTAATATACTTCTTCGAATCAATACTCCATGCTATCGTGCTGTGTTAATACGAATGGGTGTATGCACACCAATTTTCAAGCTTTCATATATATTCTTCATCTTAGGCACATCTAGGAAATAGACGGTGCCAAGGACATTTAGATGGCCCATTAACACTACTAAAATCAACAAACGTACAAATACTCTGAAGATATATAATTGAAATCTACAGAGTTGTTGCACAGCGAAGTCAACTCAGGAACGTTACCGTGATTCCTCAGTACGACTTGGATCACAGTTTAACCAGAACACAAACCAGTTAGTGAAGATGTCTCTTAGGTTGAATAATTCTACTGAACCTACTTAGCAAAATAAATTGTTTCTCTGAGTCTCTTGTAAAGATCGTGAGTTCAAATAATTAATTACAGCGGTTGGCCAAGATCACTTATAGTGTTGGAACGCAGACATCTTGATGAAACAATATCATAAGCCAACGGAGAAAAATAATCTATAGAACAGCTTGAACACAGATATGCATACAAACCACTTGCAGTCACACTATAGGATGGGACAGAGTGATAATTCTGAGAAGTATATTGGATGAGTAGATAGGGAGATTGACAACTGAGTCTTTGTTTATCCAATCCACAGTAATTACAGCGAATAGGAACGACACAGCACCTGTTCCAGATATGTTTGGACAATTCTGTTGTTGAAATCACAAAAGAGCAGAGAGAGTAACAGAATCATATTCACCATGCTGAATCACCCTGAAATGACTACGGATAGTATTTTGTATCCGAAACGTTATTCAGTAAATGATACTGTTTCCTTGCATGATGCATCTCATTCATAATCTAAATAATGGTCTTGAATTATGTTGGAAGTCAATCATTTGTTTATAATGCTGAAATAATGAAGTAAACAAAACATACTTCTGCATTCATGGTGATGCTATGGGTGAATTTAGTAATAATCGTAAAATCCTGAAGACTTTCAATACTTAAATGCATATATGCGTCCAAAAGACACAAAAAAAACAATCATTAAAAGATAAAACAGAAAATATCAATCCAAGAATATTAGTACAAAGATTATAAAAGCATTGCGGTGATACTACATAAAAAAATTACATTAGAGGGTAACTGGAAGTAGTTTTATAGAAACTGGTACTCAGTATGTGTTCAAACCAAAATGACCCCTTCAGGGAAAAGTTTTTTACCAGATATGGGATCTGGTTAATACGTTGGAAAAATATGGGGTCACAACCGCCTTGTTAATATTTTCAAGTGAAATTCAATATCTTTCAAAGTCAAACTGAATGAAAATCAAAAGTTATCCTACTAAGACACCAGTGTGGATACCAAGAAAAAATGTTATCACTGTAGGCCAGCGCACAGGATCAAAATCTCAGAGAAACAAACTGACCAATGTTTACTTATATGATGCAAATGATTAAGATTCTAACTATTGACATGATAATGGGTAGCGAAGTTGTTAGAGATGTGACCATATTATACTTTAATTTGCTTCTTGAAAATGTATTCTACACTAATTACAAATTATGCAGTGATTACGCAACTGCACAGATAACTATAATAATAAAGTTTTCAATATCTATTCAGCTATGAATTCACAGCTGACTTTATTCATTTCTTTCCTTCTAATTTTTTTCTGCTATTCAGCTTAAACTTAGAGAAATCAGTGCTGAAACACAACAGAAATTGCCAATGCGTTTACGTGTTTTTGAAAAATTCCCGTAAGTTTATTCATTGTTTGTATTCTAATATGCATATGAAACACCAGTGAAATAGGCTGATTTAAGCATCTATTGATAGTTTAACGACATTCGTAACGGTCGAATAACTGAATGGGGAAATGTAGCATATTCATCTGTTCAACTGATGTGATAACATAGTCCAATGACAGCTGCTGATAAAAGCTAAATATATGCCTTTTAGAAAATCAGATTCATTGACATCAAATTGAAGTATGGATTAATTTCATTGACTTTCAAGAAGACGTACTCGTTTACTTGCTTTTTACCAATACCGTAGTCTTTCTGTTTAAAGGAGGGTGCTTTTCCTACTTGTAACGGTATTTTTAGAGTGATTTTTCTATTTCTGCACCTTCTACTAGGTTGAAGCTTCTTTTTCCACTGTAAAATAAAACGTTCAGTTGGTTATTTCAGAAGTTTCTAGAGTGGCCTTTGAAGTTAATCATCATAGCCAACTTTAGTTGGCAAGAAGGGTACCTCTCTTATGCTGATATCTAAAGAGATGCTGAAAATTTCGACAGCGCATTGTTTCTTTTTTTCGCTTACTGACCATTCTGGATGATGTAACAGCATCAGTGATTGACTGTTCATTACGAAGATTAAATCAGTGTTTGAAGCCTCAAATTGTATATGTGAAGACAAAAGAATAGTTGACTAACAAAATCTGCATTTTTTAGCGGAGTACCTGCATAAAAGATACGCAATATTATGCAAATATGAATAAAACTTTGAATAGTCAAGAGTTAGCCAAAAGGAATAAATGTATGGAGCTGAGTTTACAACAGTTGAGGAACCCTGTTTGTGCTATCCAACTCTTCAGAAATACAAATAGCTCACTAACCTGTCAGTTGGGGCTGTATGGATTTGGCAACCCACACTTTCTTCTTTTATAGTTGCTACATTGCCTTACATTAAATTTTGTTAAAACATTCCCAATCACTACTTAACACCAGCAGAGTCATTGTCTTGCGGTATGAACCGGCTAGAAAAAACAGTTTCACTGTTCAGTGTCCATGAGATTTTTCCACGTTCATTAAACGATACTGTTAAGAAAAGCGTTCGTTATAGTGAATGCAGTCTAATTTACTGGATTATTTATCCTCATCAGTAGACAAAATCAAATCCTTGGATACTCAGTCACCTCACCATGGATAGGACCCAAGACTTTCATGTCTCGAGGTGAACATAGCAACGATTGAGTCCCTGGGTTGGAGTTCATTATGGGCTGAGTAATAATGGCTGCATAACCTGATGGTCTAGAATCTGGTCGCTGCCAAGGTCATGATTACTTACTGCTGAGGAGTCCCATACTAGGACAAAACAGCTGTCCAGTTCTCTCAGATTTCCAATGTTTCTCCGACTGATGTCAGTCCATGGAGATTGTCAACTGAAATCTTTTCCCACTAGTAACAAAAAATAAGAACCATGGGAAGCTAAACAACGTTAGAGGTAATACCAAACTATATGGGATATTAGATTACCGATATTATTCAAACAAACATGCCACGTGATTCACCGTAGGATTGATAAATGGATTTTTTTAGGAATAGTCGGATTATATGTAAGTAACTGTTGCAGAATAGGGTGGTGGACGAAGAGGAAAAAATGAAAAACATAGAAGTTTCCAAAACATGAAAAGTGAGCTACGATTAAAACTGACATTTATTTGTTTACATTTCATCACGTAAACTATGTTGATCTTCCTTAACATTATTGTTTTTATCATTTTTCAATCCTCCTCCATTTGAGAATAATATTTTATTCTTCTAGAAATCGTCCACAAATGATACAACTTACTCGACTTGTATCCGATTTTTTGATGCCAAAAATTCGTGACAGTTTTATGCGACAATTTGCTGCTATATCAGCTCTTGAAGAAGTTGAAGATGAAGCTATTGAAGAAATGTTAGCAACAATGACAAAATCATCACAACAAACTGTAGAACAAAATCAAATTAAATTAAATCCACTTTATAATACTACTACTTCCATGACTACTTATAGTAGTGCTAATAAATTAGCGAATGAAACACTTTATAATCAAACAAATGTTGAAACATTGAGAGCTATTAAAAGAAAAGTGCATGGATTACATGGTGAAGAGAAGTTTCGTGCAATTATTTACCTTTTGAAGTAAGTGATTACAATTTCCAACAGGATAATTTTAGACTTAATCATTATAATCGAATAATTATTTTCCGAAGTATTCTTTTCTATTACTCTACTGAAGTATAATGAAACTTTAAACCAATGTTATGTGTTCAAGTCGACCCAGTTTTTGAATTTGATTGTCATTACTACTCTTCTTCTTGTATCCATACTTTAATCTTAGGTACAATGTTTTATCGTGTATATATTTGAACCCATTATATCAGTTCAAATGCAGAGAAGCTGAGAAACGAATTAGTACTATTCATCCCTCATCCGATCACAATAACCTGTAGAAAGAAACCTGATTTTTGAAGTCAAACAATCATTTTAAACATTTTGCTTAATAACCTGAGGTACCGTAATGATAGGTAGTAGCTAGCAGTGGAATCCAGAATACACATTTCGTCCCATTTCGGACTCGTCAACTGGATGTACCTGCCACCCAGTGAGTGATGTCGTTCTCACAGGGATTTGAACTCGATTAAATCAGCGACGATATAAAACAACCAATAACACTAAAACAATATCCGTTGCACAAGAAGTGGATATCATGACTCGGTGGTCTAGTGAATAACGTTCTGGCGTTTGGAGAGGTCGGCCCCGAGTTCCAATCACGGTGAGAACAACATCACCCACTAGGTGCTAGGTACATCCAGTTGACGAGTACTAAATAGGACGAAATGCGCATCCTGGATTCCACTTCTAGCCACTATTCATCATTAATATATAAATGAAAACACAGGTAATATCGAGGCATCCACTCAGGGGCCCATATGCCAATACAGACCGAGTAATTCGGTCCAATCAATGACGATATGGTACAAGCATTAACACGAATCAAGAGTACCGTTGATTTTTTCTGGTTTGTATTAGTGGGCAGAAGTTTATCTGACCTGGAACTTTTTATTCTTTCAGAGACAAATAAACTGTCTTGATGTAACCTGTTTACTGATAACTGTAAAATACATAGCCTTGATAGGTTCACGTGATTCTGACTTTCAGGGTGCCTCACAGTCAAAATATCTCTGAGCTTGCCACGCTAAGCTTTACCATACCAACTGAACTTTAATAAAGAGAAGATACTTGCAGTCCTCTAGTTATTGGGTTTTGCCTTCCATAATATTCTCTAAAGTAAGGAAGACATCAACATGGGACCTGCTATTACTGCGTAGCGATTCAAGTAGCTACACTCCTCATCAGCAGAGTTATATACATGCCACCAGAATAAAACACAGAGAAATAAGAAAAAAAATTTTGAAGAAGAGAAATTCGTAAAGATGTTGTGGGAAAAGGAACAAGACGGTAACGAGAGTGGGTACGACGATTGAGAAGAAGAGGATGTGTGAATACGTGTGTGTATGTGAGATCAATTTTAAGACAATGTCCAGGGTTTCCAGCCACCAATTTAGGTTATCATGCCGACACCAACCGGAAAGTTTGCATTTAACTATATGGCTCAAACTAACAGTCAAAGATTCCATGAACTTATGCATATTTTAGTCTCGCCACCACTAAACTTCTCCAGCCTAAGCCTACTTCAACTAAAATTCTGTGACGAGGAAGGCGGTGAGTAGGGATGCGTAGTACGTGCCCCAACCACTTCAGTTGATGAGGGTCCACAACCTGATCAAGTGACTTTACCCTCTTCTTTAAGACTCTACGCTTGACTTCTACGTTACTTATGTGGTGAAAGTGCTACGCAAACCTTACGTTACTAAGGAAACGGGGATCGAGCACCTGAAGCCTTCTTATATCCATTACCTTTGATGACTGTTTCACAATCATGTAGTATAAGAGAGTGAGCAACAGCACAGTACACCCAACTCTTAAAAGATAATCGGATGTCATGGTGACTCCATAGATGGTATAATTTGACAAGGGCATAGTAAGCCTTTTGTATGCGTGTAGAGATTTTGATAGCCAATGACCAACGCACCATGGCTATTTTGACTTCTCGATTATGTGTAGTAGTCAATATGCAGGATCATTTCCCTTCAGACAAGGTATTAGCAAAGACTAGTTTGTATTTGAATGGCCAGAAACATATACCGAACATTCTCAAATTGACACCCAGACTCTATATCTTATCAATGTCTTCGCCTAAAAGGACTGTTTCATCTCCATACTCTAAATGTACCAAGGCTTCTCCTGTGACAAGATCAATCCCTGTGAAGGCAGATAATGAGAGGCAGACCTTCGTAAGTACATTCACGATGAAGTTGGATAAGGATGGAGACAGTGAAAATTCTTGACGGACACCACTCAACGTACATAACTCACCCGATAACTTACATGTGCTCTGACACGCTCAGAGCCTTCAATGGGTTGATTTGCCTAATTGACACTCCTTCCAGTGAGAGACACTATCATAAGACCTCTTGATCGACAGAGTAGAATGCTACCTTCAGCTGGAGAAATAAAGTGGATGCTGGCACTGGTAAGCGTGCTAGTGTCACCCGAACCTGGCATAGAGTGAATATCTTGCTAACACACCCATGACCAACTGTCAAGCCTACCTAGTTTGCCCTTATCTGCTGTTCTTAAAATCCTTTTGAACGTCCGGTAATTATCGAACCCAGAATGGTGAACACTGTTCATGAAACTGGTTCGCTTGTAATTATCACAAGAGGATTTCTCTCTGTTCTGAAGAACAGCGACACCCGGTGATTGAGACCAGTTAGAGGGGATTATATCTAGTTCCGATACGTTAACCAGCACCTCAGTCAATCAGATTAATAATCCCTGACCAGTATTCATCAGTACTTCAGGTAATATTTCATGTGACCCTATCACCATTCGTTTTTTCAAGTTACTTACAGTCTTCTCAACCTACGTGAACTTTAGAGACCTGTCTCCCCGTTCCATTCAGGATCTGACTAGGTTACCGACCACTGGAAACTGTCGTGAGGCTGGTTGGGCATTTCCTTGAAGCGTTTCATCCAGTTTCCAGTCGACTGCTTTATTTGATCCAGCCTGAGTGGCTGGCAAGTACAGCACACATCCATGGCGCGAGATGTCAGAGGTTTAGTTAAAGAAACCTGTTAATTGATCTAACAGAGAGTGAGGACATTGAATTCTCTAACACGTAGTTTCGAGCTTTATTTCATGTGACAACTTCAGCCAATACACCTGTGTGCAAGGTTCTGCGTTTATTTTGTCAGTTTTCGTCAGAACTCCAATCGTTTTTAAGAGTTTTAGAGCTAGATGAGGTCAAAGATGATGTGGAAATATTGATGACGATTAGAAGATTTGGAAGGGCGATAATAATCTGAAGGAACTTGAGTGCTGACAGTTGTGAGCACAACTAATACTTCTTGACTGTAAATACCATCACAGATTTTGTTATTTGATGTAACTGAAAATGAAATCAGGTTTTTATTAGGATATCTGCTTGAGGACGATCACACATAGTCTTTTATGAATTTTGAGATCGAACATCGATTATCTAAAATTCAGCTCGAAAACCCGTACACCAGAAGACCTCAGGGTAGGGGAGAGTGCGCTAATTTCGGGGCCAACCTTTTATAATCTCGCTTCCTATGGAGTAGGCAATACCATCATGATACTGCTGGTCATCCACGGGAAATACCTAGTGCTGTCATACACCGTCCATCAAGCAATACAACATCGCTCCTGGATCCCATCGTAGCGTAGTATTTCACATCATAAAGGTAACTGTTTTCTGTCTTACTACCACCCAACCGAACAGTCAGTATGATGGGACCTCAAGCGAACAAGTGGCCCATCCGCATAGCTCGTTGGTTCATAATGATATACAAGTCCGCCCACCACGTCAAGGTACTAGCTTCACTGCATTTGTATTCAAGTGATTTGGATCATTTATATAAGAATATCGTTTAAGCTTACAACGTCACTTAAAATTAGCTCGTACGGTTAGAAGATCATATTGATCTAGTTTGGCAGAATAACTAAAGTTAGAAAATCCCCCACAATGAATGTTAAGTGAAACACACAGATAAAGTTAGTTGGCCAAAGTCAATTTGACTTTTAGAACATAAAAGCCTAGCTAAGTCAAAATTTCTAGACCCATATTGGATGAGAAATCAAGAAGAAAGCTCGATGATAGCTACGTATATAATTATGTTCAGCCACAGGAAATGATGGGTGGGATCGACAGTTTTTTAGACGTAGCGGATCGGATGGAGAGATTTGAAACGGGATCATTGTTTATCGAATCATCACCAAATACACGCAATATCAATAACGCAGCACCTGTTCGAGATACAAGGAAAATTATATTACGAATAAGAAGAGATGATTGGAACTATAGAAACTATATGTAAAAGTTGTGAAGTTATAGTATGACATGACTATAGACAGTAAATTATGTTCGAAACGTAACCCCATAGGGAATACTATTTTACTCAGTAACGTAATCAATCAGCCAAAATGAATTAAAATTACATTCTACCTCAGTTATCAAGTCTTAGTGGCATAATTTTATTAATTATGTTGTGTTTTCACATCAATAAATTGAGCGGAATGGGATGAAGGGTTGAAAATAACTCTTGATGTGATCTAAGTTATCTTGTGAGGTTTAAGTAAAATGTCTTTCAACAAAAATTAAATGGTATGCCTGGTATGAGTTTTCTACTTTAGTTTTTTGTTCCATTATAACCATTATGACATGAACAAGTCAAAATCACTGATGAAGCAACTTTCATGAGGTTTTAAAGGTAAAAAAAATCACCGTTTCTGTTAGTATGAGGGTTGAAAAATGTGGATGGTCTAGTGAATGCTCCGTGTGTTTCCTTCTATGAGATCAGACAGTGATTCAGATAGAATCGTTGAAAATTTATGTATCACAGAAGGATGAGGACGGAAAATATTAGGCTTCCTGTAGTATTATCACTTAATACTTCACCCAGCATTACAATAAATGGCGTTATTTGCACGCTAATTTTCCTTATGAATACGAAATCCGGGAAACAAATTTATTCTGATATCGAGTTGATCAGCGTGTAGCTGCCCACAATTGAACTCAAACCCTAGACAATCTACGTCAAACTTTAGAAGATTGTCCGTTAAACTCCGGAGTTACGATAGCCACATTTTATGGGACCTAGTTGTTTTTTTAAACTAACTAAGTAGTGAGTCAATAAATCGGATAAGAAATTGATACTTATCTAACCAGAGATGAGTGATACAACTCAGTAACCTAGCTGATAATATTCAAGCGTTAGTGATTATGGATATTAGATCCATTGGACTACTCATCACGGTTACCGTAAGATGGATGTGATCAGCATAACTTCATCTTCATTAGGTGACAAAAAGGCTTGTTTATTCAAAAAATTATTAGGATTGTATTGTATTATTGGATAGAATGATCTCGATGACCAGTTAGTTTAGGCTAGATCGTTTGTATCAGACCCATGTTAGAACTGCTCAGAAATGAACGTCTACTCCATGCTAGACTAAAACCTAGGAAAACAAAAGTCAGGAAGTGAGCACATTAATATTTAAACATGAGCTTGACATCCAGAAGTTTATTACTTTATAACTCCTATCACTTTATCATAGTGTGTGAATGTGACCCAACGTCACTGTCATGCGTCCTTCCTCGTGGCCGCCTCTATAATGCCATAAATCACTATTTTAAGGCTGATAGAGACTAAGGTGATCCTCTACTGTTTCCTGGATTCTGTTATTTGTTAAAATGGTGACATTATGAGAAGAAAAGATGTTACGAAGTAGTCATCTCTCCATAAAACAACTTACTTGCTCACTGATAAACAGACTGTATTAGTATGTGTATAATCAAGAAGTTTAAAGAATGAAGACATTACGTAACTGTTCATTTTTTTATCTTCTCAAGTGAATCGAATAAAACACGTCTTCTGATAAATGAAAAGACTTCAAATGTTGGGAATAGATCACTTCTATCAACACAGCATCAAATACGATTAGAAAGAAGGTAAGATTGGAAAATGTTTTTATCAGAATAGAAAATTAGTTTCTTTTATGCTTGAAAACCTTATCAAACACTTGGTCTCATAGCTGAATTGGTAGAGTGTTGAACCAGTGATCCAGAACTGGTTACTTTTAAATCTAATACCATGTAACTCTTTATTTACATAAAGACCTATTGCTCAAACTAAGCTTACTTCAAATAGTCTCATCTGAAATTTTATGTGTTTGTGGATAAATCAACTCCTGAACAGACAAGACAATTTAGTTTATGAAATCTAACTATGAGAATAAGAAAACGACTTCCAGCTGGAATCTTTTTTTCTTATCGCTGAGTAGATTTAACTGTAGACAACTTGAACTCTTTAAGTTTAGTAAAATGGAAGAAAATTCGTTGAAATCAATATGAGGTAGTTGGTTTCTGATTTACTGAATATGAAGTGAAATCGTTAAAGCTGCATATTCATAGTTCTGTGGTTTAGAGCTAGCAAATTCTATACAGATTCTAGTTTTAGCTGAATTCACATTAAACAGTTAAACATAATTAAATAATTACAAACTTAGTCGGTAGATGTATTTATTCTAAACTATACAGTACAAGAGATTTTTAATGCTTGGGTAGTGTAAAAAAAGACATGCATTTCACACATATCTCCAAAATTATAGTTCCAAGCTTGAATCTAGTTTGCTACCAAAATAAAGCTTATTGGATTATGCAATGTTGTGATCCTTTGAGATCTCATACTTTAATAACCAGAAGTACATCTCACTGTAAAAAAAAATCTGCTTCTCTTTTGAAGCGGTATACCCCAAGATTGTGTACTATCACCGATGATCTTCCTGATTGTGATCGACAGGATCATTCAACAGACAACTGTGAGGAGCGAGAAGATCGACATACGCTGTTTGACCAATGCAGAGACATTAGAAGATTTGCATTTCATCGATGATGATTTATGTGTAATGTCTTGTCACACAAACTCGAAGATCTACAGACGAAAACTAACAAGTTGACAGAAAAGACAGGGTTGCGTAGGAAGACGGGACTTCAGGTGAACGTAGAGAAGGTAGAGGTGATAGAGATACCCAACCAACAATAACAACCACAACAACAAGCACCAATCACCATGAACGGAATAAATCTAAAGGAAGTTGTCTCTTTCATCTACCCACCTAGCTAGGCAGCATCGTTTCAACTACAGGTGGTGGCACAGGTGAGGATAGGAAAGACAGCAAGACAGGCCTTCATTAATCTGAAATCATTGTGGAGACCGACTGCACTCAGCATAAAGCGTGAACAACATCCAGATTTTCAACACCAACGTCAATCAAGTCAGTGTTTCTATATTAGTTCAAAAATTTGGTGTGTTATGAAAAGCATTTCCAACAAACCACAGACAGCATCAATAGCTGCCGCCTACGCTTACTCGATAGTGAAGATCAGATAGCCAGAAAGAATGAATGACAAGGAACTCTGTCTGGCAATGCACCAAACAGAAACCCATCATCCAACAAATATGCAGAAGGAAGTTGAGATGGATTGGATTTGGTATACACTGAGAATACCATTCGGGGACATCATGCGTCAGACCAGGCAGTCGAGTGTCAGCGAGATGGGAAACGACGAGTTGGGTGTGTGAGTCGAGGGTGACATGGAGGAGATGAGATGATGTGAGGAAGAAATGAAAGTTTGTGGGTAGTCTTTAAGGCAGGTTCAAAAGACTATTGAGAATAGAGTGCAGTTGAGGTGTGCTACTGAAGCGATATGTTCGACTAGGAACACAAAGGACAAATTATAATGTAATAATGCCGCAATGAGTTACATTTAGCTGGTGGGTTTAAATCATCACCTGCTCTACTACCAACCTTACAGGATCTTTAGTAGAGATATCAAATGCTATAAACGTGGGACAAAAGTTAGTTTATAAATAATTTCGAATCCCCAAAGCCATCATACGAACAGTGGAGTTATGAATCTTTGTCATCCTTGAATAGTTGGTTACCAAATGGCCTTAGGGTGCTCAATCAAACTGAAGGTATGTGAGATCCTCATGGGAAGTGTTCAGTTACTGAAAGGATATCACTTATTATAGGTAGGTTAATGCAGAAATGGAAATAGGAACCTTTCCCCAATATGTCCGCATTCTCAAGGTCAATCATGTGTCCACTTTCGATTGTATGCATTTACACAGAGAAAGATTAACTTCCGAGGCCCTACGTATTTTAACAACATCAAATGCTATAAACAGAAAAGAGGTACTATACTTGTTACCTGTCTGGCAAACATTAATCCACCAAAATCATTATTGATGACATTTCCGAATTAAAGTACAATAACAACTATTGACAGTTTTATAAATAACACATTTTCTACAACATACGCATACACATTTTGACTACCTTATATATTTGTTGACAAATGACAATAACAACAACCATAAACTTGTAATGACTAATCTTAATTAGAAGTAGTATTCATCATGGACTGACATCAGTTAGGGAACCATTGAAAACCTGGGAGCACTATGCAGCTGTTTCGTCCCAGTATGGGACCCCTCAGCAGTACGCACCCACGACCCGGCTAGGGTTCGAACTCAGGGCCTTCGGATTTCATGTCGGACGCGTTAAGCATTCAGCCACTGGATCAATTTCCAATGGTTCACAGTTTCCAACAGCTGTCCAATGCTCCCAAATTTTCAATGGTTCCCCAACTGATGCAAGTCCATGATGAATACTACTTTAAATTAAAAATCCCCATTAGTCTTAATTACTCAGGTTGGACATGAAAATCATCCAGCCAATGACCTACATTCACTAAATATATTTGATGTATCATTTGACTATATATTTTGATGTTAATTAATAAAAATCCTTATATTCTGCTGAAGAAGCTGTGGATTACACAGCGAAACGTTCAGAAATATCTTGTTTTGATTTTCTAAACACGCTGGGATTATATTAAAATATATTCTTTTAACGATTCAATCAAACTCGGCGCTCAGCTTCTTCCAGGACATTCGTAACAACTTTAGTCTGGATGTTCAAAATACACAGTACTTTGTGCAGATTGCGGTTGATGTCACAGAATGCTCGGTCAGGTGAATGTTTTGATTTTCGATCATATTTCAGGAAGTCAAAATATTTTTTATCATCAGAAATGCTTACTTAACTTCTCTCTTATAGTTTTACTGAAACATTCTTACACCAGTTATCTTACTAATTCATATAATAGGAGTATACGAAACAGAGTTGGAAATCCAATGTCTTCACAGAAATCTTTACGAGGTAACGGAGAAGTTCGAGGTAATCCAAGTGGTAGAACAGGAAATCAAAGCGGTGATTCACAGGCTACAACTGGAGATAGATCAAGTCATGTTGATATTAAACTGTTACAACAAAAAGCTCAACTTGCAGAAATTAAAAGGTGAGATGCTTTCATTGCATGATATACAATACTCAAGTCCTCCTTAATGATATGCTAGGTTGATAGAGTGGGATTAGACTAGAGATAAGCTTAAGGTATTCAGCACAAAGCAGGAGAGCAGTTGACTTGACTTTTTCAATGAAATGAAGCTTTCTTGCCCATGGCCCGAACAGCGGCGCAAATCTGTTTAAAAACGTGAAATTATATTGTAAAGAGTTGACATCCTTAATTTAGATGTTCTCACATATTGTTGATTATCTGAACCTGTAATAAGTTAGCATCATGTATATTTATTCCCTTATCTCATTTCCCTATTCTGTAGCTCTTTGTAACTGTTGAATTCATTATTTTAATTCCATTTTGTTCCTCGTTGTTTCGCTGTCCCTTCAATATGCTAATATATGGATGAACAACTCATGTAGGTACGTAACTGTGTCAAGTCCTGGGTTGTTCAAACTTGTATGTTGAACCCAATTAAAAGTCATTTGCTATGTTATAACTTTTAAAGATCTGTTCATAATAAACTGGTTTTCTGATATCTACGATGTGAATAACTGCCATGGCTGAATGATTACACATGCAATGCTTATAACTGTTCAGGTTAAGTAGGTACTGAAATTTGAAGCACTTAAGTTACATTTATCAGGAAAAACAGTGATATAGCTATACCGGTGTGAGTGACGACTGAAATAAACCTGTTTAAGCTGGTTGAAGTTAGAAGTAATGGAGTAATATGAATCAGTAGTACTGATATGGTGAGTCAGTTACTTGTCGAAAATCGTTATCAAACAGATGCCAGACTCAACCAGTTTTCGTTAAAATATGAAGTCCACTGCTAGATGATGAAAGCACATTCACTAATAATATGCATAGTTTAAGTAGCTAACATTATATTTACTTTGCTTCGCCTATTTATTTCACGCAAGAACTATGATTGCCTTTAAAGGCGTAATTCCAAAACGTGACTGGTTATTTCATTAGTTGCAAGCGCGGAGTTTAAGGTCAAATTTTAGCAATACATGAGTGACTTTAAACGCCACCTTAGTAATAACTGAAATAACCAATTAGACTTCTGCGTTTTATAAAAATCTTCGTTTCTAGCCGAAATGGAAATACCTAATTGGTCATTTCGACTGTTGTTAGGGTGGCCTTTAAAGTTGTCCGCAATACAGGGGAAGACTTTAAAGGCTACCCTAGCAATTGATGGAACAGCCAATCACTTTCTCAAGCCTATGAAAAGTTGGCTTCCTAGCCAAAATACCGCAACCAAATTAGCAGTTTTTAGATTGGCCTTCAAAGTCACCCCAAAACAGGAGTGACTTTAAAGGCCACCCTCGAAACAACCGCAATTACCAATCTGGGTGACCTTCAAAGTTATTCCAATACAGTCAAACTTTATGGGCTCATCCCATACTGGATTGATATAACAATCCACTTTACGTTATGTGATGATTAAGTGGAGTGACTCTAAAGGCAACTACCGAAATAACAAATAGGGTTTTGTTATTTTGGCTTGGACAGTGATTTTCATAAAATGGAGACCTATAATTAGTTGTTTCAGTTGTTAGGGTACCCTTCATAAAGTCATTCATTAGGTGACTAAGTCCATTAGAGCAACAACTAAGTTATTTCTTTATTTTAGCTGAAAATATAGAATTTCATAGAATGTTGAAACATAGTTAGCTATTTTAGTAGCTGTTAGACTGGCCGTTAAGGTCGTTCTACGTTAAGACTATTGACCTTATAATTCTGTCGCACATATTGTCCATTTTGTGATTGGTTACTTTAGACTTCAAAACTGAATTCCATAGTAGAATATATTTCTGATGTTTGGTCAATTGTTTTATTATTGTCAAAAGCTTGTGCGAGCATAAAGAGTCACTTTCTTCCTTATTTCTAACAAAACCGGTGATAACGTTGTCCTTCTTTATCATTGCATCCGCATTTCAGTCCCGTCTATTTCACGTTTAACTGTATATAATTTAGTGATGAATATTTTGATCAAAAGTATGTTTTTTTTCATTTAATAACTTCTAGGACACAACAAGAAGTTGAGCTTAGAGAGAATCATCCATTTTTTGACCGACCACTGTTTGTTCTTGGACGAGAAAATCGTTTTCGTCAACTGTGCTTAATTCTTGTTGAAGCCAGGCACAAAGCTCATGATTCTATAGATTCAACTGATAATGGGAATTCTATACAGTGAGTTAATTTCTGGTTAAATTATTGTTTCCAGTGTATTTACAACCCTGATTAGCCAAATATTGGGGTCAACTGATATGTCTAAATTATTTAAGATCGGCTAGTTCAGTCATATTACAAAATTGAAGGGAATTTATACTACACTGCACACTACACTACTACTATGCACTACTCACATTCATTTGTATTTTGGCTAACCAAGCACTTAACGGTCATCTAATTTTTAAATCATTTGCATAGGGAAGATATTAGAAAGGAAGGTTTAGTTTTCAGAAGAATATCTATTTTTCTACCTTTTATTTACTTCATTACATACTTTTACCTTTTTGAATGAAGGAATAGCAATTTTGAAAGATAAACTGATACATATCAGATGGGAATTACATGTTATCCATACAACATTATCTGGTTTTATTATTTACAGCCTCCTTCATGCACCTTAATGTACTGTGTAAGTCGTTGACTGTAGTAACTGGAACATGTGTCGAGCATGTCAAGCCACTCTCTACCTGGATATTCAATCCTAACCAAAGAGGGTTTAAGTTGAAAAAAGGCTCAGATTGCCATGTGAAGAGAAGTATGCTACTTTGTTAGGGCCCCGTTGACAACAGAAGTCAGTATTTATAGGTTTTCTAGTAGAAAAACTGTATATGAATGATGTTTCTTGTCAAGTAAAGTTTTCTTCTTACAGTCACAGGCCAACCTCTGTCTTTTGATTTCCGCGCCTCAGTGAGTTATCAGCTTCTGAGGGAGAACAGTCACTGTTCATATCCAGTCCAAGTATCTCATTGGGTCAGTACCGTTCGTGTATTATTCTGTCAGTCACTTTCACTCGGTCATTTCAGTTACGGTGGTGCATCTGTAGACATTCCTTTCATCTTTGAAGCTCTGAGTATTTCCATTAACATTCAATTATTTACACTGTCGATTCTCATACAATTTTTTTGCTATTTCCTTGTCATTCTCCTTCAAATCACTTTTTGTTTACGTGCTGCTATGAGGTGTATCAACTCAAACTGATGTGCTACAGTTCCATATTCTGGGTTGAGCTTTCTCAAGCTAAACAACATTTCACATGTTTCTATCGGATCTGTTTTCCTATCTGTTGATATACATTGTTCGGGAATATGCCATAAGTTCGCTAAGAAGTAGTGTTAATATTTCGAACTGAATCGCGGAAACATGTTCAGCGATTTCACTTTTGTCTATTTTACGACTCTTTCGATTCCATGATCAAACACAGTCGATTTACATAGGAAAAACGATGAAAACGCAACTGAAATATTGTCACTAAAGCCAGTACCTTATACGTTTGTGCATCTACTTAAATGTCTTAAAATATTTTTCTTGGCCATCATACTACTTAATATCTGTTTGAGTATAACAAAAGATACATTTGAAAAATAACGTAAGACAAAACCAATTTATTTGTGGTTGTTTTTCACGGAACGACATAAGTTGGAGAATCACTGAAAACTTGAGAGTGGTGAATAGATGTTTCACTACACTATGAGATTCATCAGTAGTGTACATCTACAAACAATCCAAAGGTTGAATTCATTATCTTCAAGTATCTCGGGGGATCACGTCACTAAATTTCTCAATGAACTATATAATCAATTATTCGAGTGAAACTTAGGCACTGTGATTGAATTCAGTTCCATGACCTATATACAGCATGTGTAAAAGTCGTGGAGCCATCTTGATATGACTACGAACAAAAGGTTATGCCCTAAATGTCACCCAGCGAGTGATACTGTTCCACAGTATGATATATATATATATATATATATATATATATATATATATATATATATATATATATATCATAAATCAACAAAATCACTTCTCAATAATTCATTAATTTTATATTTTCTTTAGTGAAGTATAGATTATTGTTTAAATAGTGTGCTGTCCACGAATTGCTCAAACTCCACATAGATTCGGATTAAAAATTCCCACAATTTATGGAAAGTTGTAGTCATAAGGAATTTTCGTTGCATGCCACTGTTAAAATTTATGAAAGTTTAAACACTACCTTTGTTTACTACCGTGTTTCGGATGAGTGTTTTTCTTAAGTCAGAAGCTGAAACTTGAAATAATTAGTATAAACAATTTTATCAATAGGTGATAAAAATAATACTAATATTTGAACTTCTGATTAAGGGCTAATTTTCTGTTGTAAATATTATCGTTACCATTTTTTGCGGATTCATTTTTGTGGTAGCTGCTGGGATGGAATGACTGAATTTGGTACTATGAAGAAAAACTCACAAATTGCACCATTTTATGTAAAAATATTAAAATAGCAATGATAGTGAGACGATACTGTTGTTGACTACCAGTAGTAATTTTAATTTAAGATGATTGTTGCTTATTAAATCTGGAATAATAACTGCCAATAAGGAGAGTATATACCTTTTCATAATTAGCAACTTATAATCAAGAGGCAGAGAACGTGTTCAGAGTTACGAAAAGCATGCTTTGAAAACGACTGCCGGTAAATAATAAATATGGCTCTATCTATCCTTCTTTCTGTATATATGTCACCTTGGAACTTCCTTAAACTGAGGTAAAGCAGTAAATCTAGATGATCTAGAAAAGTACTACCTTAGTGTACGTTAAGTCGAAACAATAAAAACTCATTCTGGATTTCACCTAATTATATTTGTCTATCTTGCTATAAATCTTCAAGAAAAGTTATATTGAAAGTTATTGGATATTAGAAAAGACACCCGATCACCTAAAATAAAGTCAAAGTAGCCAGAAATGTAACTGAAGCGTGGAGGGAAGAGATTTTCAGGTCTAAGTTGCTAACTTACAATGGTGGCTACGTAATGAGATTGAAGGAAAAACGATGCTAAAATGTATAACAGTTATCTCCTTCTGAATGTAAAAGTTATAAAATTCTTATCCTCCTGATCTACGAAATTCGCTGTATACTATACGTTTTTGTGTTTATTTAAAATGAAGTCTGGATGTTTATGTCACTTCCTCTGTCCAGCAGAAAACACGTCATAATTAGTCTGTGTGATACAGGTTGGTAAACTGAATTGCAGTTCTCTTGGAATCTATACTCAACTGAGAGTATAAATCCTTGCCTATCTATCGCTATATAGATGTCGCTGAGATGAATACATATGAAACAGAAAAATCGAATATATATTCAGAATGTATACTCAGTTATTTCTGTTTGCTTGTTGGGAGTATACTATATTATTGCAGAGGTAAAAGTCGTACGAAATCCTTTCACTTTTGAGTACATTTTTCTAATACTTATTGATTTCACTCTGAATCGAATCACTAGCTAATATCACTCGGATGAATAAATCGAGTTCTTGCAAATATTGGCTTCAAGTTTTATGCAGCCCTAATCTTAATTAGTAGTAGTTTTTGCAACGGTTGCTTAGTTTTCCTACAATTCTCTTATAGTTTGTTTACGCTGTAGACGTTTACAGAAGTATGATAGAGTGATTTCAGTGGACTTATTAAGGTAACGATATAAAAATCTGCTAATACCATATTCTCCTAACAATAAATCTTATCATTGATAGGTGTTAGTTAGAGCGAGGCAGTTGGCATAAAGCCCTGCTTGACATAGCTTTCCTGTTTTACACTGCAGAGCAACCAATCAGTGTATCTCATCATGTCTTACAGAAGGTCAGATGCAGCCCGAACAGCTCAATGGTAACATCTCTTAATGCAGAACTGGGTGGGGCAGATCCGAATCTCAGGAGAAACACCTGTTCCGTATAAGTTGTACGTACTTGTTTCTGACAAGTGCCAACTGGCACGAAACCTAGGTGGAGCGGGTCTTTCTCTTGATCGCTTTCATTCAACTAACATCTATCAAAGTGCATAGCGATCTTAGGTCAACTAGTCGGCTGGCCGCATTGCGAAGTGGTCGGTAGAGTTTGATCAACACATATGACTAGACAACACCAACCTGGTTACGCTTCAGGGACCAACGTCTACGTACAAGAGGTGATAAATGTCAAATTTTCGCAGGACTGCGAGTCCTGCGGCATGCGTGCTTGTTTTAAGTTTCCCTTTAATCCATCGTGAATATGTTTTTTTGAATAAGGGTTTTTAATTGTTTCAAGTTACATTGTATAAGGTGTATTTTTACTTGTGTAGTCCCGGTGTAGTATATTAGAACAAATAACAAAATAAACAAATATTTTATATTATTCCTCAAACCATCCAGTCTATTGTTGGTCAGGATACCTTCAAACTTGTTTCAAGTTAGTTATTTCAACAGTTGATATCAATTATCTACAAAAAATATCACTGGATCTATCCAAGCCACAGGTTTTAATCTTTATACGCTTGTCACAAGTATACTTATAAGATCTGAACAAACGATACTGTATCTTTAAATCGTTTAACAATAAAAATGGTAGTGTATAATTCGTTCTACTTACTATTTATGTGGTCAGTATATGAGTGAAAGTTTTACTTATTTTATAATTATTTTTCAGCAAGTTTCTTGGTCTAGTTACATATATGGATTGGATAGCTATATTTGTGACAACTTTGTCATGCGCATCTATGTCTTTAGAGACACCGCATTTTAGATTGATGAATACTCCTGAAGTTCAGGTAAGCTGTGTTGATAGTCAAAAGATTAATTATTCCCCTATCACAATCGCCTTGTAAGAATTACTTAAATGCATTCTGATGATAGTCATTATAAATATATCTACTGAAGATTAAATATAGTAGTTCTAATAATCTTTTGAAGTAAATCACAAAAAAACTATTTTGATTTCATACTCAGAATGGCAGTTAATTTCACAGGATCTCCAAGACCCTATTGTTGTATTGGTGACGCAATGAAAATTACTGAATAATACATTTACTTGAGTAGATATATGAATGTAAGTAGGAAGACTGTTTAGGATAACAACTTTTGACAAAATAATAAAACTGATGAAATATACCCATTTATTCATGTATAAGAACAAGATGTGTATCAGCGAAGAAGTATTTCTTTTCAAACGACTTTATTATCAATCTGTACAGTCATATTGATACTCGGTAAACTAACAGATAATTGCACTAAAAATTTGCTCAGTCTATATGCAAAATATACAATAGGTGTTGTTGGTGTAATTTGTTCAAGTGGAAGAAATAGAAAATAGGTCAATTGTTGTCAATGAAGTGAAAAATGGTGACAATGATGATAATAATAGAGAAGTATATCAAAGTGAAATGAAATGAAATTGACAAAATAACCAAAATGAATTACTGAGGTCAAAGTAGAGAGTGGTTTCACAAAATGTTTTTGAATGCAAAGTTTTGGTTTTTGTTCATGTATAAGTAATGATTCTGGTATGCATAAGTGGTGGAAACATAGACCTTTGAAGTAGATCAATTTAACTTTCTAAATTACCTTACGGGATGAATCTCGAGAAGCTGAATGACCTTACTCTACTAGGTGTTCACATATCGATGAAGTTGCTTTACTTCACTCGAGTTTGTAAGCTAAACTGGGCAATGTTTAGCAACACGTTTTCGGAAGGCCTAATTACAACATTCAATATAGTCATGTGAATTTGTAGATACACACAGAGATGTGGACATAAGTGGCAATCATTCCTTCAAGCATTGTCGAATCAGACGACGGCCGGAGGAAATCAATCTCCATCAAACAGGATAAAAGGCATTATTGATACTCTTGAATAGACAGCTTGTTTTGTCTTAAAACTCACAAAGAAAATTAATTGTTTTCAACTTCTAAGGAGTACATGAAGCTTCTCAAACAGTTTTTTCAACAGTTACCTAGGTGTGTGAAAGGCTTCTATTTATAAAAGCTGGCAACATTTATATAAAATTTCATTATCCATAACTAAGAAGGTTTTAATACCAACGCCGTTTGAAAACTAATGATTGTGAAGTTTCGATCTCATTTAGTTGTAAATTTATAACAATGACAAAAAATGATCCATGTGGAGGCATACCACCTCATCTTGGAACAATAAAGTAAATGTTTTAGAAATGAAATTCACTGAGATTTGCTTTGTGTGTAATTTAGGAGATGTGAGGTTAGTATCAATCATCATTTGGGAACGTTTTCAAATCGAAAGATAAGTTTATATTTAATGGTAATAAGTTCGACTTATAGTGAAACACGCATCTTGATTCTGTTTTACTAAAGCCAGTGTGACGAAAGTTAGTAATTATTATAATTATTATTATTTTCCCTGCCTTCCTAGTGGAACATACCGCTCCAGTAACACACCTCCATTTCACTCTCTTCTCTACAGTCTCCTCAACCTGGCACCACGACTGCCCACAAGCATTCATTTCTTCCTCACACCATCTCCTACATATCACCCTCGACACAGACGTCCAAATCGTCGTCTCCCATCTGGGTTCCACTCGAGGGTCTGGACTGGTGCATCATGTCCCCAATCCGCCTTATCACTGCATGCCCAATCCATCTCCACTCTCTTCTTCTGCATACACGTTGGGTGATAGGTTCTTGGTTGGTTCGTTGCCTGCCAGCCAGCCAGCCAGCCAGCCAGCCAGCCAGCCAGCCAGCCAGCCAGCCAGCCAGCCAGCCAGCCAGCCAGCCAGCCAGCCAGCCAGCCAGCCAGCCAGCCAGCCAGCCAGCCAGCCAGCCAGCCAGCCAGCCAGCCAGCCAGCCAGAGTCCCTTGTTGCTAATTCTTATTGTTCTGGCCATCTGATCTTCAGTGTCGGTATGGAATGAGCGTAGGCAGTTGTTGATTAATATCTGTAGTTTGTCGAAAATGTTTTTCGTAACACACCAAGTTTCCGAACCATCACATAGATGCAGTGACTTGACTGACTTAGTGTTGAAACTCCGGATGTTATTCACGCTTTATGCCGAGTGCAGTAGATCTCCACACTGATTTCAGATTATTGAACGCCTATCTTTCTGTCTTTCCGATTCTGGTTTTGACATCCTCGTTTGTGCTGCCTGTAGTTGAAACGATGCTGTCTAGGTAGGTAGGTAGATGAAACAGACTACTTTCTTTAGGTTTAGTTAGTCATACTTTACTAGAATATCACATCAAATTGATTATTAATAAATACATTCAGTGTAAGTATGGGTATATCTGTTGTTAAGTCTGTATTATATTAATCACAACCTAATAATATGACTTATGAAATATATCTCTTAATTTTTTATCCATAGATATGTGAATACATCTTCTTTGTTGTGATGACTTTGGAGATGACATTTAAAATATTCGCTAATGGATTGGTATTTACTCCGAATGCACTTTTAAAAGATTTTGGTGGATTCTTGGATTTATTTATCTACATTGTAAGTTATTTTTGAATTCTAGAAATAAGGTAGATAAAAACATACTACTTGTTGATTGTAAGTAGGCAAAATGTGTTCATAAAACTTTTAAGCATTTTCACCACACTGAAGGTTGTGGAAGGCTGGAAAAATATCTCTTGTCCTTATATGCATATCCCCAGGAAAACTCACAACCCGTGACCGTTTAATCGCACGGATTTCATCCTCTAGTTTAGAACATGTTGGTAGGCTAATGAAAATTACTGATTTCTTTCATAACGAAGTGGGAATGAGTACTTACCACTGATGTAACCAACAATCCTCTAGGAAACTCCGTCTTAAGACTTCCTAAAATAATTAAATAGCTAGACTTAAAGTGAAAATAATGGTCACATTTGAATTTAGGAGGTTTGGAAATAACTTTAATCATGAAATTTTGATGAACTCTTTGGATAAGCTAAAGACGATTTTCGGAAAAAAGAAATAAAATTAGAACATTATAGGTGGTTTTATTCACACAGGTATCATTCATTCAATAAACTTGAATAGTGCAAGGGATTGGACTATTCAAATGATAAAATGGTTAGGGAAGTATCATAAACCCAATCAGGCCTCTGCAAGCTGATATAAATCACGGACGATAGATAAATAATGTCATGGAATACGATGAATGCACTGTTTTTAAAATGGAAATCATACAAATATGATAAATTAGACGATGAGATTTTGATGCAACCAAAAAACTATCGGATCAAGAGTTCGAATAAAGGTACAGCTATCTAAAATCAAATTGTTCTAGCAAAGTGTGAAACCGGTAACGTTAAAAATTGGATGCATGTGGAATACGTCTTGGCTAAAAAAGCATCACAGGCTTCAAGTTCTGAAACATGTGGACGTCTGTTACTTTGTCGACGGTGATATTCAATAAATGCATCCAAAAACTGCATTAGCAGCGGAAGGTTGTCATACTCAAAATATGGTTAAAAATGAAAGGTGAATCCCGAGGATAAGCATAAGGATATACGATAACTAAAACCTCTAAGGAAAATTTAACACATTTGAAGAAAGCTGAAGGAGGTATACGGTAGATAAGAGATGACAAGAAGACTGGATGAACTGAAAATTAAAATCCTGAGCAAAATATACTATAAGAGAAAGAAATAATTCGGAGGGCAAATTAAAGTCATTTTTGTCATACTACTGAATATTGTTAAGTAACATAAAATTAAAAGCATAAATTGTTTGCAAACAGATACAAAATGTAAAATGAAGTGTAGTAATAAGAAGATTGGACACCTACGATGACTCAATAATAATATCTTTCCTCTCAGTATACTAGCAAATAGAACCTACACTAATGTTTTTTTCAGCCGGTAGTGTTTTTTGAAGGAGGCAAGAAAAGTGTATCCCACTGAGGAACTAAGGTTTTCATGATGAATACATCATCATGGACCGACATCGAATGGAAAACCATCTGAAGCCTGGGAGCATTGCACAGCTAGATCATCCTCGCGTGAGGCTTCTCAGTAGTGGTGTAAACACAAGATTCCATAAACCTCCAAACTGAAATACTGTCCAGTTCTTATGAGTGACATGCTTCAAGAGGAAATTTCCAGAAGATATATTGAGAAGTTGTGACCAGTGGGGCAAACCAACTCGAACATACGGAAAAATACTCAGCGATATCATTCGATGAAGATCGTGCTATTGTCTGAACCAACAGAAGTGGGGAAACGTGGACCACTGGATTTTGAACCACTGAGTGACTGGTTTGATCCCGTTGGGGTTGTTATTGCGTACTTCTGAATCGTCCCATACTAGAATGAATCAGTTATCAAGTACTCCTTGGTTTTCAGTGGTTCTCCAATTGATATCAATCTGTAATGAATACCGCCTTAAAATTAATAAATCTCCACTAACCTCCAAAGTGAGTTAAAGGTTTTCGCCAAAAGGAAGGATCAAATGAATCTGCAGGTTATCGTTGATTATCATGAATATTCCAAAGCTGCATCTATAAAAACGTTTTTCATAAGTTATCTGAATACTGGTTATTCGTCATGATTATCAACTGTAGTGAAATGAAACTACCCTAGCAGTGTAGGGAGATGCAGACTACCTGGTTGTCGTCCGCGAGATTAAAGGAATAAGGGGTTGAGGACTCTTTGTGACAGCTACAAATCGGTCATAATGAAGCTGATGTATTCACTCCTTGACGTCTTCTGATTTTTGGATATTCGCTCTAACCTTTACTTTTAGATTGCTTATTCTTTCGCACAACTTTATCACTCTCTTTATATCCCTCTGTTCTTTGTGCAATACTTTGAAGTGTGGCAACTTGACCTAATGTGATTTTATGCTAGGTTCTAAGTTAATTTTTTATGTCAGTCATCCACCCTAATTTATAAGATCGAATAGCCTAGATCTGTGTCGTTTCCCTTGTTCGCTTAAGGTGGAACCACCTCTTTATGAGTTACAAGGAACTTTAGTATTAATATATAAATTGTCATCATGATACAATTAGTGTAAACAGCAGCAATAAACCTACGGCTAGTAGTGATACTCAGCCAAATAACAGAAGAAAATATTTCAAAAATCGCTTGACAGTAACAAGTAGTTGTGAAATATTGTATTCATAAATTTTAAGACGAAGATAATGTGTTAGTAACAATACAGATTCGATGTCTAATTAAATAGGCACTGGTACAGCTATATGAAGACGCCAAATGCCTAGTGATACACAATAGAAAGCTCAGTGATGACAACTTTGAAGCCAAGTGAAGACAGGAGTAAGACAAGGCTGTCTACTATCACCCATAATATTCCTGATTGTGGTCGACTGGATCATGCAACAAACAGTGAGGAGCGAGAAGAGGGGGATACGCTGGCTTGACTGCGGAAAGGATCCCAGAAAATTTGGATTTCGCCGATGACTTGTATCTGTTGTCGCACAAACTCGAAGATCTACAGGCGAAAACTGAGTTGACAGAAGAGACAGGGCAGAGAAGAACGGACTTCAAGAGAATATAGAGAAGACGGAGGTGATGAAGATACCCAACCAACAACACCAACGACAACAACAGACTGTAATCACCATCAACAGGTGAAACTTGAAGGAAGAAGTCTCTTTTACCTATCTGGCCAGCACTGTTTCAACTACAGGCAGCACAAACGAGGATGTCAAAACCAGAATCGGAAAGACAGAAAGATAGGCGTTCAATAATCTGAAATCAGTGTGGAGATCTACTGCACTCGGCATAAAGCGTGAATAACATCCGGAGTTTCAACACTAAGTCAGTCAAGTCACTGCATCTATGTGATGGTTCGGAAACTTGGTGTGTTACGAAAAACATTTTCGACAAACTACAGATATTAATCAACAACTGCCTACGCTCATTCCATACCGACACTGAAGATCAGATGGCCAGAACAATAAGAATTAGCAACAAGGGACTCTGGCTGGCTGGCTGGCTGGCTGGCAGGCAACGAACCAACCAAGAACCTATCACCCAACGTGTATGCAGAAGAAGAGAGTGGAGATGGATTGGGCATGCAGTGAGAAGGCGGATTGGGGACATGATGCACCAGTCCAGACCCTCGAGTGGAACCCAGATGGGAGACGACGATTTGGACGTCTGTGTCGAGGGTGATATGTAGGAGATGGTGTGAGGAAGAAATGAATGCTTGTGGGCAGTCGTGGTGCCAGGTTGAGGAGACTGTAGAGAAGAGAGTGAAATGGAGGTGTGTTACTGGAGCGGTATGTTCCACTAGGAAGGCAGGGAAAATAATAATAATTATAATGGTTCACAAAAGGACCGACGATGGCGTACTCTTATACTGATTGGATAGGAGTAATTGTAATAATTGAAGGCAAAGAAAAGTCAAGAAAGGTAGATGTCATTAGGTCATAGTGCAATTACCATCTTGCTAGATCCAATTTAGCTATGATTTCCTTCTAAAAGCAGAGTCTTGGCTCATGTATAACTATTCAGCAGATACATTTTACTGAAGTATATGAATTCATTAAATTTAGCTTTTTTTTTAACACTGCTTGTTTTTAGCTATGTTAGTTTCTCGAATCCTTTAGAAATTTTGGTATGACTTTATTCCTTATCTACTGTTTGAATTCTACTTTTGTTGTTAAGTTCTTGCAAGTATCCTGAAAGTGTTTTCCTATGTAACCTGATGCTAACAAAGTTCCGAAAAAGAAATAAAGCTTAAGTCAATTACAGTTTGAAATGCATGTATATATATTGAATTAGAGAAAGACAGTCCCAATGTGGTTAAAGAGGAGATATTTCACAATGAAAAGTTAGTTAAATTAGTGATATCCTAACTTAATTGAAACACCTATTGCTAGGCTGCTGTAAAAGAAACTTTATACTGAAGTATTTATGCCCAGTGAGAGCCATCTTGGAAAAAATGTCTTCTTTTAATATATTCGTACCATTTTTTTTTAGGTGAAAAGACAAAGTAGACTGTTGACTAAACTTCCAGTAGGTTTGATTGACTCAATATTAACATGTCATTCACTGGTTAAAGCTATACAAAAGCTTGGATAGTATGAATAACCCTTACACAATTGGGATGTATTGTAGTCTAGCAAATGGATATGAGCAACGTCACTGGAATGATTACTGATTATCTTTCTTATTCAGGTGACAGTTGAAGCATAATCAGCTAAATGTTAGCCTTAGCACTCAAGTTATTAATCTGTTAGATGCCCAGCCAGACGGCGGTAAAAAAAGAACCTAAATTTCGTACTTTTTTGACACTGATGGGAGAAATATTCCAGAAACTTTGATGCTCTTACCTTCAATATGGCTATCAAGTCCTAAGTGATGGTTGAAGTCTGTGGATCACGTTTGAAATCTTTCCATTCTTTTCTTCTATAAATAAGCATCCTTTCTCCGTAGAGGTAAAAGATAGGGAAAATAGAGGAAAACCAACTTTTAGTGTTATTGCTTGTATTACACCGTCGTTGATTGGACCGAATTGATCAGTCTCTGTTGGCATATGGGCTCCTGTGCGAATGCCTCGATATTGCCTGTGTTCTTAAGTATATAGTAATGATAGATAGTCCCAGATAGGATGAAATGCTTATCCTGGATCCCACTGCTGGCCACTATCCATCATTACTACATAGTTAAAAACCAACTTTTGTTGATGAAAAAATATCTATTTATATATAAGTAATTTCTATGCTTTCTCCTTCTCTTTTTTTCCCCTCTTATTTCTTCCATTCGTTGTCATCATTATTATTTGTTTATTCATTTCATGTTGTTGACATACTCTGAATCATTTCACTCAGAGGAAATCAACCGAATATGATTAAAATAAGATTATCTCAGTAACGACAATTATGACTAGCTGATTTCGTTGTTATTGTTGTTGTTATTTAGTGTACTGCTTAAATTATTTGACCTAATTATCAGCGTAGTTGTGTGTGTGTGTGTGTGCGTGAGAGAGAGAGAATATGACCATTGCTCATAGTTATTATTGTAGTGATTGAGTAGATGCACTAATCTACTTTTTATTTATTTTTAACAGGTATTACAGATTAAATTATGCATATATGTATATGTGGATAAGTGTACGTGTTTAGCTGTTTCATTGGGTTTTCTTGTCAAAGTAAAGTTATTTATTTTTGTTTTCTAATCATTCTAACACTATTTTCTTGTATCCTATTATTGTGAATTTATCATCAAACCAACAACAACAATAACAACGAAAAACATACTGCAATAGATCAGTTTGATTTTTGTCAGCTACATGATACGCGTAGATATTATCGGTCCAGGATCTGGTGGTCATTTACTCATGGTATTGAGGTGTTTAAGACCATTAAGAATATTTTGTTTAGTACCACAGATGCGTAGAGTAGTCTATGAACTTGTACGTGGATTCAAAGAGATTCTTATGGTGAGTTATTAAAATTTATTTCGTCTTCTATTTAAGCATTTATCACTTTCATCTCTTACCTATGATATTATACTAGAGAGCTATATTTTCTTGAGAAATTAATAGTATCTCAAAATTTAGACAGCTGGAGAGCATAATCTTATCAATGTTTTCGGGATTCCTAGTTTGTGCATACTGATAAGCATTGAAAAAATTGAAAAAAGGTTTCTATGACTATTGACTGGTAAAAATATGAATTGTTAGCTGCTTTTCCTCCTCTTCAACTTCGCTAAAATTATCACTTTACAGTTAAATATAACTGATTTGCTCATATTAGGTGTGTACTGAAAATTCTCATAAATATCACCTGTAAAGGTGATAATCGTAATCTTTTTCTTTATCGGTTCTCACTGTTTATAGAAAAATTACTTGGGTGATAACGCAGTGATTGTGCAAACTCAGGGACTGAGTAACAGAATTTTTTTATAATCGAAAGAGCACAGTTTCACCATATCGCATACAATTCTACCGACAGTGATTTCCTAAACGATCTGTGGTGATATGTCTCAAGAATTTTCAATGAAATCCATTCAGTCAGAGATAGTGAACCGTTTTTATCTTGTTACATGTAGTCATGGATGTTACAGGGACTATGTAACTGTGGTTACAACTATATATTAGCAGATATTCAATAATTGTGAGGGTGTTGTTAATACAGCCTAAAGTGAAAGGCATTTGGTTCGTTCTTTGAAAAACTGTCGTATTTATATTTGGTTATGGGAAATCGATAAGAAGCCCAGATCGACCAAGGTTTCATGCTTGTCACCTCCCGTCAGCCAGGTATGCCCGTAAACATGAGGTAATTAATGTCCGCCCTCAAGTTCTATCCCGTGTCACACATCGTCACACTTGGTAATGATACCACTGAGCTATTCGGACAGTGACCGATCTTCCGTAAGAATGGATTAGGTATATTGATTGGTAACAAGGACAGCAACCACTTTCATGTTTCCTAGTCTTTAATACTGGTCAAAGCTCAGAGAGGACATAAATTTCCTTGGAGTTGCAAATGAGTGCTAATAAGCACGAAACGTAGGTCAAGCAGTGTACCACGATCATGAGCCTTCTACATTGGCGACCACATTGCAAAATGATAGTTAGAATTCGGTCAGCGATCAGGACTTGACAACATGAAGTAATCAGTAATCAGTCAATGCATACAATCGCATTCTCTGAAATGTAGCAAATTAGACTGAACACGGACCGACTGGAAGGTGATGACAGTAAGCTGGAACGAAAGAGAGTCTATAAGACGCTCCATCCTTTCAGAAATTTGTCAGTGAAACATGTCCTAACCAAACTGCTAATCTTTGCACAAACACTTCAATACAATAATTATCGTATTATCTCTTGTTCGAAGGCCAACGCCTGACATTAGAGCTTTGTAATATACGGAGGCGTCAATGTTGTATCCCTAACTGAATCAGAAGGTTAAACAACTACTTCGTTTGAATCGAGAATTAGAAACTTCATAATTAAATAAGTGCACTCAAATATTTCTAAGCTAGAAGTTTTAAATCTTATCACTAATCTACCTTAAAAAGATCGACAACTTAACTGGTCTCCACAAAATTTAATACTCTTTACGAATTCTTGTTAACCGCCTTTTTAAAAATCAGATTGTTTTCTTTTCTTATTCTCTTACAGGTTTCTGTTCTATTAGTTGTATTCATGTTCATGTTTGCTGTTTATGGAGTCCATTTATTCGGTGGACGCTTAGCTATCTGTAACGATAGAAATATAACAGTTAAAGTGAGTTACACTCTTGTTTTGTTCATGAATGAACTTCAGTGTTAATAGCATTTCCTAACAGTTCAATATATCTAGTTTTTCCCTTTCGATAGATTCTTTAGAGAATGAATAAGAAAAACTGACAATCACAAGGAAACAATTGTAAATCCACCTGTAGATCTTGTAAATGAATAGTCTCCTAAGGGTTAGTTTTGTCTGGTGACTTTATCCGCTTGAATCGTATCCGGATGCACTCAGCTACCTTGTGCACACTAGTACAGTGGGCGATATGCCACAAAAATCATTTGTGAGTTCAAATGATACTACCCGATTACCTTAACCTCAGTAGCTGAAGGGGTGTTCACCAACGTAAGGCTTCAGCTGGAATTCATCTCCCTACGCCAATCAACCACAAATCCTCTCTTATAAGCCTTAGACTAGGTAACCCTTTGTTTACTTCTATTTACAACTTCGAAGAAGAGTGAAATACATTGAGTTAACGCTGTTACCAACATCTATCGCTCCTAAATGAGTTAAGCATTCCAACTATATTCAAGTACCTGATGAGTGGGGTGACTACTTTGCAAAAAGCATAAAGAAGCATCAAAGAAAACGGAATTGATAAATTTGGCCTAACAAAAGACTCAGGATTCTGATGAAGATTAAAAGTACATACATATACACCACTGTGATTGATTTTTAGCCCTGTCATCTTGGAGTAACTTCAAAGACCACTCCGTCAACCATTAATAATAACAATTATTTCTCTTTGTTTAATAATAATGCCATCTTTCTAAGCAAAATTATAAAAATTATCAGTTTTCTCAAAAACCAGCACTTTATTTACAGTTTCTAAATATTGGTTCGTGCTATAAAAGGTAAAAGATCCGTAACTAGGCATGATACACTTTCTTACATGTCTCAAACCAACGACTAAAACTCTTCGAATTACTGTTGTGTTTCATTCTGTTCATCTTCAGCTGTCTTACATTCTTACACAAATTAGTTAATCTTGTTCAAAAATCTACTGACTAGTAGCTGCAGAGAGACCAATTTCTTACCGTCTAGTCCTGAGTACTGATCGAGTTCTACCGATCATTTTGCAGTGAAGTCAACAAAGTGTGAGACTCAAGATCGCTGTGCTCTTTGGTGGATATTAGCTGTTTGTAGTCAACCATCTAGAAACCCTGCTCGACCCAGGTTTCATGCTGGTTAGCTTTGGTTAGTGAGGCGTGTCTATGACCTCTACGAAAATGATGTCCTCTGCGAGATTCTCACTAACATCACTCAGTGTTACGGTCAGTGATATCACTGATTAGTTTATTTAATCATGACCGACCTCCTATAGAACTTGGACAAAGGAAATCACTTTATTTTGAGGTTGTAGACACGTCTAGCTGATGGGTATTAACATGCCCAAAACTTAGGTCGAGCACCGCTTTCTGACGATAGCCTCCAACCATCGGATATCGTTCAATAGGATACAATATGAATCGACATGTCGGTGAAGTTAGTCAAGCTTTGTCTTTATAGGCGCTCTTCTATGTTTGTTACTTGCTAGCGTAGAGGCTTTGCCGACAAGAAAAATCATTTAGGCTCCACAGAAATGTTCTTAACCTTAAGCTTACTTCCTTTCATACAGCTTAGTGAGTCATAAAAAGCAAGTTTTTTAATATAGGGCTAAGTAATGGGAGTTAATCACTAGAATATTTAATATGAAAGAAGTAATTGAAAAGATGAAGGTATATGTCACTATAAGGAGCAGCGATCACGGAATAACAATAATGCCTGTCAGCATATATATATGAAAACTAATACCAAAATAATAAAACAGACGTATCATATATTATTGTAACGAAAGAAACAAAAAACAAAATGAAATGCTTCAGTGCTATTAGATACAGTATTTCCTAAGCTGTAATATTATAGTCTGCTTTATACAAACAGTTACTGAATCAACTCACTCATGCCTCATGATCAAACGTACGTGTCATCAAAAAACAGTATAAATATACCTTATGTAAGTATGACTCACAAATCCAGAGCTTTAAGAAGATCAACTGGTTTATTACATTATAGAATCTGTTAAAATGTAACCAACAAAGTTTTAATCAACTAGATGTATATGCTTCAGTTGACTGGCTTCTATCAAATAGGATACATGAAAGTACACTTTTAAGTAAATCTATATCAATCTATGCATCTTGTTTATGAAAACTGGTGGTAAGTTCAATTCAATCACTTCTAGCTGTAGCGCATTCTATGACAGTCGCTTATGCTGAACATTTGAGTATACATCATATCATATTGTAACAAAAGTGAAGTTTTTACTATGCAACGAAATAGTTAATTATAATTTTATTTTAATGATCATTTAAAATCATTTAAAGATTTCTTGTAAATTCATTGGTTTTGAAGAGTTTATTTGACTGACTTTGGAGTTGTCTGGTGGTATATACCGAAGGCCAATTTCTATTGGTCTATTTCGCCTGATTTCCTTATGAAGTCTTTACAGCGATGATATACACTTGATAAAAGATGAAGTTTTTGGTACAATATATTTTTGTAGTCAGGTGGTTTATTTATCCTCAGAAGCATAACAACTCAAAAGAATATTGAGTGACTGCCTTTCAGGAAGTTAATCCTACTTGTCAAAGATTATTCAAAAATCATCTAATTAATTTTAATGATACACTATATATCGTTTCAGGAAATTTTCTGCAAAGGTACAAAACGTTACCTTAAGTTGACTGTTAAAACTGCACCACCGTGAATGCGTTAGATATTTTGGCCACTGTGATCACGATGAATGGATAGTAACATTTTGCCGGATCACGAGGCAGTCGTGCCAAACTCTTGGCGATTGCACTATAGTCTAGGCTTGTTCAGCAGTTGAGTTTGTTAACTTAACTGATAAATTGTCATCGTTAGAAGCCTAGGGTTGATTTATTAAATAACTAACTACATTTATGTAATATAAATTCCAGCCCATCTTTTTCTGTTTCATCGGTTTGAAAGTGCCAACAAAACAGATGCGTCTCAAAGCATATTATATGAGCTCATGATAGATTTCAAAGTTGTATGGAGACCAGTACCTTTGTAGACAAACGGCGATCTACTTGAAACTTGAACTACCAAAATGTTCCTCCGATTATATGCATCAAATTCTTTCCTTGCACCACTACCGAACTTAAGCTCACTTTACTGTTCATCTTTCATTCTGGGTTGGAGGCTAATCCAACACCAGCTGGTAGTTTCATATCATTACTTTTAATACTGTTATTATTACCATCATTCAGCTACAGTAATCATTTTGTTTGAAAATACTTTTCTGGGAGTGACTCTGTTGGAATATTACATACTGAGAATTTCACACCATACCATAAATATTGGTGTTAGTGTTTTTAATTTTCCGTCGTCCGTTGGACCGAACTGATCGAACTCTACTGGCATGTGAGTTTCTTTACGGATCCCTGGATATTCCTTGTCGTTTCATCTTGGTGGTAACGATGGATAGCGACTACGAGTGGAACCCAGGACGCACCTTTTGTCCTATTTCGGACTCGCCAGCTGGATGTACCTGCACCCCGGTGAATGATACTGTTCTCACTAAGACTCTAACTCAGGATCGATCTTTTCAAAGGTCAGAACGTTATCTTCTGGGCCATTGAATCACAATAGCCACTCCTTGTGAGACACGCACAGTTTTTTGTTATTGCTTGTAATTTCCCTTCTTTAGCTGGCCCAAGTTGACTCGCTGGCTTAGTGGACAAGGATCTGGGGTTTGAGGCTGTCGGTTATAGGTTCGAGTCTTGGTGAGAACAACATCGCTCACTGAAAGTCAGGAACATCCAGCTTATGATTCCCAAACAGGATGAAACTCCCGTCGTGGATTCCGCTGCTAACCACTATCCATCATTATTAGCATACATATTATTGAGAATAAAGTGGCTGTTATTATTATTATTATTATTGCCTACCTTGTTGAGCAAGTAGCTATATAACATAAAGCACTATACCAGTCGGTTATGCAAAAATTTACCAGAAGGTAGATTGTATAATCAGCAAATTAAATTATCTTACTTCCATCTAATTTGCCTAATCATCTGTTTACTATTTGTCGCCTTTTCTGATTTCTACCTCCTCAATGGCTCAGGAGAAATGCGTTGGACGATTTATGCGTGAGCTAGCCTCAACCAAATTGAAGAGTGTTAAAGGTGAACCACTTAAATTGCTTGTACCAAGAGTATGGGCTAATCCAAGAAACTTTAACTTTGATAATATCGGCAATGCAATATTAGCCTTATTCGAAGTCTTATCATTAGAAGGTTGGGTTGAAATACGTGACGTAATAAAGGAGCGTATTGGTCCGGTAAGTAGGTCCGTTTCAGTAACAATAATAACATTGTGCATGTTATTCGTCCATGAACTTGATTTATCTGAATATCAACATGCGTTTTAGTTCCTCTTGAAAACTTTCTATTCAATTATAATTTCATTTGCTCTATCATGAATAATCAATTACTAGCAGTAAAAAGTGAGGGAGTGCCTACAGCAAACAAGTGAGTGAACTACATAATTGGTTGGACGCAGCTTACGTTCAACCTATAGATCTACCATATCAAAGTTATCGTGAGTAGAGATGGTCCTTGAGTCCATTTTTGAAGTAGAGGGAGCGGTATATACAGATTTATATTTTATAGCACTCTGGAAGTAGGACAACAAAGTGGTTCAATGATTTTTGTTGTCTGTATCTGTGGCTAGGGCGGTGATAACTGTCCTCAAAAATGAGTAACCAACCATTTATGATTCGTTTGTTAGTGGTGTCATTTTCTAAAGATAAAAACAATGTCTGAAAACATAATGATAACAAAATAAAGCAAGTAAGTAAATCATTTCGATGCTGAAGTGGAATGGTAAAAACTGCTCAACAACTTAGGTTGATGTCTCTTTGTGCAAGATTGTTCGTTGTTTTATTTGTCTATCCAGCCGTAAACTTATCTGAGTGTGAACTTCGTTGTTGTTCAAAATAAGTGCCAACAGTTTAGACAATTAGCGGCGGGTGATTGACTTCTCGACAGATACCACAAACCACTTTATTCGTTACTCCTTATAGTGAGATGAATTTCATTCTATCACTAAATAAAGCCAGTTGCGTATATGCTGAAGATAAACAACAGTCAAGATAAAAATCTCTGTCATCTTGCAACTGATTACTGTCTCTTCATTATTCGCAACTATAATGAATATGTTAGATTACAATCCTACCATTCATGGTAATCCTTTTAGTATATGCGGACTTTTTAATAATCACATCTGGAAGAGAAAACTCAGAAATGAAGCATGTGAAGACGCCTGTGCACCAAACGAGTCATTCATACGCTGATGTCATCTTACCTAGTTCTTCACACACAACAGAAGGCAATTTTCCAAAATTCAATGAAACAAATGTGTTCAAATGCCTAAAATCATTAAGACCTTCGAAAAGCCTTGTACCAGATAGCATGCCAGGTTTTATGATTACGAAATGTGCTGATATCCTATCCCATCCCCTAACAAATATTTTTAATGAGTCCTTTGCCAGAAATGACGTATCAACCGACTGAAAGGAAATTAAAACAGTTCCGGTACCCAAGTCTGCATAGCAATAAAGTCGCCGTTCCTAAGAACAATGGGAAAACTGTTGCTTCGTGTGCTTGAACTTCCTTTGAAGGCTTTCACAGATCGAAACCGATTTGCCCAGAAAATGAGAACTTTTTTACTAAATAATTAACTCAAGTTTTTATTCACAGCAAGTTATTCTGATTATCAGTCTTGGTGACATCCATATACATTGCTGAAAAATATTCATTTCATATGACAGCATCGCAGAGGGATAGGTGTCAGATCCCTCAAACGATTGCACAGATAGTGATATAACACTATCATGAAACGAATGGATTTCGATATCTTTTATCATTTCCTTTCATAGGAATGATACAGTAATCTTCCTTTTACTGTGCTGGTAATTTATGAAACCACTTTCCTTGTACGTCGAATCAACTAACTCAGGAAATATCAATGTGTCGCTTGCTTGTCTTTGCATCAAACTTTGACTCTTTTGATCAATCGGCTTATTGCTTTTCAGTTAATGAAACCGTCTAGAAATTTATTACTTCCATAGCCTGGTATAGTTAAGAACCATGGTATGCATTAGTCATGCGTAACAAATTGCACTGGATGGATATAATAGATGCAACGAAGTAGAAGAACGTCCGTAGGCAGAGGACTTTGTTGAGTGTACAAATAAATAGACTGAAAGATTAAAAAGACATCAATATGCCACTGAACTATTTCTCAACTTCACGAACAAGAACAAAGGTCCATTTTGTCAAATGAGCTCATATTCGGATGCCCCAGTCTGGACTAAAGATTGCCATGTATTTTCTAGGTGGTGACTAGCCATGTAATCAAGGACGCTAGACTTACCTGAATCTCTGTAAATGACGGTATTTCTCCCAAGATTTGATTCCACAGCCATCGCTTTGAACACCAAGACGTTATCCACTTAGACTATTGCGCGAAAACAACCAGCTCTTATCCAGCGAGTATCAGTTAGTACTTATGGATACTTCCAATTCCCCGTCACTTATCCTACTGAACCCAAATAATCAATCCATTTTGTAGAGCAGGTCGCTCTCATGAATCAACAGTTTAGTGGATATCACTCTTGATTTAAAAGCAATAAATGCTGGTACCGAATAACAGTGGGAACACCATCCTTTCTTAGGATATGTGAACATCCACCCTAAGAGTGCTAAATAGGTTGAAACAGACGCCCTTAATCCCCCTGAGAGCCATCAACAAGTAAACTGAACTAGAAATAAGGTAATTGTAAAATTCATTGTTGAATCTATTCCATTGTGTTGGATTACTAACCATGACTCATAATTTCTAACCATTGTTTATTGTCATATGTTATTCAGAACTAAGGTCAGTGACTGTATACATTGGTACCACATCTTGATTAGGTCACATACCCTAACCCCTCCCCCCACCCGCCTTTAGCATTTTTTATGTAAGTTTACTCAAGTCACCTCGGTGCAGCAAATTAAGTAGTTTCCCTAACCGTTATACGTATCCCAACTTCCTCACTTAGTACAAGTCTACAGCATCCTTGACTGAAATATTTTCTTTCGGGGAATTTTATTTAAATAACTGATCATATGAGGTGATTATCTAGTTCAGCAGTTTCCGTAAGAAATAAATATGGAAATATTCTGTCTCATTCACTCACCGAGAGATAAAGTTGGCAATGAATTTCATTGTAACCTCTTTTGTGCTTCCAGTCTACCAATAGAAAAATTTTAACAAGTTGCTCATAAGAACTTTTTCAAGTGTTTTACACTTTTACTAATTTTATTTATACTATTTTTTTCTGTGTTTCCTCTTTTTTGTTCTCCATTACAGCGACATGTGATCTACATACACTTATTCGTATTTATTGGATGCCTTATTGGTTTGACTCTCTTCGTAGGTGTTGTCATTGCAAACTACAGTGAGAATAAGGTAAAAAAATAATTCGGGCTTATGAAAAAAATTTGGTTGATTAATTTATCTAAGGTAAAGTTGATTGAAGGACTACTCTCAGTGTATAGGGATTTTGATGAAATGCTTTCAAAGTTCAAGTTCTCTTTCAGTTTTGTTGAGGCTTAGAAGATAAAGTTGAAAGATTGTCATTATTACTTTTAGGAGTTGGATTTTCACACCACATGGCTAAAAAAAGTTCCATGGATAACATCGGCAGTTTATATTCATCTATCTGCAAATAAACTTCTACCAAGATAACCTGAAGTTGTGATTAGGAAAAGAGACGTAGTGAGAAGGCGGAGATTATCTGAAACATATGGTGCATAAGCGTTATACATTTTGAACAATTTGACTGGTGACAAATTAATTGGTCGAATGATTTATTTAAAACTAAGATAGATTAATTAAACCAATAGAATTATAATTAAGAACGATGACAAGGACAGAGCGAAAACAAGACAGGAGAAAAATAAAACTAAAAGATCAAATCACTACGACCATTAGTATAAAGAGTTGAGCTTAACACTACTAGTTTCAATACGAAGGCAGATATTTCCGACAGATTGATGGCATTGTCATGGGTAGTCCCTCAGGTCTTCTGTTTATATGTCCTGTGTCGAAGAGTTAGCCTAAAAATTGATTGGTAAAGCTTGGTTTTATAAGAGATATGTGGATAACATTTTTGTAACTTATAGAAAACGTGAAGAGACAATGTGCTTATTAGATCAAATGAGCAATGCACAAAGCCACATTAGCCTCGCTTATGAAGGAGAAGTGGGTGATAAACTACCATTCTTAGACATATTGATTAATCGAAGAGGGGATGACTCAATCACAACTTCTATCTACAGGAAGCTGACTTGGACAGAAGAATACCTTAATTCCCATAGTTACTGTCCAGCCCAATACAAGCGTGGCTTAGTCAGGTGTTTCTTTGATAGAGTTCATATTTACACAGATAACACAAAAGAAATAGAAGCAAAACTTTTAACGGATACATCAGTGCAAAATGGATATCCATGAAAATTTACCGACAGATTTAAAATCAGCATAACACTGATACCGGTCAATCAGTATTCTGTCCCTAAGAAAAATGTGTATACCACATTGCTATACAAGGCTCAAATCAGTTATTAGCATGACAAACTACACGGTGAAGATCTTCTAAATGGGGAAGACAAAGCCCATTCTTCAACACAAACCTAAACAGCGTTTAAACGGATGTGTCACATTCCTTCGTGTCCACCGATTTAGGTGTATATGCGGACATTTCAATAGAGTGGAGCAATCGTGACATCTAGTTAGGAAGAATAGAAAATGTGCCTTAGTGGCTCCAAAAACAAATGACCTCTAACAGTTTGATAAGTGTTGGTGACAAACATTCTTCCTCATCTATCACGAAACACATAATAGAAACTGATTATAAGATTGATATGAACACAACCTTCACTGTACTTTATAGATATGGTCAAGCAGGTATTCTCATATTTATCTAAGCACTTGCTATCCATAAATTCAAACCTCTTCTGTGTATTCAGAAACAATTTGTACCTACACCAAACCTACCCTGGTAGTATGAAGTCCGACTCAATTTATTAGTGGTGCTGGTGATTTTTCTCCTCTCTTACTTTCGTTCTGCCCTTGTTATCGTTCTTAATTATAGTTCCATTGGTTTGATTAACCTTTCTTAGTTGTATATAAATTATTTTGAGGGAGTTGTGGGATTTGGAAATATTTCAAGTTGTTATTCATCGTAGACTGACTTCAGTTGGAGGAACAAAGGAAACCTAGGAGCACTGGACAGCTGTTTCATCCTAGTATGGGACTCCTCAGCAGTGCGCACCCACGACCCTACCAGAGACCGAACCCGCGACCTTCAGGTTCCGTGGCCAGCACGTTACCATTGGGCCACAGGGTCAGATCCCAATGGTCGTGAGGACAGTTACCCAACAATGATATTGGGTGGCGGTTGTGCTATATCCTGAGCTAACAGAAGTTGGAAATATGGAGCATTGGATTCTGACCCAGCGGCTCAGTGGTAAAGTGCTGGCCAAGGAACCTGAAGGTCACGGTTTTGGTCACTGGCGGGGTAGTGGGTGCGCACTGCTGAGGAGTCCCACACTAGGACGAAACAGCTGTCCAGTGCTCCCAGGTTTCCCTTATAAATTATTTGACGAGTTCAGTTTTTTTTTTCAAAATGTATAGTGCTAATGCATCACATGTCTCTGATAACCCACGTCTTGTTTAAATTTATCAAGGAGATTAATTGTCTCAAGACAGTACGTAACAATATTGTATCATTTGGGTCAGTCGTTAAAAAGCATATATGGTCGCTAGAAAGTTTGATTAAAATTCGAGACATGACAAACATACTTCGATTACTATCGATGAGCCAGTTCCCGCATGAGATACTTCTAAGTACTGAATTTATTCGAAAGAAATTTTCTTCTTGATCCTGGTTTTGACAGTAGACTGGCATTAATAAAGTCAAGTGGTCTTTATCTCTTAGCATTGATTTTCATCAATTAGTTAATTCACTAATCTTACGCTTTATTGTACAAGTCTGGTTACTGTCCCTCTGTTATAACAAATTTTATTGTGACCGACGCTTTCAATACACTTTTAGGTCTTACATTGCAAATGGCAGAAAAAGTGTTAATTTTTAACTAATTTGCAGGGAAAAAAATTAACAGTAACAGATAACTAGTGAAATTGATCTTAAGTGAATAAATTGACTCCATTGTCATGGATTTTCAATTACATCATTCGAAGTCTTCAACCACTGATTCCTAACATCTTAGAAACCGCAAAACCACAAACTTGACTACCTTCAATATTTAAGATAATAAGTCACCGTTTTTGTGAAGTGGTGGAATATTTTTGTCAATTCATTCTTATTTGTTCTCTAACCTAATTCCACATCAGTTAACATGGTTCACTGATGTACGTAGTGATTTCAAATGTCCAACATATACATTAAACACCTTGGCTAGTGAAAGGTCATTATTTTATTGAATGACTAGCCTTGATTACACCACATACTATGCATAGCCCTAAACTTGCTGACATAATACTTCCATCACAAGTAGCTGATGCCATAAAAAACTATGATCAAAACCTACAACCTTCCCATACCTCCTAGCTTCCAAAGACACGTTTAAAATTCCCACCGTATGACTGGAATGCAATAATATCCTTTAATAGGTGGTGAGACACTTTGCGAAAGCTAGATATTGAAAGGGGCTTTTCTGTCAGTATTGAAATTTCTCCAGCAACTAGTTGGTTAGAAGTGATACAAATTTTCGAATGAGTAGTATTTTGCTTGGTATACTGGCGCAACGGTTATCATATTTATTATTATTTGTCTCATGGGTTCGTAGTGAAACATAGAGCTTCAGTAGTACGTCGCCATTTCAGTCTCTTCTCTGCAGTTTTTTCAACCCGGCTAAAAGACTGCCTACAAGCTCTCATTTCTTTCTCATACGATCTCCTCCATGTCACCATCACCTCGGAAGCCCGCTCGTCGTTTCCCGATTCAGTTCTACTAGATAGCTTGGCCCGTGACGTCCCTGAATGGTTTTCTCAGTGTATGCCCAATCCATCTCCACTTCCTTCTGCATACACGTCGGACGATAGGTTCTTGTTTCATTGGTTCGTTTCCAGAGTTCCTTGCTGCTTATTCTTACTATTCTGGACATCTGATCTTCAGTAACGAGCCAGCGTAAGCAGTTGTTGATGAATGTCTGTAGTTTATTGGAAATCCCTTTCGTAACGCGCCAAGTCTCTGAACCATACATGAGTACTGACTTGACGTAGGTGTTGAAAATCCGAATCTTGTTCCACATGCTGAGTGCAATGCAAAAGATCTCCACACTGGTTTCAGATTAATGAACGCCTGTCTGGCTGTTCCGATCCTGACTGGCTTTGACGTCCTCGTCTGTGCCACCTGTAGTTGAAACAGTGCTGCCATGCCCAGATAGGTGGGAGAGGCTACTTCCTTTAAGTTTCTGCCGTTCATGGTGATTGTGGCTTGTTGTTGTTGGTGGTGGTGTTGGTTGGGTATCTTCATCACCTCCACCATTGTCTTCTCTACGTTCACTTGAAGTCCCATTTTCCCTGCCTCCCCTTAACTTGTTGGTTTTTGCCTTTAGATCTTCCTTCCTTCCTTCCAAGCCTTACACAATGGTGGTGTGAGCCGTTCAGCTGTTGTCTCTAAGTCCGTTTTCAGTGCTTCTGGCAAAATTTCATCTGGTCCTGTTGCTTCCCCAGATTTCAGCAACTTGATGGCGTTCAGGACTTCACTTCTGCTTTTGTCGGAGGGTTTGTATTCACTGTTAATTCTGTGACTGGGCTGCTGGTGGTATTTCTGAACGAGCTGCAAGTGGTGGTCGATTCAAGAGCTTTTTGAGGTGGTTGGCCCATTGTTTCCTTTGTTTCCCCTTTTTGGTAACTAGCTTTCCTTCACTACCTTACGCTGGTTTCGTCTGCGTTAATTTCTTCCCAGATAGTAACCTGGTTATTTGATACAATGTTGTCAGGTCTCTCCTACCAGCAGCCTGTTTTGGTTCACTTGCCAATGTGTTGTAGAAGTGTCTTTTGTCGTTCCACGCACTCTTCTTCACCTCTTTGTTCAGTGTAGCGTTTTATAGGTAGTGTTCAGTCCCTCTTTTCGTTGTTCATCCCTGCACTGCACCAGTTTATCTTCTGCTTCACCATCATCTTCTCCCTGCTCTATCAGCTTCCATGTATCCGTTGAGATCCATTCTTTGTCTTCTTTCTTCTTCCTTCGCAATACGGTTGTACAGGTTTCTTTCCACATAGCTTTCAAAGAGTTCCAGTGTTTTTCCACACAGATTCCTTCGATTATGTTGCTCAATATCTCCCACTTCGTTCTGATGACTGAGGTGAAGATGTTCTTTGTAGTTTCGTGAGTGGTGGGGATCTTCATTTGCTCCCCTTCTTGATCTTGTGTCCAGTAGGCTGCATCTCTACTTCCTTCAAATTGAGATGAAGTCAATCTGATTTTTAGTATGTTCATTCGGTGAAATCCATTATCATATTTACGTTACTATCATTTACAAAATTAGATACAGTCAGTGGTAGTGTGATGTATGCTACTTATAAGGTTACACGAAAGCAGTATAAAGCATGATGTCACTGGGAAAATCAATCGGAGTTCACATTCAACTGTTAGAGGTCCTGAAAGAACAGACGTAAGCATGGTGGTCTGATTTGTTAGGAATTCAGCTTGTGATAACTTGTATGAGTTGTATTTAATAAAGAAGTAAATTTGATCAGGCAATCAAACTTCAAGGATTGTACACATAGACTTGTTAGAAACTTTCATATTCATCTTCTTAGGCAGTTTATTAGTTAATTGTCTTACTAAATTGTGTAAGCCACCTAATTGGATTTTGGGTTTTCCATAGACTTCTGTTATTCATCAATGTGTTAAGAGTAGACATGCATGAGTGATAGACGACTGTTATGTATCTGTCGACATTTATTAATATTTACGGTAAACTAAGCTTTAACTAATATTTTTCAATAATTTTTTTCATGGGTTTCCTGTAGAGATTCAGTTTTGATAAGGTCAAATCATGTTGGACTAAGTGGGTGGTTATACAACTAGAAACCAAAAATCATATTAAATTTGTCTGACTAAAATTCATCCAGCTGTGAGAAAACGTATTGATAACGATCGTACAACTTCATCATAATTTACATATATGGTCAGAAGTTGTGAATTATTGAAGGTGTTTACTCAGTTTAGCTGTTATTAGTAGTAATCATATATCTTCTAAAAAATCTGTCAAAACTGATAGATTTACAGACAATGATATGCAATGAAATATCTAAATAAATTAATGTCATTGATGATGAAAACAGATTCAACAGGCTAACTGAAAAATAGTCAACAGAAAAAGTTTACTTCATACCATCCACCTTTCCTATTTGAACAATATTTTTAACCATTTAGCTATAAAAGAATATTTAGTTCAATCTTTCAGACACCTTTTTGTTTCAAGTCGTTATTCATCGAAGACTGACATCAGTTGGAGGAACAAAGGAAACCTGGGAGCACTGGACAGCTGTTTCGTCCTAGTATGGGACTCCTCAGCAGTGCGCACCCACGACCCCACCAGCAGGGATCGAACCCGCGACCTTCAGGTTCCGCAACCAGCGCGTTACCATTGAGCCACTGGGTCAGAATCCAATGCTCCATATTTCCAACTTCTGTTAGCTCACGATATAGCGCAAACCGCCACCCAATATCATTGTGGGATAACTGTCCTCACGACCATTGGGATCTGACCCTGTGGCCCAATGGTAACGTGCTGGCCACGGAACCTGAAGGTCGCGGGTTCGGTCTCTGGTGGGGTCGTGGGTGCGCAGGAGTCCCATACTAAGATGAAACAGCTGTCCAGTGCTCCTAGGTTTCCTTTGTTCCTCCAACTGAAGTCAGTCTACGATGAATAACAACTTGAAATATTTCCAAATCTCCACAACCCCCTCAAAATTTAACCTTTTTGTTTGTTAGTTAAGTCAAAACTACTAACAGTATTTTAAGTATTATATGATATTGAATACGATAGTATCCTTTATTTTTCTTGCCATTCTTCGTTTGTTAAGTGTATACATATTTTCAATTAAGAGGGGGAGGTTAAAAGTAACTTTTATGTATAGCAATGAAGTGCAAACAGACAACAGTTTTCATGTGTTTGCCCGCAAAAAGATGGAGCATTTAGCGAGAAAAAAATGTCAAACAGAAATACTCTTCACACATTTCTGTCATAAAGAGGGACAAATAAATCAATATAGGTACTTAAACAAAAGGGCATCAACTGGTTTGAAATATCTTGACAAAAAAACTTTAAACATTTTGGTAATAGAAGTAGAAATAATGTTAAAATAAAATGAACGAATGGGAGGAGAGAGGTAATAAAGAAAGTAGGATAAGACAAATTTCAAACATGGTAATAACTATTTTGATCAGTTTTACGCCGAGTCAGAAGGCTGATTTGTAACATTTATAGGACAACAATCTGCCTAAAATTTTAGTCATCAAGAAGTTTTGGTAGTGTATATATTTCGTCAAACTACTCTTATCTCAGTGATGACGGATAGTGGCTGGCAGTCAAATCCAGAATGCGCATTTCGCCCGACTTGGGACTCGTCAGCTGGATGACCTGCCTCCTAGCGAGTGATGTTGTTCCCACGGGGATTTGAACCCGGGGCCAGTCGCTTCGAAAGCTACAGCGTTATCTACTAGACCACCGAACTACGACGACCGCTTCTTGTGCGATGGGTATACAAGTAACAATACTCTTGTTTTACTTGTTTCAGTCATGTAAACGTCAACAAATCGTAAAACGTATTGTCTTGCAATCTGTCCTAATACAAGTTACTTCTGAGTGGACAGCAGTACATCACATAACCATCATAGGAATAGTTAACTGAGACTACAAATTTCCATACAGGGGCTGAATAAAACTCGACCACTAGAGTTACGGATGCTTATCTGTCCATCACCCTCCGCACAACAACGTACTGATTAACTGGACGATAACCTAAAAGCAAATGATCATTGTGTATCAATGATATTAACACTATTTCACTGCCAGGGTTACTTAACTTGAAAATACTGTTCAAAGAGTAAATCTGCTTGAATATTTCGCAGTAACTTCCACACCTTTATAAGGATTTTCATGGGAAATAAAGTCATCAATATTATTATATTGTTGGCGTATGCATGTTTATGCGGTTTTGACTTATATAGATTGTCTCAATAGATTATTGTTACATCATCTTCACTTCCTTCTGATCTAAATTAACTTCAACCTACATTGCCTTTAAGGTGGATGATTGATTGACGTGTTTATTACATATTGCATACACTTTGATGAAGTAAACATCAACACGTTTACCTGTTGATCAACCTTTATTGCTGTGTGGTTATTGAGACAGACATGAGCTCATACATGTGCTATGTCCGTTCAAGGTATAAAAAGTGATTTACCCTGAATGTCACTTGAACAACGATGCGAATAGCCAATTATACTTCTGCATTTAATGAATAAGCTGTGTTTTCATCCAAGATAATAAAAAACTGATAGGTTGTTTCAAGAGCTGCTAAAGTGGCCTTTGGATATCAGCTTGCCTCGTTAAGGGAAGGAAACAGATTTCAATAGTTTTTAAGGCGTGGCGTACAAAAAATCTTCCTTACTGAGATTTTTTGTTAAAATCGATTTGAAATTCTCTTCAGTTTATCGTTAATTTAGTCATTTTCTTAAAAACTAATGATTATTCTGATAGGTATCTTGTGAGTAACTACTTCCTTAAGGTGGACACAGTAACTATAACATTTTTGTTTTCAGTTATCAATATATTCTTTTAAATAATTAGGTTTTATGAATGTTTCATTGACAGGTGCAACAACAACAAAACTTTATTGTTTGAAATTTTTCTCTCCTAGGGGACAGCACTTCTTACCGTCGATCAGAGGAGATGGTTAGATTTGAAAGGTCGTATTAGGCTCACTCAACCTTTGCAGATTCCACCACGTCCAAGTATGTCATTTAGTTTCAGTCTTTTGATATATTTCCGAACTAAACAGTAGATATTTTGGTAGTTTTCCTGTTTTTCTTTGTCTTCAGATTTCATGAGCGGAGTCTATAACATCACTATGAACTGATATCAATTAAAGAACCATTGGAAACCTGAAAGTACTGGACAGCTGTTTCAGCCTTGGATGGGACTTCTTGGCAGTGTGCACCGATGACCCAGCCGGGGTTCGAACCCAGGTAGCACCTTCAGTTTCCACGCTTAGCAAGTTACCATTGAGCTACTAGGTAGCCAGCCACTCAGTGGTTCACATTTCTTACTTCCGTCAGTTCAAGATAAAGCGAGACCTCAATGCAATGCCGTTGTTGAATAACTGTCCTCACATTCCGCTGGCTTGCCCCACCAATCACAACTTCTCATTAGAACTTGGCGAATCTCATCTAAAATCATGTCAATAATGAGCACTAGACTAATATATTTTGAGGTGTGTGGGGATTTATTGATTCTCCAAATGATATCAGTCCTTGATGAACATAAAGTTTGAAATCAATAAGTAAATCCCACAAATCTCGAAAAGAAGCCTTCGAAATCAGTTTGCAGGCTGTATTTCTTGCAGTTTTTGAATTTTTCTGATGATTCTATGTCATTACAAAAGATGAGTTGTTGTAGTCTTCCATCTAATTTAGAAACATAACTCGCTCGACGGCGACATCATCTAGTTGACTGTCACTAGTTATCTGGAACTTCAGCTTTTCTTAAAAATGACTTGTGGTTTCATTCTGGATTACAATCACAGCCACTAAAAACTTGTAGCGTAATTCAGTCATTATTACATCCCTACTACAAGTGCATACCCAAGTATGTATAAACTAAAGTGCAGGATCCTGCTGCAAAACTTCATATTTCTCCTCATCACTTGTTGAAGTGTGTAAAATGCTATCTCTAAACTGATGGATGATAGTGATATGTTTTTATTGCTTGTGCCCACTGAAAGTATGGCTATATTATATTATATATCTAACATATTCATCTTTGACTTCTTTAAATGTCGACTTCTGCCAGTGAAGAGAAGGTAGAATACAACTTCATTTCACTGTATTCCACATGATTTACTCCGAATTTATTCACGTTTGAATAGCTCCCGCTGTTATTTCGTTTAATCGTCTTAATCACGTCAAAAAAGATATTGCTTGTATTTTAATAACTTGTCTATTATGATTTGACTAAGATAGCCGTAGTTTGGCAGACTAGTATTTGTACTGGGTGATGATTAAAGGTGAGATGAAAATCTGGTACACGGCGGGATCCGAACCAGCGACCGCCGGGTCTATTCCCATTACATAACACTTTATTGATCTACTACTTTCATCAATTCGGCGCTCCTTTCTGAGTTATATACATTCTATGAACCATTCTATATATTACATAATCCATTCAGTTATCATTCATAATCAACTGTTATCAAAGGTACCTTCAGCGTTATGACCATTATCATTTGACTATCAGAGATATCTTTGATTTGGCAGACTAGTGGTGATGGGTGATGATTGAAGGTGAAATGAAAATTTGAACTGCAGCCGGATCCGCTGGTTATCACTATTATTATCATTATTATTAATTATCATATTCATCTTTACAAAATAGTAAACTTTTCTTTCTTGCCCCGGTGACTTATAACCCCATTGTACTTTTCGTCGTGGTACTAAATTTCTCCACCCTATTTTTGTTAAATCATATTTGCACAACTGGAAAAAGCCTCTTTGATCGATTTTCTGACTCACTTACATTACACTGGTCTTTATTCTGTGTAAGTGGATGATCGTAAAGGTCACCTTCCGTACCAAAACTTGAATAATTTGAGTGAACAATTGTTTTCAATAACTTCTTTAGGCTCTACAGTTAGAAAACTATGATAATAAGTGAAATATAACAACCAAAATAAGGCATGGTGTGCATTTATCACCATATTGAAACAATATGCACATTTTAACCTCCCATCCTTTTCCTCTATACTGTCATTGCATTGATCAACATTCATTTTCTTATCTTATTAGTTTTATGCCCTTTTTTAATCCTACCACCACCGTAGTCATTTTCAACCGTGACGTAACTCTTCATATATGTTACTCTCTATTTCGTCATAGTATTCACATGATTTTCATCCTACCTGAATATAACTCATCACTACATAATTATTATTTGACCCTTAGTAAACAAACACACACAGATTCATGCCCAAATAAATGTATATAAATGATTTAAAGCAACTGGTCCCTTTGATAAATCTAAACAGCGTGATGAGAAGACGAAGATTATCTGAAACATGTGATGTATTAGCGCTATACATTTCGAACAATCTGATCACACATGGACTTGTCGAACTATTTATATGAAAATTTACGAAAAGGTCAATGAAGTTAATGGGAAACATAGGAATAGGAAGGGATAGAAAAGGAAAAGGAAAACCTTATTCTTGATATGAAAATTAAAATCAGTACTACCAAGGTAGGTTCAACGTGAGTACAAATTCTTTTTGTATACATAAAGGGGTTTAAATTTACGGATGGCAAGAGCTTCAATAAATTTAAGCACTCGGCTCTGACCACTTTTATGTAGTACTTTAAAGGCTGTTTTCATGTCTATCCTATGATTAGTTTCTAGTATATGTTTAGCGATGGACGAAGATGGATGTTTGTCACCTGCACTTATCGGACCTTTTTGTAAATTTTCATATAAACAGTTCGACAAGTCCATGTGTGATCAGATTGTTCGAAATGTATAGCGCTAATACATCACATGTTTCAGATAATCTTCGTCTTCTCATTACGCAGTATATAAATGAATCATTATCTGTAGATTTAGTCTCCTCAGTTCGTTATTGTTCTGTTACTTGTGATTCATTGCACAACCGACTCACTAGACTGATAACCATTCCACAGTTCCATTCGATTCGTTCGCTGTTCTCCCATAACACTGACTGTTTCATTTTAGCAATAATTATACATCACGCTTTATTTTGGCTATTGTATTTCATTTGTTCTCATGGATTTATAACGGTAGAGCCTGAATAAGAAGTTATTGAAAACAATTGTTTGCCCAAATTATTCTTGTTCTGAGTTATCTATGGGTATCTTTAAATTATCAGAACTTGAATATTAGCCTGAAAAATTAATGTCAGATTGAAACGGTAGTAAAAGATCTTCTCAGCAAGATAGAAACGTTGAGGAATAATACAAAATATTCATTTATCATTTGTTTTAATATACTACGCCAGGATTAGAAATACACCTTAAACGATGACTTCTACTGAGTTGTAAAGTATCAGGAGATTACTGTATACTTCTTTGATACGTTAGTAGTGTATCTTTCAATAAAAATTGTCTATTTACCGCTTACTTCTTCTTTAAAGATCTTTAAGATCAAATTTTAATTCTGTGATACATGAAAGTACACTACAACATCTTTGCTAACTTATTCTTTGTTGTGAAGTCTTCAACTTACATCCCATCCTGCATTCATTAATAAGAATGCTTTGGGTGCCGTTCGATTTTCGTCTTATCACTGACTGACTATTTTGCTACCTGATACTTGGGTTACGATGCATAGAACGATACTATATGAAAAAATACAACTAAAATGACATATAGGATTATGGTGAAAAAGGATTTATCTGTGAAATTATTCTGCAGAAAACCAAAAAAAATATTAGTAGAACGGGGGATGTAGGTCAATAAATGCCAATAAAAATTAAAACAACCCTCAGCAGAGTAGAGTTGAAATTAGAGCTCTCTTTTGTAACAAGTGGGTCGATCGAATGAATGAAATAGGAAACTAGTTAAGAGTTAAGTACTGATGACTCACAAAAAAATATTTATCAGAAAAGACATGAAATGCCACTGTAAGTAGAGGGACGGTAAAGATTCGTTACACGGTAAAATTGTGGCGTCGGATGGTTTTTAACAACAAAGTACACAGGCGTAGCATAATTAACCACGTTTGAAGTATATATCAGTGATGAATAATGTCTAGCAGTAGAACCCAGAGCGAGCGTCTCGTCCTATTTGAAACTCGCCATATGAACGTACCTACCTCCCAGTGGCCGATATTCTTCTTACTAGGACTCGGACTGAGTACCGATCACTTCGAACACCAGGGCGTTATCCACTAAACCATCGAGTCACGATAGCCGCTTCTTGTGCGACGGGTATAGTTTTAATGTTGTTGCCTGTATCATTCCGTCGTTGACTGGACCGAATTGATCGCTCTCTACTGGTATACGGGCTTTTACGCGAACACCTCGGTACTGCCTATGTGGTCTAATAGATAACGCTTTGGAGTTTGAAGTGATAGGTCTCGAGCTAGAGTTTTGATGGGGACAACAACACTCAATAGGAGGCTGGTAAATCCTGCTGACAAGTACCAAACAGGAGGAAACGTGCATCGTTGGTTTCACTGCTAGCCACCATTCATCATTAATATATAGTTCAAATATAGGCAGTATCGAGACATCCATGAAGGAGCCTATAGAGACCGATCAGTTTAGTCCGCCTTAGAAGTATTTACTTGGTTAGAAACCATTTCAAGATTCTCACATACTTGGTCGAGTGATATTAAAGCTATTCTCTTTTTTTCATTCCTGCTTGTTTTTTTTTTGATAGAGTTGCATCAAGAACCAGGTCAAACAAGAAATATTATAACACCAATGTCAAATAATTTAGAGAAGAAAAGTTTAAAATTTCGCTGTTTCATTTATGATATAACCCAGAATATTTTATTCAAACGTGCTTCAGCAACACTTGTTGTCGCCAACTGTTTCCTTTTATTCTTTCCTGTAAGTCATTTACTGTTTTGTGAAAAAGGAGGTGAGAAATCTTACCTTGATTCAGTTTGATTTCGCGCGTTTTCTCAAATATTCTGGGTACCTATGCTGTTCAATAAGTTAATGGCCTTTACTTAAATGATAAACTAGTCTAGTATGTAATGTAAAGGTACAGGATGTTTTTATTTGTTTTCTAAGTCAAATACTTTGGCAAGAGATTTCATCTATCCTTGTCGTAGATATATTTAGCTACATATAGATGAACTGTTGATCAGCAACCTTAGACTTCACCTTTCAGAGTCGTTCGGTTGCTCGAAAACAGGAAGAAGAGGCAAAGACAACAAAAAGTTGATTGTCAATTCGGACACATACAAAAAGTAACGTTGTTTTATGTTTTCAATGACCCTGGTATGTTCTACACTTTTCTAGAAGGGCGTCTAGCCAATCTGAAACTCATACATATGATCACGTGGTTTTTCGTGAACGTTCGCCATGCCATAATTGCTAGCTGTGAAGGATTTTCAGGGAATTCTAAGCCTCTTAGAGGAATCTAGGGGATATTTTCGCACTCCATAACAAGATTGGAGTATGAAAATAACCTCACATTAGAGAGAGAGCAAACCGTGCACAACTCGGATGATGCTTGTTAAAGTATTACTTTTAAACGTCGAGTGGAGGCTACTTCGTCTTGAACCTTGGGTATAGTTTACGTTTTCCAAATGTTTCAAATGAAGAGATTACTTATTTCTATGAGAAACATTTGAGGGCGGATCGTAACATTCTCACGTAAATTAATTTCCTAGCATTGTAAAGAACTATTTCCTATGGGTTACATAAATGGTTTGCAATGAAATGTTACGCAACCAGAAACAGACTTTTTGGGAAGTGGAAAATTGATGTCATGGATTGCGTAAGCATTAGGAAGTAATTTACCCTAATTTAGGATGAAAGCTTAGTATAAATGAGAAAAAGAGTGAGAACTAAAAAAACCACGGAATGAAACAAGAGCTTCAATAATTGATAACATTATGCTAAACTCTCGGAAAAACCTTTTGTGGTAGACATAGTGTCAGCTGTTACCCAGGTATAGGGCAGAAAATTGTGACTAACCTATCGACTCAAATATATCAACATCTCTACCACTATCAAATATGCGATAAGCGACAGTACAGTTCAACACTTTTGCCTCTTAGAACTTCAAATCCTTTGAAGTCTATCGTGAAGTTGATACCTTTGATATCAACCAGATAAATAGGCCAAGAAGAGAACTCTCATTGTGCTTTTGTACCACATCATCCGCACTAATTTTAGTATGAACTGAAGCATCCAGATTTATTGTGAGCAATTCATGATGAGGTGGTACCTGATTGTCAGTTTCCTTCATTTTTTCTGTTATTGACTGGAGACCAACTTTTATTGGTTGTTTCCTGTCTAACCTCTGACTTGTTGGTATTCTATCCATTTTGGCATTAGCCGGCAGTTTGGGTCTATAGCTATATAGCTTTTCATTCCTAATTTACGTGAATGGCAAGCTTCTTAAAGTTATCTGTTCCTTCTATTCAGTATTTCGACATTTTGAAGATCGTATTCATTTTCACACTTGTGTAAATGCATTTTTGTAGGAGAATACATTTCGTAGGGTTTATTTTCGAACTGATGAAGAAAAAGAGGGAGACGACTTCTAATGTGGTGCTTATCATGGTTGTTACAAGTGATTTTGTAAATGGTTTGTCTTCCTTGACTGTCACATCCTTCAGTCTACATCATGTAGCCTGAATAAGACTTGTGGGTTTATGAGTTGCAATATTACCAAATGGCATAACTTCCATTTACGCGATCTCTGGGATACTCTTGTTATGATTTGATTCGCGAATTTAAAGGGTGGGGTGATAGTTGTTGAAGCGGACAAATATATGGTGACGTTGAGTCAGTCACCAAGTAATTTTCATTATTTCTTAGTGTGATGGCTGTACTGCAATGCTTTTTCGCTTTTGAGTAAAATCTGTAAACGACTAATATTGGACATTGATATTCCCTTTAAGCATGATCAAGTATCCTGTTCTCTGTTTTTGCGATGTGTAGGCTTTGAGGTGCATCTGTGAAATGGTACATACACTTGCAGGTAATATAAATAGAAGAGTGGTCTTCTTTCGATTATTTCAGCAAGCAGTGGATTTAGGAAACGAGATACAAGCCTGGTAACTGCGTAGATCCTCGTTAGTAAAAAACCTATTCTACACTTGATTCTTCGAGTAGTTTCACTACTTTCAGTTCCAAGACTAGTCAATATGTGTTCCCTTCTAGCTGTCAAACTTCACTATCTGTGTTGTAATTTTCTACACTTCTGTTTTAACTTCTGCTAATGGTTATTCTCACTTAGACATTTATCAATAATGGTGAGTTCCTCTGGTAGGTTCTCTTACAAGTAAGCGTTTACATGTGGTTAGAAACTGTATATTTAAAGGCTTCTTCGTTGCTCCCTGGACAAAAGCTATTAAATGGGAGATAACAGTGGAATCCAGGACGCTAGTTTCATCCCCTTTGGGTTTCATCAGCTGAGTGTACCTAATTCCCAGTGAGTGGTGTTGTTACTAATTAGTCTTTAATCTAAGACCAATCGTTTCAGATCCCAGAGCTTCACCAAATAGGTCATTGAGTCACAACACATACTTCATGTGCGACGGGTATAATCTGCACGTTATTAGTCATAATTTCGTATTCTTGATTGTACCGAACGATGGCAGATTAGGCGCAATTATATAAAAACTATTAAAATTAGGAAAGATTGCATTCTGTGTCACTTTTCAGTGAATATGCTGTTGGATCACTTTATTCTGAGCGTGTTAAAAACATCATGATCTAGAAATTGAGATTTATGATCATACTTGTGCTTCATTATTTACTGAATTTTCGAGATCGCTTTTTTTCAGAATAACCATAAGTTCAAAAAATGTATTTAAGATGATTATGAATAACGAACATCTTTTAACAAGAAAGCATGAGAAAAACTTCCATGTCAATTAGTTTTCATCTTAATACGATCAATTAGCCTGAGTACTCAATTGTCAATTATCTAGTTTTTGATTCAAATCCAGCTTCACATACTTTAGCCCATACAAACAGGTAGTATCATAAGCCTCTAACAATAAACTCGAGTGATGACCTTGTACATAAACCTATTTTGGCTTGAGCTGCATTGCATCACTGCGTCTGCCTATTAAGTCGTAGACACTCTGACACTCCTTATCTCAAAAAAATGCAAATAGTAAGGTGAGAAGATCAGTATAATGCTAGAAAATATAAAGGTTTGGATAAGAAATTCATGGGGTTTGTAATGAACTAACAATCTGACTCTCAGAACCTCTGAATACGCTTATTTGAACATAGTCAATCATTCAGGTGTTAGAAGAATGGAAAAGATATTACATACGGTTGAAAAGGATTTAAGGGAAGGACCAGAGTATAGATAAAAGAGTAACTTTCAACGTTGAAGCATTTATTCACTCTGAATACCATTTGCATAGGGTATTTAAAAGAGTTTACCCCATCCTCATCAGAACAAAACTCAGAATCTCTCTGAAGGAATACACACTTGTTAAACTCTGTAACTTTAAATTTTAACAAGAAAACAAGGCGTAATAACTTGTTGCCGTTTGGTGTTTCTGGCTATTGACTTCGCAGGATTAGATTTACAACTCTCTAAAAGTATACTGCTTACTTATATGGGAGACTTTGTTTTCTCTTTGTTTACGTTTACATTCTCGATGCATAATATTTTCCTGTTTGAGACTGACTAGTTAAATTTATCTAAATCCCATTGACTTGCGGTTCATGATGAGATTCAAAGGTCTTACTTCAAATGATTTAGCACTATCCCCTAAGCTTCTGATCTGAGACTATTACTTTTCATTTGACTATTTGAGATAATCATAGTTTGGCAGCCTAGTATTTATACTGAGTGATGATTGAAGGTGGAGTAAAAATTTGTAACCTCGGCCGCAACCACCGAAGAACTCAGATTGATTCATTGCAACCAGTCAAAAAATCACACAATAATTTATTACGCATTTTTCGTTGACAAATAATGTAGCTAGAATTCTTTCGACAGTTATTTCCGGTTTAAGATAATTAATTTTATGACATCTGTAGGAGTAATATTGTGACTAATTACATCGTTGATGCCTGCTATTCTAATCAGTAAAAATAAATAATTTTTTATGATTCCTACCAATTAAGTGCTATATCAATCATTTTGAGTCCGTTCGAATGTATTCAAGTGAGTTCAATTTAAGCAACTCCTATTCCAGTGAAGTTAAATACGTTTAGTGCTGGATTTAAGACCAAATATGCTTCATTAAATATTTGGTTACTTCTAAAATTCATAACTGAGGTATATAATTTGACTAGATGACTTAGGTACTTAAAAGCATCCAATCTTTCCCTGAATGATACTACAGCATATACAAATTCAAATTATGAATTTCTTCTGATGGTGTAAACAGTTTTAGTATGACTTTAGATGATGACAATTCTTTGGAACCAAACTGTACGAAATTACTCAAGCTATCTCGAAAGAAAGTACAACACATGACCGAACTATTTAACTTACCTGCAGTAAACAAACCCATAGGTGACAATTACATTGTTAATATTTCAAAAGTTTTGATTTTTGTTGTACTCCTGAATTTATCAACATATATTATAAGAAATCTAATTTCCACGTCAAGCCTCATTATAATCATAATCTGTCCAGATATTCAGGAGCTCAAACGTTTGTTTCCAGCATCGATCGTCCCAGGCGACTCTATCTGTTTCTAGAACCACTTTAGGATATTTTCTGCGATTCTTATTTCTACTAACTGAGTCCTCCCTACTTGGGACCTACTGCTTATTAAAAATGATGGCCACAGAGCATATTCCAAAATGCTTTCAGAAACAATCACAGTCGCATGATTCGATTAATGGTGTAAACAAAGGTTCAAGGATCTAAGTCACTAGATATATTTTTGAAACGGAGGATAAAATAGATGTACAGGAGTAGTTATATACGGAACAGAGTTCATGAACTTCGATTACCATAATTTTGAAAAGACTCAAAATGGGGCTAAAAATTAATCAGTGTTTTCTACTCTTCAAGGGTTCGTGTTTATCATCAAATTTATATGGAAAGTACATAGGATTTGATTTTTTGTTAAATGTAAAATTATTTATGCAGCCTCTTATTGTGTTAAATCTACTTGGATAATAACTCTGTTTTCTCCTTTTTTTTCCTTCTCATTTCATTGCAATTAGTTTAATGAATTAGGAGTTGAACGATCCAGTTGGGTAAGACCAAGGTATCAAGTACAAGTCTCTTTGGGAATTATATTTACACTATTCTTTTGTCTTGAATGCTTATTGAAGATAATTGCATTAAAATTTGGAGGTTATTGGCAGTCAAAACGAAATCGTTTCGATATGCTTGTCGCTATACTCGGTGTAACATGGATTATTATACACTTTATCCTTCGACCGATTCCTGTAAGTTATGCAATTTTAATTTTAAAAATATTTACTTACTGAGTTAAATCTGGAATGGTTGAATTTAAACATTAATAGAAGTTAGGGATTGAAACTCAGTCTGTACAGTACCTAGTGAGTAACTTAGAAAATTCTATTTAGAATCTTGCCATAGATTAAGTGTTTGTTTCACTTTTAGCCATCACCTCGTTATATATTCGCATATTTGATATAGTATCAAAGCAATAAGGGGTGTAAATGTACTTAAATTGAACTCAGATGAACTTGATAAAGTAATGAAATTAACTCAATGAGAGATACTAGAATACAGTTATTATAAAGCGTCCATAATGTTTTAAGCTACTCACTCACTACAATAAGTAGTCATATAGGTATTGCTTACGCTACATTTCACACCTTTTGATCATCAATTTTCGGTGAAACCTTATCTAAATAATGTTTAAACTATATAGTAGTATACCGCATTAAACTAAATTTATTCTTTTGAATCTTGAGTGAAGAATGGTCGAATACAGTTGACTGAAAATTATCTGTATAGGTCGACTTACAAATGTTGTTCACAAAATTTGTAAATATTGAGAACAATGTTAAATAAACTTAAGAGAACTGTTTCAAACAAGGATAAAATCACCAACAACCACAAATTTATTTATTCAAACGAAGAATATTATTAGAATGAAGGCAGTTATCATCTTGAAGAACATGTTCGCACTAAATTGTGCACCATAGGTATCCCAGTGAAGAAAGACTGCTGTGTGAAGTTATGATTGAGAATGTCACCAATGATGACAATAAGGCGTTCATGACACAGTCTCTATTAAAGCTGAGAGAAAACCAAATCACTATCTGACAACATAATCCTTTCCTATTTATTGACATACTTGTTATTCTCCGTAGTTTTATTGGATCGAATAGTTCGACGTCTACTGGCATATGCGCTCCTATGCGGATGCCTCGATATTGCCTGGATGTTAATTATGATAGTTTGGTTGGTTGTGGCTACCAGGAGAATCTGGAATGCGTGTTTCACACTACTTGGGATTTGTCAGCTGTATGTATCTGCACTCCAGCGATGTTCCCTATCAGGAGTCGAACCTCGTACCCACCACTCCAAACTCCAAGGCGTTACCCACTATGCCACGGAGGAACCGCACCATCGGGGTGCAGGTACATCTAGCTGACGAGTCCCAAATAGTATGAAACGCGCATTCTGGATTCTTCTGCTAACCACAACCAACCAAATTATCATAATTAACATTCAGGCAATATATAGGCATCCGCATAGGAGCGCATATGCCAATAGACGTCGAACAATTCGATCCAACAAAACAACGGAGAATAACAAGTATGTTAGTAAATAGTAATAACTACTACCCGCTATACAGGATGTGGCTATCGTTCCTCCGTGGCATGGTGGATAACGCCCCGGCGTTTGAAGCGTTGGGTACGACGTTGGAGTTTCAGTGGGAACAGGATCAGTGGGGTGCAGATACAATCATCTGACGAGTCCCAAGTAGTACGAAGCGCGCGTCCTAGATTCTTTTGTTAGCCACAACCAACCAAGTTATCATAATCTTTTCCATTTAGTAACCAAAGCATTTTAACTACGTAACAATATACTACATCAAAATCTGTCACTAAATTAAAAGCTGTTCTCGATAATTTCCAGTTTCAAAGAGAACTGTTAGTTAGTGAAGAATTTCACTCAGAAAACATTAAACGGATAAACTGAAGTCTGTTAATAGCTTGCTGTTTGAAAATGCTCGAAATTGGCATTGGATGACGGCTGGCTTGTATAGCGATTTGTTAGAAACAAAGAAATGTAGATGAATGAATGGTTAACGTGTTCCCAGCGAAACTTGATGGTCCTGAGTTGAATCCCTAATGATGATGAGTGTGCATTGATGAGCAGTCTTATACTAGAAAGAAACATATGTACATTGTTCTCAAGTTCTCAATGATGAGTGATGAATGCCAACAAGCAATCTCCATAAACCTTTCAAATTAAATCCTCTTCTGTTTTACCTGTAGACTGATTAGAAGATAGTGGACCAATTTCTTCAGACCTTTACCATTAACCTGGAAAAGCCGGAACGAAGGTGTTTTAGTTTAACGAAGAAACCAATGAGTTTTTCCTATATAACCTGAACTAATTTCTTTTTTAAGGAATTAAGTTTGAGTGGTTTCACAATCAACATTACTTATAATGAGTATGTCGCATTCTGTTTGTATCGCTGTTCTTAAGAATAGTTTTTAAACAGGTAGTTCTATCAGACTTATGTAGTTTGCGGATCCTTCCAGTTAATAATAAAGAAAAGGTGTCCTTACGCGAAGTCAGTTTGAGATTTTTAGGTTCATAGTTATATAATGTCTAGCTAGAGCTCGAGAACAACAGGCTGTTTTCCCATCTAAAAAAACGCATCGATCGAATCCTCACTCTTAAATAGACCTGAAAACACAAGCATACTCACTTGCAGTCGATGACTGTTATATTTTTGACTTAATAGTGGCATTCCCCTTTGTCAATCAAGAGGTGTTGTAATAGGGTTTGACTGTAGATGAAGTACTAGGAATGTACATACTGCTGACTAAATCTCACTACCTGAAATCACACAGTCATCTCCTGATACACATTTATCCAATTTAATATCACATTTTCTAAGCACTTCTTCCTTCAATATTGCTGTAAAAAATGGAAACTCGAAGCAATGCTTTTTTATATCAGGTTCAACGTTGATCTGTTTGTTTCTTTATCTATCTGTGTATGACTATGTTGTTAATTTTGAACGGTTAAACAGTGTTTTCAAAGTATAAGGTAGCCAACAAGAAATAGAAATAAAAACATTCCACATTTTCTATCTTCTTATCTTGTGTAAACATTTCGCTTGCAGAAATATTAGTCTGAATGGATTTTCCTTCTTTGGCTCTTCATAACAGACTTCTGTTTCACCTATTTTACTTCATTACTTATTGTACGTAAGTGATACGTTTTTAAATACAGGAATTTAAGGGTAAATATAACTATTGTTTATAAATCATTATTGTTTTTCTTATTTGCAATTTTTAGGAAAAACACATGATTAGTAATAATTTCGGTTGGTTTGTTTTAATGCTGAGATTTTTCACAATAGCTGGAAGACATGTAAGTTAACAATGATGATTTTAATTCGTTAGTATTATCTACATTACAATCAAGTAATAAAATGAACATTACTTATCTAAATTTTCATTATGATTATGGGTATGACTGCATCACAAACTTGACCGGTAAACTTCAATATGTACTGATCCCTAAAGACTAAATAAAGATATTGATTACCCACTGGTGACTTATTCATGTAATAAGTTAGGGGTTCAGTTAAAACACCAAGAATCTCTCAGATGCAACAAAATGTAGTTGATGAATTCCATACCGAACGAAACACTCACTCTTAATTACACTGGTAACAGCCAACAAATAAGAAATAAAAAAAAGAGATCGATGATAATTTAAGGATATTTGTATTGACATCGCATATTTCTTTGCAAGAATTGGGGCGAAATCACGCTCCACTCCTGTCCACCTCAAGCAAAATATTAAGCCGCATCATCCTGGAGACACTAAAAGATGCGCTGGATTCAAAACTACGACCGAAACAGGCAGGCTTCAGGAAGTACAAATCATGTGCCGACCAAATTGCAACGCTTCGCATCATCATAGAATAAGGTATAGAATAGCAGTCAACTCAACTCTACCTCAACTTCACCGACTTTGAAAAGGCCGACCGTTGACAGCATCGACCGAGAAGTAATTTGGGAGTTGCTTCAACACTACAAAATACCACAAACCTTTATCAATCTCATTCAACAACTATATGAAGATGCCACATGCCAGCCAAGTAATTCACAATGGGAAGCTCAGTGATGACAACTTTGAAGTGAAGACAGGAAGGAGTAAGATAAGGTTGTCTACTATCACCCATGATATTCCTGACTGTGGTGGACTGGATCATGCAACAAACAGTGGGGAGCGAGAAGAGGGGGAAACGCTGGCTGGACTGCGGAAAAGAACCTAGAAGATTTGGATTTCGCCAACGATGACTTGTGGCTGATGTCACACAAACGTGATTATCTACTGGTGAAAACTAACAAGTTGACAGAAGAGGCATGGCAGTGAAGACAGGACTTCATTTGGATGTGGAGAAGATAGAGGTGGAGGTGATGAAGATACCCAACCAGCGCTACCACCACCACCAACAACAGCAAGAAGCTCCAACCACCATGAATAGGAGAAACTTAAAGGAAGTAGACTCTTTCACCTACCTAGGTAGGGCAGCATAGTTTCAACTACAGGTGGCGTCACAAACAAGGATGTCAAAGTCAGAATCGGAGAAGCAATACAGGGCATTCGTTAACCTGAAACCAGTGTTGAGATCTTCTGCACTCAGCATATGGAACAAGATGTGGATTTTCAACACCAACGTCAGTCAAGTCAGTGGTTCTGTGTGATGGCTCAGAGACTTGGCGGGTTACGAAAGGGCCTTCCAACAAACTACAGACATTCATCAGCAGCTGCCTACGGTGGCTCTATACTGAAGATCAGATGAGAAGGCCAGAAAGAATAAGCAACAAGGAACTCTGGCTGGCTGGCTGGCTGGCTGGCTGGCTGGCTGGCAACGAACCAACCAAGAACCTATCACCCAACGTGTATGCAGAAGAAAGTGGAGATGGACTGGATTGGGCATACAGTGAGAAGGCAGATTGGGGACATGACGCACCAGGCCAGACCCTGGAGTGGAATTCAAATGGGAGACTACGATTTGGGAGCCTGTGTCGAGAGTGACATGAGGGAGATGGCATGAGGAAGAAACGAAAGGTTGTAAGCAGTCGTGGTGCCAGGTTGAGGAGACTGTAGAGAGGAGAGTGAAATGGAGGCCTGCTACTGAAGCGGTATGTTCCTCTAAGAACCCAAAGGAAAAATAATAATAATAATAACCAACTTGTAAGCATTTCAAACATGTATTATCTTATTGGTACACAAATAGTTAAAACGGACTATTACAAAGGTAGAAGAGACGAAAGTGTACTGAAACTGACCTACCGTATATTCATGTTATGATTTGATGTAAGGCAATAATAATTGTCAGTTCACCAAGTCAAACTCGTCTTAAATAGTTAACGTGATAACTTATCATGTGATACCGAAATGATAAAAAGACAAAATCAGCGTAGAACCTAGCACTTAAGTGCATCATCTCAAGGTGACACAATTCACAGTAGTATACAAAAAGCAGATGGATACAAAGAGAGTAATATCAAAGCAGACAAAGTTGTGTGAGAGAAAGCATTATCTGAAGAAAATGGTCAGTGTAAACATTCAAACCTTAGAAGAGTCAAAGATTGAATATATCTGCGCCATTGTGACCAATTTTCAGTCCTTCCACCTAGAGTCCCCAATCACTGATCTCTGTCGTTTCGAGGAACCCAACCAGGTAGTCTTTATCTCCTCATGCAGCTCAGTCAAACAGTTAGGGACTTCATCGGCTGATGATGTGTCTTGGTATGGCCACTATGAGCACTCTTCCAACCTAATCTAACTCCTTCTAGCACGGCATATTGAGTTAGGTGTCGGCTTGGCACATGGTTATTCCACCAAAAGCAAGCAGATCTACGAAGACCCTTTAACCGCCTCATATCTTCTAGTTTTAAAGATCATGTCTCAGTCACTAGTCTTGAGAGAACGAACTGCAATGCAGTATACCCCTCTTTTAATAGACAGCCGGATATCTCGCTAGACAGCACTAGGGATGACGCGAGTTGGCAAGTACCAAACAGGCCTTCTGTATCCAAGCTGTGGCTTCGTCAGCAACCAGACTGTTCAGGTTAATGCACCTCCCCAAGTAACTGAAATGGTCGACGTATTCTACCACTTCACTCCCCATCACTAAAGTGGAAGGCCAATGCTGGAGCGTTATCTTACATTTGACTAATGCGAGATGAATGCTAAAATAAGCGATCTAATCGACAATATGAATACCTTACAGTTCAATCACAAAACGAGATGCAGCAATTCTGAGGGTCAATTTGGCAACTTCTCAAATGACTGAATAGGCTTCTTCATTTTACCAAAATACTTCCAGGCAACATGAAGAAAACATCAGAAAGTAACATGTTCTGGTTATGTTAACTCAGTAGCCTAGTCTTATGCTTCGGAATCTGAAACGATATATTCCTTCCTTGAGTCTTAGTGCGAATAAATTCACTCACTAAAAGGTGGGTCCATCCAACTGACCAGTCCCAAATGGGATGAAACACGCGTCCTCGATTCCATTGCTAAGCGCTATCCATCTTCATTATAAAGGTGCCTAATCGGCCATTTTAGTATTTGCTAGACTGGCCTTTGAAAACGCTTTTTAACAATATAGTCAAAATTAGGAACAGTTGGAAGAAGCTTAAGGGGTAAAGTGTGCTTCACGTTTTTCTATTGGCTGTGATCTGTTCCAAATGAAAATCAATCCGAAAAGCTACACAAAAGTAATGCGGTATCTTGCTGATCATCTGAGTTATTTAAGGAACAATGGTATTTGTAGCACTGTACATTAATTTTCCAACTTCTGGATTCATTTTACAGTCTGATATAGTTAATTCAGATTTTTAATACAGTTAAAACATAGAAATCGGTTAACGGTGAAAACCGTAATATTCAACCAGAATATTTTACAACTATACCTTAGTTTTTCCACCAATTACCATTGTAAATATGCTGAAATTTTGAAAAAGGTTTTCACTAGTATGACAAAATGCAAACCACAAGCCATTCATTAGACTTAGACTCAGATTTTCGATACCTAAAGTATTTACTACTGTTCATATGGACTTTTAGAGTTGAATTTTGATACATACTGTAACTAAGAGATTTAAACAAGCATAAATAAGATACTTCTAATCTATTTTTCGCAAATAAATAAATGATATTAACCTTATGAAGTCAGAAAGATAAATGGACTGATAAGTAAACAGACTTAAGTAATTATTATTTGCTGAAATATGTAATTATCCGTTTTAATACTGAATCAAACTTATCGACCACTTTTGGCGTATGCGATTCCATGTGGATGCCTCGATAGTCCCTGAATATTTATTCCTATAAGTGACTTGGTCGTGGCTAGCTGTGGTCTAGTGGATAACCTTTCGGCGTTAGAAGCTATGGGTGTTAGGTCTGAGCCCTAGAAGGAACAGTATCACTCACTGAAGTGCAGGTACATCTAGCCGAACAGAATGCGCATTTTGGATCCCACTGCTATCCAAAACCAAGTCAATTACAAGATATGAGTTACATGAAACCTGAAATAGGTATAAATCTTGCCAAGTGAACATACTTCTAATCAGCATATCTAGCAAGTGTAAAGTCTAAACTTCAATTATATCAGGAAACTCTGACTAACGCAAGAGCATCAGTTTGACAATTTGAGAAATCCATGGTTTAGCAGACCTGTAATGATACAAGTTTGCCAAACCACGGCTATCTAAGATAGTCACACTGATAAGCAATATGACGCTCTTCCTCTCTAATTCAGGCTGACTTGGATCAGAATATGAGGTCCCGACTGTGTAGCCAGTATGAATACGATGAATGGATAGTAACTCATCATGAATTCACTGGCAATCGGGCAAAGTCCTTGGTAACTGAAGTAAATAAAAGAGTATTGAAGCTTTTATTGAAGACGAAAACTACCTTTTCTAGTTGAGCTGTGTTTGTTTACCAGTGTCTATAAAAGATTGCTAAAGGAATAAACAGCGTTATTTATTATACTACTTACTAGATTTCAGATAGTTCTAGTTATATGACAGCAAAAAGGAGGACGAGTATAGTGACTTTCTTATTTTCCTCTACTTGTTTTTGGATTATACATAATGACTTCTGTAATTTTCTACTTTTTTCTTAGGTTACACTGAAAATGTTAATGTTAACTGTGGTAATGTCTATGTATAAATCATTATTTATCATAATGAGTATGTTTCTACTAATGATGGTGTATGCATTGGCTGGTGTAATTCTATTCGGTTCAGTTAAATACGGTGATAATCTTGGTCGTCATGCTAATTTTCATAATACATTTCGGGCGACAGCTTTGTTGACTAGAATTGTTACAGGTGAGCCATGCTGTTGTGTGTTTATATTGTCGCTGTTATTGAATGACTGCAACTAACCCTTTTTTTAAAGTGTGTGGAGTTTATCCTAGTCGAAATGATCAAGATAGATGAAACTGAAACTGATGTTCTTGTAGTCATTTTTGTTAGTAGTTTCAAATGTTAAGAAACATATTTTGTGTTCAATTACTTTTCATTCTTCAAAGTATAGAGCTTTTTATATTTTTGAACATTACCGCCAGTTTGTTACGCAATTTCAACTGGGACTAATGTTACCAACTGATCTGTTATTGAAATCTTTACTCAAACCACAATGCCTTCTTGGAGTAATTTCCTACATGTGTAACTATATCCAGAATTATAGATATTCTTCTACATTTCAAAAGCACTTTAAGCTATGATACTATCATTCATGAATTCATACATGTCCCTAATTCCTTGTCCAAGTGCGATGTCTGGCTTATGATGGTAGAACAAATGTTAGGCAATGAACAGTACATTAACGAATACTGCTACTGAAGGTTTCTTCTAAAGTGTCATTGATTTCCATAGAGGGTAATCTTTATTTTCACTAGACAGATTTAAAAGTTTACTCAAATATCTTCTCTTCGTGAGTTAGACAGTCAGATTCAAAGTATACCTTGTCTGGATAGAAATATACTCATAGAATTCTTTTAGATTACAGTTTTCGGATATCTTCCATTAAAATCTATGGCAGTGTTCTTTTGCAGTACTCAGGTGTTATATAGTATTAATATTATATTCTCAGTCCAGGAAAAAACACTACCACATCCTAAAGACCAGATGTAGTAATATGAAAGCAAACAGAAAAGTTCATCGACCCAAGCTGAAACAGTTCACAAAATCTTAGAATTAGAAAGTGAAAACACAGCATGATGTTAAAATAATTGCGAAGGATATGAAAGAAGAAAGAGGAAAAGAGGTCAGATAAATCAGACATTCAGTTGAATGTTGTTACTGGGCTGGAAACCCGGAGGTCACTGATTGGAATCTTGAGGTAGCCCTCATCTTCATATCAAATTCAGTCATCACCAGGTATCAACAATATTTTCCTATTCAGTTAATAGTTTAAATACCTTCTTCCATTTTAGTCTGCTTATTAACAATGTCACACAGTGAAATAGTACCATTTACTGGATAACGTTTCGGACACAATTGAATGTCCATATTCATATCAGGTAACTCCAAAACTTCGAGACAGACTTTATATATTCCTAATTTTCTCTCCTTCTTTGTGGTGAAAAGGGTAGTAGACTTTTCAATATATCTGGGACAGGTGCAGAATCATTTCGATTGCACGTATTTGGAGCTGGTTCGATAAACAAGGATTCGGTTATCAATCCCTTCCTCCATCCACCCAACTAAGTCAGTTTTCAATACTGTCGCTCTATTTTGTCCCACTGTATGATTGTGCGTAATTGCATGCGGAGCTATCGCCGAGCTTTTCTCTGGATTTTTTATCTTATTAGGATCCAATAATCTTAATTTAGCTAAGTTTCTGTGCTCTAATATTCTAATCGACTCTGGTCGACTACTTTGACCTATGTACTTGGCCTGGCAATCATTGCAAGGAATCTGGTAAACCGGATTATTTTGCTTAATTGCATAGGTAGGATCTTTTAACCTACAAAGCTTGTTTCTAAGCGAGTTTGTTGGTTTAAATGCCACTCGAATCCTAGCCAGCCTTACTGAGAATTCTTCGTAATGCTTCTGAGATGCCTTCCTTATATGGTAACATATCAGTGGCTTTGGATTCTCTCTCAAAGCTGTTACCTTCATCACCATTAGTGCTAAAATTATTATTAATAACACCTGTATTACTACTACTACTACAGGTAATATTTTTCACTCGCTATTTTATAGATTTATTTATAAATTTTGGTGGGTAATTATTGAGGCGCAAGGTATTCTTGATGTGTCTAATTTCTTGTGGTAGATTTTCCGGTCTACTAATAAGCTTTTTCGCTCTATCACTTAAGCATTTAACTAGGCCTACTTTAACTAGAATGGGGTGGGAGGATTTGAAGTTTAAGTAGCTATTCGAATGGGAAGTTTCCTATAGACACTAGTCTTTAGATTTCCTTCTTGCTTTCGTTTAATCTTGCAATCCATCATTGCTGGCTCACCTTTTTTACTTTCTAAGTCACAGGTAAACTGGATTGCATTCACTATTGAATTTATATGTGCCAAGAACCTATTGATGTGTACCGATTTCAGTGCTGTAAACGTATCGTCCACATATCGGAACCATATCTTTGGAGTAGGATTAAATGTTTGAAGGGCCTGCAGTTCCCAACTATCCATGGCTATGTCTGCGTCGATAGGGAATATTGGTGATCCCGCTGCAACACCTTCAGTTTGTTTTTATGTTTTATTTGAAATTTAAAAACTGTAGATGTTAGGCATAATCTTACTCCTAGTATGATTTCCTCGATCAGCACCTTAGTTCGATGCGTAGGCTCTTTGTCATCTTTAAGCCCTTTTCTGACTGCTTCTAGAGCCATATCGATCGATGTATTTGTTTAAACGTACCTGTTCTAGATATCTGGAAAATTCTACTAACCTTGTCATCACAAAGAGGGAGAGAAAATTAGGAATACATAAAGTCTGTCTCGAAGTTGTGGAGTTACCTGATATGAATATGGACAGTCAATTGTGTCCGAAACGTTATCCAGTAAATGATACTGTTTCACTATGTGACATTGTTAATAAACAGACTAAAATGTGATTAAAATCGACTACCTCTATATTGATAAACACCTCCTTTTTATTTAATTAACTAATGAACAGCTGGTTTATGGTTAAGCGCATATTTGACTGTGGCTACTCTATAAATGATTACTGATTAAATGTCTTCATTTCTGAAGATATAACTAAGCATATTTATAAACTAACTGTACACATTACCGATTCGTTTAATCTCATCCCATACTGTATTTAATTGCTTATTAAAATATTAGGTGAAGATTGGAATAAGATTATGCACGATTGTATGATACAACCGCCATTCTGTCGAATGCGTACAAATTTTTGGAGACAGATTGTGGAAATTTTAGAGCTGCACTAATCTACTTCTGTTCATTCTATGTAATTATTACATATGTTATGCTAAATGTACTTGTAGGTGAGTTATACAGTTTTTGTCTATTTAATATCAATTGAAAAGCAAATAAATATTCTACATAACAACAATTGTATGGAGACTGTTATATATAGTTTAGATGAATGGTTTACAATCGAGTAACACAAAAACCATTGTTAGGTGTTTAACAGTTCTATTCATCTTTTTGAAGTATCGATACGAATCATGAGCACATTATTGGTCACTTCTTACATCGATCCATTTAGGTCCGAGGGTTTGAAGAATTCGTTTGCATAAATTCACTTGCATTAGATACACAATTATTGAGCTCTATTGCATTCTAGGGTTTATGGATGCTTCAAACTTTCACATTCCCAAATTAGACTCTAATATATAACTAGACGTTTGTTGAAGTTAGGTTCTCGTGACCTAAAAATGCATTGTCCATCAGATTATTGGGTATTGAGCAAGATATCGTAGAAACTTAGTAAAGAGGATTAAATAAATTTCAAAAATGAATTGAGTAACACGACGAAATATTTAATGAATGAACCGTTATCATAGTGAGTACAGAGACAAGGAATAGCTAATAATATGTACGAAATGCGTAATATGAGACAGTCAGAGTGATGGGGGCTAATTTCGATTGGTTATAGATCAAGACCATAAAAGAAGCAAGAGTTGAACAAATATCTTTAGTATGCAAACCTGCTGTAATTTTTTGTTGTTGAAATGATAAAGTTTTGTGAGTACATTTTCTATTTTCTTCACTTGCGTCTTCTATTCCTTCGTTGTCTGACACCTACAGACTAGCAAAGTACGAAGCGCTAAGAATAAATGAAGATCTCATTAAACTTTTGCACGCATTATTTCAGTCAAGTGAAGTACTGGTACAAGCCGTACAGCTTTTAGTTTCTAATATCTATCGACTGCAAAAATCATATAAAATAGACATTCATTTGCAATGAGAACAGAAGTCTTACAGAAAAAGGTTTGTCTATCAAGAATTAACAGTTCTACAAGGAATTTTCCTATGAGTTTATGCGGTGTATGGGCATTGCAGTAGTTCGCTTTATGTTCCGTGAGTGCAATTTGCTTGAAACAGAGATCTCAAGGTTTCTGATTAGAATTTTGATGTAACCTTGATGTTGTGAATTTTAATTATTCACATCAACAAAACTACTAGCGGCTTATAGAAAGGAATCTTGCTTTTTAAATGATTCTATTGTCTAAAAAACGTAGCAGTATGTTATGTCTTAAACTCTGATTTTTACATTTTCTTACATTTCTTCTCTTATAGCTATTATTATGGAGAATTTCTCCTTATTCTATTCAAATGATGAAGATGCAATTATGAGTTATAATGATATACGTAATTTTCAATTAGCTTGGAATATTATCGATGTCAATAGAAAAGTAAGCCTCTTAGTTAACCTTAATACTCTCTGATTATTATCTGTTTTTGGTTTTCTAACAAAAAAGGGTAATAAAACGAGGTATTACATTTGACAATATGGACTAGTCCACAAATGAAACTTTAAATCCTTGGAGCCCCTCCAAACTAGTCGTTTCGTAACGTGGAAAAAAAGCTCGTGAATCCGCATGTAAATATACTATTCGTTAGAGAGACCTAAACAACAGGATGTAACCTTCTAGAAAAGCCTACAAATAGTCAAGGTCATCATAAATATATACACATATGTATATATAAAGGCATATCTGTAACCTCCACGGAGCTGATGTTCCGCCTGGCCACATTGCGAAATGGCCGATTGAATTCAGTCAGCAAATAGGATTTGACAATATAAAGTTTGGTACTGTCCATTGACCTATGAGTGCTTCTAACCCAGTCCTGCTGGAGGTCAGTTGTTGCCTGAATAGCTCAATGGTGATGTCTCTGACTATGGCACTGGGAGATGTGGTTTCGAATCTCAGGCGAGAGATCAGTTCCGCAGAGGTCTCAGATACGTCTTCACGACAAGTGCCAACCAGCACGAAACCTAGGTCGACCAGAGCTTCCTCCTGATGGCCTTCATCTAACATTTATCAAAGTGCATCACGATATTCAGTCACCCAGCTTGGTGGCTGACAGAATTCGATCAGCACTTGGGTGTAGACAACATGAGGTTCGTTACCCTCCAGTGGCCAATCAATGTACGTTTTATCCTTCTTTATGAAATATTTTAGACCTATGAAATCCATTGGTTTTTATTTCATATTGTGAAGTTACTAATAAGTAGTTCAAATGTTATTCTTAAACTTTATTGGCTATAGAAAAAACAAAGGAATGCAGCAGATATTCATTTGATAATGAATGGCATGAGCTTTACTACTTAAAAAAACACAGCAATAACTCATTATTGGATGGTATGTACATAATGCTGTAATAATGAAGAATACTAGCTATATAGTCATTAAAATGAATGAGATTCCAAATTATCTACGCATTTCATGTAAATGTCACAAAGTATCTTCAAACCTTTTTGTAAGTGGATGGTAAAGAACTCTTCATGTAAAGGCTTCTTTCTTGTTGGATGAGAACAAAAATATCTGTGAGGAAAGTTTCTGAATAAAATATAAGTTACATTCTGCTTACTATTCTTTTCAAATTATTTTAAAATTTACTGGAGTGCTAACGATAATTAATAACTAATAAATAAATAGTCAGTTGGTTATTTTCTTGATTTCATTAACTCCTTGAATAGGGTGTTGTCAAAGCTTACTATGTAAGATTTCTGTTACGTCTCATTCCACGTGAACGAGTTGGTTTTGACTTGGCTAAAAAGAAAGATCAACAGTTATTTAAAGAAATGTGCTATGAAGTAGAAATGCTTCGTGGTGGTCGGGATAAAGAAGTCAGCTTCCATGATGTTCTAATGTAAGTCTTTAGAAAACTTATAAATTCTTTTTATCAACTGGGATTTTTCTAGGTTCAGTTTTTGAAAACATTTTCTTTGACAGTTAGATGAATAGCGAAGTCAGAAGGTGTGAAGATAATTTGACAACTATTAAGCACAGAAAAGACTATGTTTAGTTTTTCAACAAATTCTTGAGATCCTGAATAAATCCTCGGGTCAAGTGACTGGATCTTTGTTAGTTGGATTGTGATATCTTTTAATCAGCCCTACTTCACTGTTATAAGGAGCAGACTCTGAACATACAACCCACTATTTGATGGTCGCATATTTGTACAGGAGGTTACTACAACTGCTGAAGAATACCATAATGGGATGAAATCCTTTCAGACTTCCAATATTTCTCCAAACGATATCAAGCTGCGATGAATACTAACTTGAAATAGATACAATCCTCACAGACTTCAAACTATATTACTTTATTTACTTTGTTTCATGCTTACACACAGATGTCACTAAGTTTTAAAGAGAAAACGTGACCTTTATGGTCTACCAGTTGGCAGTGAAGCCTATGCCAAGTGAAGACTTTGGTGGATAGTTGCACTATGTTATGAACTGACAGAAGTAGGAAACTGGGATCTGTTGGACTCCGACTCAGAGACTGAATGGTTAACGCGCTAGGTGCAAGACCTGGAGGTGGTGATTTCAATCCTGGGAGGGTGCGGTCTTGGGTGCATAATTCTGAGGAGTCGTATAATAGGAAAGAACAATTTTCCTGAGGTTGATGTCAGTCTGTGAAGTAAACTACGCTGTAATTTCCGATTTCCTTACACCCTCATTGGTCTTCTAGTACTGGTTACTTCGCTGATTAACTGTGAAGCTATTTAGCCAAATGGAGACACTGAATGATTTAATCGGTAAAATGCTGATGCTAACAAGGGTTAAGGTAAAGATTTGGTAACGTTCTGTGCAGTTCAAGCATAAGAGTTGATTGTATGGCGCTATTCCGGTCAGTCTGATTGCATCCATCATAAAATAGATGTGTTGATGTCTGCGGGGACATCTCATTGAATACTTTTCAAAACTTGAATGTTAAATTTATAAATGACAGCTGTTACACAATGCACAAAATCATCTCTTGCGATTCTGCTGCGTAGTGGATAATCCTTTCACTTTCGAAACGATGTAGGTTTAGTTCGAGTCCGGTGAAAATACCACCACTTACTGAGATACAGTTAATCCTGCTGACAAATTTCAAGTAGGGAAAAGCTCGTGTCCTAGAATCCAGTGCTTTACGTTACAAGGTAAATTAATTCGTACACTTCCAAGACTGTGAAATATTAATTTTCATCTCAATCCTAGTAGTTGAAGCTAAAACTCAGCTTCTTTTATACCACTTCTGTTTCTTATTGACTGGATTCGCTCATGTGTACACATAGAAAATAGATTTTTCTGAAGCACACTAGTGAAAAAATATATTCGGAAGGCTACCTATATATGAGTATCAAGATGAACTAGAACACATTTATTTCTTAGTAATTCACTTTCCTTCTGAAGTTACCACAATCTGTAACACTTACAAAAGCAGCACAAATGTGAAGGCAATTTTGAAGTCAAAGGTTATCATAAGCACAACAAGTATCGCAAGTAAAGTAGTGTTGGGTGTCTGTTATCTTAAGTTCTGTCCCACCACCAATAATAATAATAACCCTAAAGGCTTACAGATAGCGTATTACAAGTGATATAAGCTGATGACTAGTGTAGAGCTAGTGTTGCTATTCTACTTACCTTCTGTCGCTAATTGGCTTTGAAGTTCATTTGGAAATGTAAGTGTAATCGTCTTCACAGTCAGTACATAAGGTGATCTTCTTGCGAATTTTCAGATCGAAAACAAATAAAGTTTAAAGGTTAACCTATAACTCAGTATGATTCAGAAGCGTATTTAGATTATTGACGGATTCTTCTCACTCATCGTTTCGATCATATGAAATCGTTATTTCAAAGTAGAATACACTTGTAAATGGTTGACTGACCTATGAAGTTGTGCTTTTGTACAGCCATTCTATATCTGTAACAGATATATATTACTTCTTTTTTTCTTGTCGCCAAAGTAGTTCCGAGGAAGCATTTTATAAGAGTTAGCATCAGCTGTCAAAATTTTTTAATCAGATCACACAGAGAAGTTTCATTTCTGAAAGGTATTCACTGCCGTCACGATCTATGACACTATGATGACATTGCATTAGATTGTCAATAATCTTGATCCTCACACTGTCAACTTCAACTTATCTTCAGGTTTCTCTGTAGCTGACATTTAACTACGTTTTGCTTCTTGTTTCTGTTTTGTCCTTTTTAAATAAATTCTAAGCGTTGTGATTTGGACAGATACGCACATCCCTCAAACTCTCAGTTGTTTATTTCTGTTTGTGTTGACAATACAGATTCGTTGTAATATCTAGATAAGCTCTATGATGCGCTACGAATCATCGGTCACAGATGTCAAGTAATATGGTTTAAAAGTGATTTCATTGGTCCATTTATGTGTTCACTGTTCATACTGTTACTAATCATTCACATATCTTATCTTGTTTATTATTACTTGTACTTTAATACAGCATGACATATTAAAAGTTTGGACCTTCATCTTTTCTCCCACATTGTTTCTGTCAACCACAAAGTTGTCTAACTGTCTGAAACACTGTAAGTAGGTGACAGCATCCGGAGGAATAAACAGCAGATCCCCGGGGGGTAATGTCACGTTACTGTATTCACAGTATTACTGTTCGCCAGTAAATTAGTGTCATAATGCCATCGTATGCGTTGATTAAGTAGTCCAAATGCGCATGTTGGATAAAGAAGTTATTACAGATTATGAATGTGTGTCTTGTCTAAAATATTGAAAGAGGTTACAGTATATGCGGCTGTTCCCTGCCGACAGTTAACCTGGCAGTGACTGACCACCGTCGTAAGAATCATGTTTTTATCATTAAAGACTACTTTTTCAATTATAAACAGAAGAGAACTTACCAGTTGTTAATACCTGCCTCTTTATATAAAATTCATCCACCCATTTTGTGAACAATTGCTAATCATAATAATACTATGCCTTACTAGTTCTTATTTTGCTTAGCTTCGACTATCCTCTTTTCCTGACAAATGTTGGTAACACAATACACAGTCGAGACACCAGGATTTAATACCCACCTATAATCAGAGAGTATTGAATCTGAATACCCAACACTCCTAGATGAATAAGAGTAGATTAAACAGATAATTTAAAGCTTATTCACTGTTCCTTAACACCATTCTCCTAAAGGATAATTTAAGACCCTCACCATACACAAATAATCAACAAACTCATACGCGTTCGTGCATCAGGCGATAAGCCACACTTTTCAAGTGAGGGTTAGCGAAACCAACTAACTTCCCAGACCTTGGCAGGTAGGGAGGGGTTTGAACCCATGACCCGCTGCTTGAAAGTCAACTCCCTAGGCCAGTAAGCGACAGCGCCACACAAACAAAAGAATAATGCATTATATGTATAATTGTTTGCATTATATCGTCGTTGATTGAACTGAATTGTTCGGTCTCTATTGGTATTTGAGCTCCTGTGCGGATGCCTCGACATGGCCTGTTTTTTAATTATATATAGTGGTCTCAAATAGGACAAAATGCACATCCTGGATTCTACTGCGAGCCACTATGCATCATTACTACATATAAATGGATTATATGATTTGTATTTTTTTAATACTTACTCTCTTTAAAATAATAGGGATAATAGTAACAAATAACAGATTTATGAACGCTTTATTATTATTACTATTATTATTATTATTGTTAATACTACGAAGAATGCTTAGTTATAATATTTTCTTCTTCCTACTTCAATCATCACTTCATCAAACATAAAACGCCAAAAATGTAGCAATACTCAGTCACTAAATTGAATCACTAACACAATCAGAATTAATTTATCCACTTATGTGGAGAGGTAAAAGACATAGAGAGAGAGAGGGTACACAAAGACAAAAAGAAGAATTCTTAGCAACAATAACTACCACTGAATATCTTAGTCAAGTATATGTGTGGACATACTTATTTATATTCTTTCCGCATAAGTGACTTACTACCACTTGGAAATTTTCTCTTGCCAAACAAAAAATAATTTTCTATTGCACCATAATTATCATTAACCTACTTTATGTAGAGTGGATGGCAAGAGAGTTTGTCGAGAAATTAGTAAGGCGTAGAATTAAAATAAAGAGGTGTTAGATGAAACAAATTCCAACCGCGAATATGATGATAAATGTGGTCACAATAGTTTTGGTAATGATGGTATTCGTATATGAAGGAAGGTTATTTTAATTCAATAAGATGACGTTGATGTTAAACTGTTTCCCTTAGCCTTTTCCTTATGTTATCCTTTCTGTTGAATGACTTTTTTTTCATTGTTCCACTCATCGTTGATTAATAAAGACAATTGAGAAAAATTTCATCACCTCAAAATTAGTTCTAATCTAATATTCTTGAAGAAAAGAAAATGAAGTCGTTATATTTTGTTAATAAAAAAAACAAGCCTAAATAGTTTCGTGAGTGTTTTAAGTAGTATACAATCTTTTTAAAACTTTTTACGATATTTTCAATTCAATACTAAGTGGAATGATTATACTACTTATACTTCAGTAGAAGAAACTATGCCATAGACAGAGAAACATTTGGAAAAATCTAGTTTTTCATTTCCAAAAAAAGGTTAGATTGTATTAAACTTACTTGTAAAATGATTGAACCTGACTTCATGCTTAACTTTCTTCAAGATATTCGTAATGAAATGAATTCTTGAGGATTATTCATGCAATCTGTCTTTGGTAATAATGGTCAAATTAATCAGAACTTTGTAAATATCCACTCCAAAATAGGCTAAATTTCATAATTGTAAAATCAAATTTATTACTCTTATATGATAAATTCCGTTTACAATGTTCTTTACCCTCTTAACATTGTAGGGTTTTAGCTTATAGAACTGTTGATATAACCAAAACGTTACAGTTAGAAGAACTCATAGCTCGTGAAGAATTAGAATATGCAATTGAAGAAGAAGTTGCTAGACAGACAATTGCAGCTTGGATTGAACGTTGTATTTTTAGAAATCGCCAGGTAAACTTTACAACATTTCATACAACCTGATATTTACATTTTCATAGGTTTCATGTGTCTCCTAGGCACTATTATACTGGTATAGTCTTCATATACTGCGCTTTGGTTTTTTCAAACTTGGTACAGAAATGCCACCTTTGAAAATATGATTTACTCTAAATATCTGTAAACGTTAGTTGTGATGTTCATAAAAATACATTTCAATACAATACCAACATGGTTAGATAGTGAAGATAAGATTTTTCTGAACGTTTCGTCACATCTTCTTCAGCAGAACATTCCAATTTTCACTTATAGCTAAAGGATATATTCAAATACCGCATGAAATATTTTGTATGTAGTTCATCGGCTGATAGGAATCCAATTGTTTTGTTGAGGAAAAGAAACATTCAGAAAAATCTCTTGTCTGATTTGCAAAAACAACTGAGCTATCTCTTGTTTATTATTCTATTTAGTTGTATAGTAAATAAGAACCTAACATCGTGATGTAGTAAATCTTATAGGATATTAACTAAGCTGGTTTTCGTTTGACATTTGCAATCAGAAAAAACTAAATGAATATATTACTTGATCATAGATTAATGTAAGTGGAAATGTATATTAAAAGTTATTTACTACTAGATGGATGTTTCATTTTATCTAGGAATTTTCTCTAAAGTACTCATTTATGAAGGTAATTTTTTATCACAAACTGATATCAGTATCAAAATCAGCTATAACCAGAAGCATACTAGACAAAACACTTTCGTAGTATGAGAATATCTAGTAATATCTACTCTTGATGATGAGTAGTGGTTAGGAGTGGAATTCAGGACGGGCGTTTTACCTTATTCTGTACTCATCATTCGGACATACATGTCTTCCAGAGAAGGATATTGCTGTCACCAAGACTCGAACCCAGGAACCGACACCTCAAACGCCAGAGTACTATCCATTAGGCTATTTTGTCACAATAGCCAATCCTTGTGCGGCGAGAACAGTAAAACTTTTATGTAGTGGCTTGTAAATACCCATCGTTGATTGGCCACTATTGTAACATGGGCTTCTTTCCATGATACTGCGGCACTTCAGTTTAATAATAATGACGGGCAGTGGTTAGTAGTGCAGCCAAGGACGTGTATTTTGGGAAACTAAAAGCTTTAATATCTAATCTAACCCAAATTCTCCCCACAATAAGTGGGTATCATGACTCATTGACATGCTGCATGACGTTGTGGCTACTGGTCTTGGATTTGAGTCGTGGTGGGAATATCACTCCCTTGGAGGCCACTACGCTCAACCCGTGATATGTAATTAGGACGAAGCACGTGTTCTGGATTCAACTGCAACACTAGTAAAAAACATGAAGATAGCATCAGTATCAAGTTATCCACACAAGAGCTCATATGCTAAAAATGGCCAATCAGCTCAATCAGCTACGAGAATTTATAAAGTGAAATATTTTAAAAAACTATTCTTGACTACGCAGAGGGATAGAAGTTTGGCTTTCATGTTACTCAGTGAGCAAATGACCTGCATAACACCTGTGATCTTAGATACGTATCACTTTAAGGACACAAAACAGAGGTAGATAGCCGTCTAAAGTTTTCTGCTTTTCACTTTCCTTCTAATTGAAAGTTACTTTAGTAATCATCGTGACAACCACTGACTTATCGGTTTATTGTAAGCATGAATTATCACTTTTATCCAGTGAGACAACCATTAAGACATCTTTTATGAATATATAATGAAACTAATTTAAACTCTCGTAACCCAGACAAAAGTTGTAGTGAATAATGTTTTATATGACTGCACAATAATGATACAATACTAATAATGGGTGTCGTCCTGTTCAAACTCTTCTTGTTACTAGAAACATGGACAATTGAAATTTAAAATGCATTCAAACATTGAACGTCAAATCAGTACTACACTGGATGAATCCGATGAAATGAGTAAAAAAAGTGACTTTTTACCCTCTAAAAATGTTCGTATAAAAACGCAGTCATCAATAACTAGTAAATCTTCAACATCTTCAACAATCACACTATTATCATCTAAAGATAACAGTGGTAGAATAATAGAAGTCCCAATGGATGCAAGTATTGAAAGAGCTAGTATGATTAATGCTCCACAATTGAAGTTACCAACAACAAAAGTGACAATAACTGGTAATGTTACAAACCTAACCTCTAAGGATACAGGGACAGTGTCCTGGGATGCTACTAATCCAGTTAGTATTTCTTCAACACGTTCCTCAAATCCTCTATGGTCTACAACTAATATCACTAAAACTACAATATCAGCACCAACAATTACTACAGTTCATTCGAATAATCCACTTCATAAAGGTAGAAAATTAGCCTTTCATCAATACTCAAGTGATTATTCAACATCTTCTTTAGTAAATGAAAGCGATGAGGAACATAAAAAAATTGATATTCTCAATAAAAAAGATAGTAGTATTAGTGAGTTAGTTGACTGTGAAGAATACAGTTTCACTTGTGATGATTCTGATCATAATATACCATTACTTTCAGATGATAAAACAAAGAAGAAGTTATGTAATTCAGTTGAAAGCATAAATCATCATCATTATCCTGATGGACATAAAAGGTTGAACTATGCTAAATCTAACATGGATAAAGTAAGTAGTCATAACAACCGATTGATGAGTACAACATTTATTGATACATGTTTAACAAATGAGAATGTAATAAAAGCACATAGAAATAAGATCGAAATTGAATCACCTATGACTTTAAACGATGGAAAAAAGTTCACAAAATTAACTGAACCCTATGAATTTACAATAATTGAAAATCCAATGGGATTAGAAGAGATTAACCAATGTCAACATTATCATGAACAACAACTTTCTCAATCTACTGCATTAAATTTAACACAACCTATTCGTACTAAATCAACTATTATCTCATCAATCAAGCCTATATCTATTCATAATAAGTCAAGACAAAGTATAATAGCAAAATTATCAAAACTACCCGATGTTGTTGAAGATTCTGATGAACTAGGTGAAAAACATTGGGTATACAGTTGTTCAACTAATATAGATTCATCTTGTTTACAGAAGAAATTATCACCTAAAGTAGAGTTGAATAATTTAAATGATTTAATAACTATAACAGATAATAAAAAGAAAACTGAAAAGAATTATCATCAAGAAGGTGAAACTGATCTACTGTCAAGTGAACTTGAGAGCATTGAAAACAAAAGAAACAGTAATAATAATAATAATAATAATAATAAAAGTCAAATAAAGCAAGTTGAAATTCCATCTTCAAGTTATTCAAATTCAGTATTACAAGAAGAACTTCTATTTTCAGATAAATTAATTCATCCTAATTATGCATATCATAATGAAGTTGATTTCAGTAAGCATATAGATAATTCATGTGATGAGGTGAAAAAGTGGTGGCGTAGTCAACTTTATCCAAATTCACAAATATTACAACAACAACAGCGACAGCGACAACAACACCAACAGTATCTTAGTCACCATCAACAACACCAGCAGTATCAATCAAGTTCATATTCACAGCAGAATAGTATTATAGGCGAAACAGAGAATGTATCACCAGTGGACAGTCCTAGAAAGAAACAGATAAGATCACAACAGAGAACTATTCCATCATTAGGTAGTAAAAGACGATCAGGTGCAGCTGCTATAATATCACGTCGTCCTCCTCCTCTGCATCATCATCATCATCACCAACAAAAACAACAGTCAAGATTGAATAATCGACTCACTGTCACTATTGATGAATCTACTAATGATGATATAGATGGTAATAATTACAATAATAATAATAATCATACTCTTACTAGTACTGTTAAAAGTAGTGTTGGCACAAAAGAAAGGAGTCCACTACCGAAAGTTTAATAATCAATGAGACGATAGTTTATGCATTTTCATATTGTACTGTGTTGCATTTCAATGTCATGAGTACATATGTAAACATTGAATAGGTAATATTCATGGCTTGATTGTATATGTTAAAGATTTAATCTGTTCATTTATTCTAGATTTTGTTTTCTTCATTTAATGTTGTGATGTATTTTTGTTGTCTTAAGTTTTGTTTTGTGTTAACGCTTTACTTTTTATTTTCTCTTTAAATTCCACTTTGAAAACTAAGAATATACTCTATTTATAATAGAAGTGTTAGTTTTATTCTACTCCAGTTCATGACGATGACATTCAATAGTAGTGCAATGATGAAGTATCCATAACTGAAAGTAGACTAACTTGTGCTGGAAATTTTATTATACCATTACCAAGCTTCTTCTTGAATGTACATGGATCTTGTCGAAATAACTTTCAAAAGTTTGCATGAAATAAATCATAATCATACACATCCACAGGTTATGTTTCTTGCAGTTTCATAACATATGTACCAATATAGATACTTTTTGGATAAAAGTAACTGAAGGTAATCAACTATCAGTAAAAACCTGAAGTTTTGCAGTTATTATTTCCAGAATAGTTATCTGATATATGGTCATGAGCTTGACAGGCTATTGTTATCAACCAAGGGCTTTTTTTTTAGCTTTTCCAAAAAGAGATAAAGAATAAAAAAAAAGGTACACAAAACTGTTTATTCACTTTTCCCTTCCCAATACCTCTTAGACACAAAGACTAGGATTGTTAGTTAGAGTTCCTAGAGCTTTTGTTATTTGTTAAAGATGAGTTCAAATGTCATTTGAAAGATGATATACAATCGATAACCTTGAAAACATTCATCTTATCTTCTAAGTGGTAACTACCAACCACATAAATTTTTCCATATCTCTGGTATAGGTGTTGCGTCATTCCTATTACATGTGTTGGGTGTGGATTCGATGAACAAAGATTCAGTAATTAATCTCTCTCTCCACCTAGCTATATTAGACTTAAGTACAGTGGTTTTGTCCCACCCTATTGTGTGATCGTGTGTTAATGAATGTAATGCAATGGCAGAGTTTTTTTCTAGATTATTGATCTTATTGGGGTCTGTCGTTCTATGTTTGGCTAAATTCCTATGTTCTGCTAATCTAACTGACCCCGACCGGCTAGTTTGACCTATAAATTTGACCTCACAGTCATCACATAGAATTTGGTAGATTATATTATTTTGCCTAATTGGTTCTATCGGATCTTTTAGCCGACAAAGCTTACCTCTAAGTGAGTTTGTTGGTTTCACACCTCCAGGATTTTATAACTCATCAGATACAAATTGCTATTGATTCTGATTAAGATCTGTGATTATTCCTGCCATATTTCTTGGACTCAGTAACATAAAGTCAATCCGTGATTACGGATCTGAATTTATTTCTACACATTCAAAGTATGTTATGTCATGATTACTACTAATACTGTTTCCAGCTGATGAAAGGCCATAAAATAAATGAGCTCACTATGTTTTGCCAAAATGTACAGTGAATGTCCAGTTCATTTTCCACAGTAATCTGTATGGAGTGGCTATGGGAACTCCAATGGGACCAATATTTGCATACATACTTTTAGCAGATCCGGAAAATGGTCCTTTGAAAGATCAAATTGCTAATATGGAGTTGTACTATGGATACATGGATGATACCTTTTTAGTCCTTGATAGGTGGGTATGCAGTAATTCTATTCTGAACCATTTCAACAGTGTTCATCCAACAATTCATTTTACATACAAAAATGAAATCAATGATTCGATATATTTTCTTGATGTGCTAATGAAAAGAAACATATATAGAAAATTAACGTCTATGGCACAGTATACGGACTTTCTCGGCTTCATACCAATGAAGTACAAACGCAATGTACAATCGGGCGCTTGGCTTTTAGAGTAAGATAGATTTGTTTCAAGGTGTGTACGGAAAAAGAACTACTGTGTACCCGGTGCTATTCTAAGTGAAAACCGATATCCAGACAAGTTCATCAAAATTAACATCAGCTACACTGGTCCTTAACGAGAACTGAGGAGAAAACCGCTGTTTCTGCGCTTACAATTCAAGGGAGATGTTGCAAGTAACATTCTATCACAACATCTAGCTAGAACAGTCAACAAGATGTTTTATGCAGGTCGGCTTTGTATTTCATTCGGCAGTCGGTCAATGCTCTGTCCAAGATAAAAGGATAGTCTACCTAATCTTAGATCTTCGCCTTGCATATATTGTTTTGACTGATCCTGTGGAACTAGGGCGTACGATTAAGCAGGTGCATCTCCGGATACGAGAGCATTTACCAGCTTGGTTTGGAAAGGGTGAAGTGAAAGTGGTGAAAAGTTCAGTCCCAGCTCATCTAGTCGACACAGGGCATCACATAGATGCTATTAAGGCTTTCGGTGTCATTCATCGTATTCCAAAAACGACACCACATGTAACTCACCAACGCCTGCTCAACATAGTGGAGGTTGTCGCAATAAGATTAATCAAGCCTGAACTCTGCATTCAGAAAGAACATATCCAAGAACTACTTCTCCCTTGGCCTTCAACTAACTAAAGGCCACTCTTACCATCTTATTCGTTATCTTTTCGTCTCACCATCACATCATTCTTCTGTATGTGTATCATCCCAATATTGACTAATTTAAGAAAGATAAATCGATTTCCTTACAATCCATAGATCTCACTCCATTTTGAAAATGTAACTGACCATAACACGGCTTGTTTTTACGATGTATAAATGCATTTTAGAATTGTAGAACCTGAAAAGTATTTATTGAAGAGAATATTCTTTGTTCAGATGTTTGCTTTTTATTCAAATATCTACATTCCCTTTGAAAGGCAGTTTCATGAACAGTGGTTCTTTCAAACGGTGACTAATCCAGATTTATTTCCCTTATTTTTGTTTATGTGCCTTTTTATCAAGTTATTAGGGCATTCCGTTTTATTCAGTTAGCTATAAGTACATTCTAACATGTGATGTATTAAATCTTCAAGAAATCTCTCTTTATGGGAAGATGTTTTAATTGGCTTGTATTTCGAACAAACTGATGATAGTAACATGACTGGTTCGAATACAGTAAGGTGATGAATAAGGCAGTTATACTCTTTAAAAAACACAGAGAAAGTAGTTCATTGTGTTCTAAACAGATTATTATTATTATTGGAACACAAACATGGTAAGGCAAGGGCACCAAGAAAGGCGCCACATAAAATAGTACAATGACAATATGAAGATATAAACGATGGGAAGTGAATAAGTAAGAAAGAAAAACAATAAGAATAGTATAATTGGAAGGGTTGTTCAGTAGGTACATTCAAAAGAAAACATTCATTACTTTTCAGCAGCAGGACATAAGAGGAAACTTAAGCATGACCGCCACCAGTTTCGATTCTAAGCCATATCTGATAACGTTTCAAGCCTCTGACTTGCGTGGTCTCTTGCACCCCACCAAGGAAGTCATGATGCGCCAGCAAATGCTAACCTGATACAGCTATCCTTCATCCCACAGCGCCACATCATACACTAACCACCCCCCGATTCTTTCATTCAGTACCAGGTCTAGCAAACAATGAGCTACATGAAAGCTATTGAGATGACATAAGTAACACATTTCCAAGCCACCGAAGCTGGTGTTTCGAGATGACCTTACTCATTGATTGACGACATCCATCATATCCAAACACACCCTGTCACACCTCACAATTAATTACGTGTTGTTGCAATCGGATACGAGCAATCCTACGGAGATAAAAGTCATCGAATACACAGAATCGCCCCACATCCTCACTTCGGAGAGGTCAGGTTTCACAGGCGTAGAGCAGAACTGCTCACACCGAAATGTTGTAAACCCGACCTTTGACGATCAGACTAATATCGTGACGGCGTCAAAGGAGGCTCAGATTGACGTATATCACTTCGGCTTTCAATATACGGTTAGAAATTTCACCACACACCTCAAATAGGGCTCATTTAACTGCCCAGATACATGAACTTTTCGACTACTTCCAACGACTGACCATCAAGAGTGAGTGCAAGCATAGTCTCCTGCCAATCTCGCGGAAGTAGTTTTCACTTTAATGGTGCAAAGCATATACCACACTTATGGACACCGATTAAGTGCGACTTCAGTACACAGCAAGACAATATCGTGACCCATTACCCGTTCTCCAGGTAGTAGATCTACACCACCATGGTGCACTTCCTTTAGAACTGTCTCAAGAATATCATCGACGGCAAAGTTAGAGGAGAATGGAGAAATCGAGCAACCCTGCAACCCTAGTGCTGGTTTGAAACAATGGAGACAGGTGGTTGTATGACCTGAATCTACCTGAGGAAATATTTTGTAGGGCTTTCAAGATGTTAATAAATTTTTCAGGTATGCCCCTCTCCAACAGACAATTCCAGAGTGCAACTCTGTCTAACGAACCAAAGGAAACGTTAATGACAAAAAATACAACAACTGTTGGCCTGTAATAATATGACTGTGTTCAAGCATCTGGTGGAGAGTAAACATGTGGTCATTGCATCCACGACCTGAATAAAACCCTGCTTGCTCCTCATGGATCAGTTTCTGATGTTTTTTGCAATGTCTGCGATGTCTGATAGCAGCCAATAATTTCGACGCGACTGGTAACAGATTAACACCCTGATGATAATCAGACACATTAGGCGAACCCTCCATAAGACAGACACAATAATGGCTTCATTCCAGAGTGATGGAATACTAGCTAGTCTACCATACCTTCTCAAACAATCTAGTCAGTTCCATGACTAGAGTCTGTACTCTATCTATAAAAGAGTTGGGTGTAAGTTGTCCGGAGCGGGTGCCTTGTAGCGTTTCAGAACTTGGAGTTCTTTATTAACCTCCGCTTCGTTAGGTGGGTCAGTGCTAACTGACCATGGAGTAAGACACTGAAACTGACACTCCTGGAGCCAGGGGTCAGCCAAAGTCCTTTCCGAAGTTC